TATAATGAAATAATTTATATATATATTTACAAATGTTTCATTTGTTTATTTATTTATTTAATTACTATGTAATTTGTTATTATATTATTATTATTAAATTTTTAAAATTCTAGGTTTTCATCTTCTAATTAATTCAATACTCAATATTCTAAAACACTCTAATAAATATAATAAAATCAAAATAGATTTCAAATTTATTGGTTACAAACGAATAGAGATAGTTTTAAGATTATATTTTGAAGTTTTTATAATTCACGTTACTTAAAAACAAAGCACATTATAAATATTATTTTTCTCATTCTAAAATCAATTGAAAAAATTGTTATTGATGTTTGCATTACTAAGGAGTTATAAATTCAAAGTAATTTAGGCATTTAAAGTGGCTAGATATATCTTTAAATTAAATAATCTTGAATTTGAATTATTTTACTTTTTTCAGTTTCTGAAGAATTGACTTCCATATTATTGAATATTGAAAATAACGAAGTAAAATTTAAACTAATTTATTATATGTATTTTTTAGGAATTTATTATAAAATGAATAATTATATTAAATTTGATTATCTTGAAATTTATTATTTTACTTCTTTTTTTAGAGGAAATTTATACTAATTGATTGAGGCTTTTGTTCAATTTATAAATGTTATTTCTGTTGCTAAGTAGTTATTAAGGATCTCTTAATTTTCTATAATATTAATGATCGATTTTCTCGACTTCATAAGATATAATATACACTTTAGAGCTTCTTAAATTAAGCTTACTAATATTTAAATTTAATTATTTCTTATTTCCTATAAATAATGTTCTTATGTTATGTTTTGCTTAAATTGTAACAATCATATCATAAAAATTATAATCACGTTTATCACTTAATAATGGTATATTAAATTAAATACACAAAAAAGGAACTTTTTAAAATGATCACTTAAAGGATTAAATTACGCATTAAAAACTAATTATCTTAATTCAAAAATTGATATTTTTGTTACATACCAAATTTTATTTTTTTTGAATCTTAATTAGATTGAAATATTTTAAACAATATTTATCAGTTTGAAGTTAAATTCAATTTAAAAAAAATATTAATTTTAAACAGACACGTTTTGCGTTGGAAATTTTATTTTTTATGCTATCATTTAAGTTTATTTCCTAATTCTGATTTGAAAAAATGTAATATAATCATTAGGTTTCAAGTATGAGTAGGTATTTTCGAATTTCTAAAATGTGTAAAAATTAAATTAATCGATATTTTAGAACAATAAATGAATTAAGTGAAAGGATATATAAATATCACAAAAAGCATTGCAGCTTAATTATAGACTATAAAGAAAGTAAATACTGTTGCGAAGATTCAAAATAATGATTATTTAGTGTCTATGATAATATCAAAGAAAAATATTTCAGAAAATTCTTCTCTTGATTACCAAAATTTGTATTAATTAAAAGAAGACGGATTTCATTTACTTTAAAGAGGTACTGTTGTTTAATAAAACCTATTAACATCTTACAGCAATGATAGGGAGAGATTTATTAAATAATAGCAAATAGTTGATGAATCAGAGAAGCCAAGATAGGTTATTGAAATACATGAATAAGGTAAACTTTTATTCAGTATAAACACTTAAAAATATCATGAAGATATATTAAATAATGAAATGGTTGGAGAACCATTTAAATGGAATAAAAAAAACAATAAAGTTTTGTATTTAGCAAAAGGAAAGAGTAGAGAAACTAAGACCTTCTTTTAGGTTGAAAAAGATGAGGAAATATAATAAGCCTGGAATTACAGGAAATATGAATAAAGTTGGGGTGAAAGAATGGATAATGTTGAGATATTCTTTTTATTTATGGTAGATATTGAATAGCAAAAATTGTTTAAAGTATAGACTCCAAGCAATTTATTTTTAACTTATCCACAATTTACAGAAAATGATGAAATAATTTTAGGTGGCTATTAAATTCATAAAGAATTCAAATATGGAATAGTTCATTGTTTTAACAGAGAGAGTGGTATATACCTTATTGATAAGCCAAAATTAATCGAATTACCAGAGAAAGGAGATAATTTTGAAGAATAATAATTACAACTCTTGTCAAAACATGATATTTCTGTGAAGCCACTAATTAGTCCAGATTATAAAAAGCTTTTATATTTAGGGTCTGATTACAAACACTAACATCTATGTTATTTGAGTTTAAACATGATAAATTTGGAAAATAATTCAGTTGAAGAATTAATTGGAATAAAAAAGGAAAATGAATTAATAGAGGTGAGGGCTAATCAAGAGAAAAGAGACAACATTATTGGAGGAATTTGTGGTTTTTATGATGATTTATCGCTAAACTTTTGGAATAAGGATTCAACTCATTTTGTTTATTCTTCAATTGTTTTGGGATAATAAAAGATATTTTGTATTGATGTTAATACAAAATAAATAGAAATTTTAAGTCATTCAGTTGAATAAGAAGCAACACACAATTGCGAAATTATTAATTATGACTAAGTTAACGATATCTTATATTATACAGATGAAAACATTAATCAATCACCAATTTTAACTGCTGTTGTTAATGCCATGAATAAATAGCGAAAGTATATAAGAAATTTACAACATTTTAATGTTAAGATATCAAATAATTTTATTGAAGAATTTGTATTTAGTGGCGAGGCAGAAGGGTTTGTTTGGTACTTAAAAGAAGAAGATGAAAAATTTGAATTACCAAAATTCTTTAAAGAAAGGCCATTAATAGTTTTAGCACATGGTGGACCACATGGAACAGTTTAAAGCTAATACACATAACTAAGACATATGTTGTTATAATAAGGGTTCATTTTATTAGCTCCAAATTTTAGTGGATCGTGTAGTTATGGATAGAATTTCATTGAAGCTCTGAGTGGAAAGATTGGAGAACAGGATGTATAAGAAATATTGGACATGATTGGTTAGGTTTAAAAGAAATATAATACAGGCAAGACTTTTATAATGGGAGGATCTTATGGTGGTTATTTAAGTGCTTTAATGGGATCGAAGCATCACGAAAAATTTAATGCAGCTGTGATATTGAATCCTGTTGTTAATTTGCCATTCATGATTAATATTACAGATATTCCAGAGTGGGGTTCATCCTGTGCATTAAACAGAAAGCACACATGGAATCTTAGTGTTGAGGATTATAAAACCTTAATTGAAAGGTCACCAATGTTATTACCACTGAGAGTTCCTTCATTATTATTAATAGGGTCCAAAGATAGAAGATGCCCTTATCAACAGTCATTGGCAATGAGAGCACAAGCATTAGAAGTGGGTACAGAAGTTTAAACCTATGTATATCCAAATGCTGACCACGCATTGGCAGATAGTGTCAATACTGGATATGATACATTCCTAAAGATCCTCATGTTTTTAAATGAGAAATTATGATATTGATTGCATTGATTCAATGATATGAAAATATTAATCATTCTTGATTAGTTTTTAAAGCCAATTCAATCATTTCTTCCCAATTGAATTAAGTGACGATTGAAACTTCAGATACATCCTCCTTTCTCATTTTTTTTATCCAATCCACTATCATTCCCCCTCGAGCAAATCCATCCTCAATTACATGAATTCCTCTTACCAATGCTTGAGTCATAGTTTCTGGAATCATAGCCATTACTATTGCCAATTCTATGAATTAATAAATAATTTTTACCGTCACATAAGTAATAACATGTTTCAAATAACACATTTTCATAGATATCATGAACCAATTTAGCTATTTTGTTGTGTTGTACATTAAATATTTTACCTCCCACATCCTTATCCAAAGAATAAGATAATACAGTATCAAATGGTAATATTATTTTATTCTTAAAATCAGCCTGCAATACAATTTTAGTTGCTAAAACATCAGTAGCAATGTTAAATTCAGCGATTCCATTCACTTAATTTCCAACTCCCAAATATGTACCACACATACAAAATAGACAACCTAATTAGTTCACTATTTGAGGATGTTAAAGTAATGTTGTATATATGTTTGTTAGAGGTCCTATACAAATAATACATAATTAATCTTAATATTTTTCAATACTTTCTTTGAGAAAATCAACTGCATGTTTATTTTCATACAATTATTAATTTTCATCAACATTCAGTTCTTTTAGATACTATTTTTGTACTCCTCCAAATCCATCCTCTTTAAAAAAGAAATCCCTATGAAATGTTCTCATACTATCAAATTCACATCCTTTGTATATTGCAGGAACTTAATCAAAGTGGCAATATCGGGATGTTATGTATACATTTTTAATTACGTTGTATAAACTAGCATTTCCAGAAACACAAGTTATCCCCAATAATTCAGCGTCCTTTCTTATGTGTTTAAGAATATAGGATGCCATCATAATAGCGTGAGCATCATCCCCTCCAGCATCAGTGTCAATAATAAATTTAGTGTACTTCTTATACTAGTTTATGTCATTTCCTAAGAGCATACCTGGAATTTTGAAATTATTTGCCATAATGTAGATAAATTAAAAATAAATTTCATTAAAATCATTGTTGCCTGAAATTAAAACTTGACGTTTTATGTTTACTAGGAGATATCATAGGCAACACATTTGGGGATGAAATTTTTTTTGAACTATTTGTCTTTAGAATTACTAAGTTATCACTCAATCTATGCTTAAGGTGTCCATTATCTAAAATATATTTTTGAATTAATACTAAATGACTTTTTGGAAGTTTAAAATGTATGCTTCAGTTATGTTAAATCTTAATGGGATGATGTTTTAATTAACTTAATTGAAGGTTTCCTTTCAACCTTTGTTGTATTACGATGCAGACGATATTGCCGGCCAGTTCCAGTTGGAATTAATTTTTCAGTATGAACTCTACTTGATAATGGTTATTGTAATTCATCTTCATCTATTAGTTCATTAATCTCATCAGATGCTTGAGTTTTCATATAGTAGATTTCTTCAGAACATTACTCTTTAAAAATTTTTAGAATCCATAAAGCTTTAACAATCTAAATTACTATTTATTAAATTTACTGTGTTGAAATTTTTAGTAAATGAATATCTTAATTTAATTTCCCTATTAGTAATTGGATGGGATTTTATTTGTTCTCCTAAGATCCAAGGATGTTCCAGACATTATTGAGCTGTCATCCTATTGATTGGTTAAAATGTGACCGTGTTTTCCACAAAATCTTTAGCCATCCTAAATATATAATATGATCTCCTTACTCTGACATTTGAGGAGGATATTGAATTGAGAATTCTGATGAAATAATCTTATAATAGTCCTTCTTAGTATAGCCTAGCTACCATAGTGGATGTTGACAATTGTTGATCAATTGATAAAATATAATTCCCAAAGAAAAGATATCAACCAACTAGTTTAGGTTTAAATTAATACTTAGGATTACTCTTACTAGTTGATGATTTCTGGAGCAATGTAATAAGGTGTACCTACTTATTAGCCGATGAACCCTCTTGAAAACATCTAGTAGCCCAACCCAAGATCTATTAATTTTACATAATTGTTATCACAAATGAATATGTTTTCTAAGTTATAGGCTAATATTTACCTGGCTTAAGATCTCTATGGATGATTCCTTTCCTATGAAGAAACACAAGAGCATTCAAGATTTACAACATAATGTTTCTTGTTAAGGCTTCTGGAAGAACTTAACTTTTCATTAATACATCTAATGTAGTTCCTACCAATTTTTCCATGATTAAATAGACTCTATTATATGCAATCAAGACCTTTAATATTATATGGAAAGTCTACTTTATATAATTTAACTATATTTGGATGAGAGCACTCTTATAGTAAGGATGACTCATTTTCTTGTTCGAAGTATTAGGTTATCTAGATTAATTTAAAGTATACTTTAATGGCTACTACTTTATCTAATGATGAACTATAAGCGGAAACAACAATACCAAAGCTTCCCTTACCCAAAGTATCAATGTAGGTGAAATAATCTCCTAGAAGCACTTCATTTAAATTATCTATTAGGTCTAAAGGGTCCATAACTTAGATATTTAATATCAAAAATAATAATAATTTTATTCATTTATATGTATTCAATTAACAAATGTAGACTACTCCTTCTCCACCTCCAAATGCAAATTTGTTTGATTTATTCCCGTAATCAACACAATATATGCCTATCAATATTGATTTAAATACACCTTCTTATAACTCTCGAATCCATCCACAAACTTGATAATTATCATTTATGTCAAACAATTTGACTTCTTGTTTCCCACAACTGCCTGCCAATATAGTGTCTCCGTTTATCTTACTAAATTAGCAAGAGTATATGTAAGAGAGATCAGAATCTACATCATCCCATTTGATATTTGTTATTAATGATCTTTTACCAAAATCCCAGAGTTATAATTAATTATTTGTTCTGTAAGAGCCAGTAAGAATTTAACCATTCCTTAATAATGAATATATTGACGTGTACCTAACATCTATACTGTCTCCAGATACATGTGGTCCTTATATAGATCCAACACTTCTTTTGTCCCTAAGATCCCATATCACTAGATTACCATCCCAACCACAAGAAAGAAGAGTGGTTGGAAATTCTTCTAAAAACTTCAAAGCAAACACTCGATTCAAATGACCAATTTAATTACTAAGTATAATGGATGCTTTTACTAATCAGCTGAATCAAATGTATGAATAATTTCCTTTTTTTCCTCATCATAAATTCGGATCTAAATAATTTGATATTTAATTACTTTACAATCTCTACCAGAAGTAGCAAATACTTCTCCATCTAATCGTAAATCCATACATAATATTTAATTATTTTTTTCTACAAGTCTATGCAATTATTTTCCTGTCTAAGCATGCCAAAACATAATTGATCCATCAGAATTCACATTTATTACTACACTTTTAACTTTATTTGCACCATCTTTCCTCCATCTAATGCTAGTTGTTGGCGTTGATCCTTCTGATGATCCCTATAAATTAAACGCTAATTTCCCTATGAAATATTAAAACTAACCTCACCTGTGGCTATATTAAATATTTTCACTGTCCCATCAGAGCAACCTTATTTAACAATTCTAATACCTGCTGCTATAAGTTGATCCTCAAAATCAAATCGAATACAAAATATTTCAAATTCTGGATTACCAAAAAATGTCTTTAGAGAAATCTTTCTTACTTTATTTTGTACATCACCGAACCTTAATATAAACTAGCTTAATTACTTTAATTAACCATAACAATATTAATCATTCTTCTTACCATCCTTCTTTGTATTTTGATCCAAAAATGAATGAATTTCTTACCTTTTGTATTTATTATCCATTTATGATGAATATGTAATTAAATCTGAATCTAAAATTGCTGTAAATTTATATATATATATATATATAAGACCATTTTTATCAGTATTATTAGATACAATATATAATTCAAAAATGATCAAGTGTCTAATTCAAAGAATCATTATCTTTTATTTATTGATATATATAAATAAACATTGATTATAAGAGTTCAAACTAATAATTTATTATCCAATTAGCTAATAATAATTGAGAATGCTTGCAAAGGAGTGAAAGGATAAGCAATATCGATGTTTAATAATTTGTTATCACATCTTCCAAACTATATTGCGACATCTTAACTTATATTGTTATCTTCTTTCAATTAATTAAGCAAGAAATTATGAATAGAAGCACTGTTTACTCTTGAGTTAAACGGAAGTATAAACGATTAATGTTTTGAACTCCAAATAGGCTCTTAAGTTTGAAATTCATAATATTCATCATTTCTTTTATTCTTAAATCTCCTTTTTAATTTTAATCCTGTATTCTCATCTTGAGGAACAACTTTGCGTGGTTTACCTTATATTAAAGAAGGAATGAACACCTTAAAGAGATTTCCTAAAAATAGATAATTTATGTTACTTCGAGTTTTTAATATTTGATATTCATATTAGATGAATACTAATTCTTCTCTTAAAGTCTATAAATCATTTGTATTTTTGTATGAAGGCCCATTAGAGTATAAAATGAATTCTGTACCAATAAAATTAGACCTAAAATTTTTTATTAAAATTACTCTAAAGTTCCTACAAGATCTAGCTCAGTTTCCTATTTACTCAACTAAAACCTGTGACTCCCGAAACATTATTATTTTCTTACTGATAGTAGGAGTTTTTTTGTCTTGGAATGATAGAAATTGTAGCATGAATGGAGACCAAACCATCCTTTTATAATTTTCACATCACATTCCAGAGTGATTCCTTTTGGTACTGGCGTATTTAAAAACAAGTCAGTATTTGTAGGGTTGAATTCACGGATAAGAACTGGAGAAGGCAAAGAACTTTGATTCGTCAATGTTGGTAATCTTTGCTCAGATGAATTTTCAAAGTCATGTCCATCAGATATGATATTTTATTTGACTATATCATCTTGATTCTCTATCATGATATCTGACATTTTGGATAGATTTAGAAATTTTTAGTAAATTAATTTAATATAGTTTTCTATGATTTGATATCAAGTATTTAATTATTTGAATGACAAAACTCTTCTAACTATAAAAATTTAATAATTGGAAGTCTCAGAGTTTGTATAGTGATAAAGAATCCCATATTTGAAACAAGCATAAGATTATAAATGTATAATAATTTAAATTAGATGTAAAATTATTATTAATTGCCTTTATCCCCAAGATAGTTTGTAAGTCATAACAATTGTAATTTAAATCAATCTCCAAGGCATTTTGCTTAAGTTCCAATCTCGATAGTACCATAATAAGCTTAGGTTGTTGATTTAAAATAGTACGAATAAAAATGGGTGAAAAAAATATAACAATTAGAGGAGGAATTATGTTATAGTTAACAAAAGGCTTCATATTTAGAAAAAGAATATGTATGCTAATACACTATGATAGGAAGATTTGGCTTCTGAAGCTTAAGGTTACAAGGAGGAAATTAGAAAGTTAAAATCAACCTTATATCAATGTGATAAGTTAGATTTAATGAATCAAATGAGTAGAACTTAAGAAAATAACACTATCAGTACAGCATTGGATTCTGAGAGAAGACTTGATGATAAAGAAGATAATTTGAAAGATTAAATTATTGAATTACAAAAAGTCATCATAAAACTATAGAGAGAGTCATCATAAAACAAAATAGAAGCAATCAAATGGAAGAACAAATATATTGAAATTAATAAATTATACAATGAATTATCAATAGAAAAACAAAAACCATGATATCTAAGTAATTTTGTGTTATTTTATAAACAATTATTTCCTAATCATTCAAATATTGTTTTAGACTAACTCTTAATGTTTAACAAATCAGGATTCATCTACAATAAACTGTGTTTTTAACTTAATTATTTTACTTTATATTAAAAGGTATATTTAGATTAAACAAATTCTTACAATTGGCATTTTAAATAATAATTCAACCTCTTAATTATGTTTGGATAATTTCCTAAAGGAAAATATATCGTATAAACAAACATCGTCTCAAAATCTTCAGATTTATAATCTTCTCTTTTGTACATACTTAAATCCACTATTCCTGCTGTGGTAGGAAAATTTACAAATGATCTTGTAAATGGAGTATTTGTTTTATTATATGTTCTTGTTCCGGGTATAAAGTTTATAGATGATATTTTAGATGAAATTCTTTTCATAGATGGTCTCAAATAGGTGTTTCTTGAAGGTAATGAATTTTGACTTTATCTATAAAAATACTTCATGTTTTATGAACTTTGTTATTCATCTGAATTATAACGATTTGATAAATTTAATGTATCAGAATCCTCTTCTTTTATTCTGGATAAATTTTTTTTTATTTTATTATCAAGACTAATATAACTGGATATTTTATTTTAAGATCCAAATTTTAGTTTATCACTATATTCCCCTTTAAAAGCAATTTGAGAATTATGTTTTGATCCTTTTACTGATGGAATCTATCCTTCAGTAGCTATATTTTGAGATGATGCTTATTCTAACTGAGAGGATGATTATTTTCTAATTTTAGGATCAATGGGCATTAACGAAAATCTATATGATGCTTGATTTGCTTATTATTATTATTATTGCTATTATTGCTACTATTATTATTATTATTGCTATTATTACTATTATTAGTATTGTTATTACTATTCAAATTAGAATTAGGCAGTACTCATTGTTGTTTTTTAATTATTTGGCCTAATTATAAACATTTCTTCAATATTATCATCAACTTCCAACAATATTTTAGAATTGTCTCTTAATTAATCTTATTACTTTATAATACTAACGATAGTACTAATTAATAATATATGTTAATAAGTACCCATCTTATTTATCAATAAACCTATTGTCTGAGAGTATTTAATCTGATTAATATTATTCATAGGATTCAGCTGATTCTGTATCAGATTCAATATCTTCAGTCTCAATTATTTCATTGCTTCTTGGATAGTATTCATCTTGATCAATAAGATCATATTTCAATCTAAACATTTTCAAAGCATCGAAATTGATCTAAATTTAATAAAAATTTTACGAAAATCCTTTTAAAAGTCTTATTAAAAGCTCTCTAATCAACGTTTTTATCCCTAAAAAATTTTGTTCTAATCTATTAATGAAAATTTTCCTTTTTAAATATCTTTTCAATATCAGGTTTATAGTTCAACAAAGGGCAATTATTTATCAAATGATTTGAAGAATTGCAGGAATAGCATTTTACATTAATAACGTTAAAATTTCCATAAAAAAGTGAATGCTTGATGTGGATAAATCTTTCATGATCCACTTTATTTGAAGAGATGATTTGTAGGAAATTAGATTAATTAATTTTATATAGTCTAGTAAATTCTAAGGTCTTATAAATTGTTTTGCTTGAAAAGTCAGAAAAAAAGAGAATTTCTCCAAAATAGTCTCCTTATTTTAAGGTTAACAAAGGTTTATCATATTCATAAACTTCAATTTCTCCTGAGTCAATCAGATACAAAGATTAATCGTGCTATGAAATTATTTCATTAGGATTATAATGGATATGTTCCATATGTTTGGTTAATTAGTAAAGGGAATCTTTTGAGAATTTTTATAGTAATTTACAAGAAGACAACGCTTTTGATCTCATTTACAATATTAATTCTTCTTTTAAATCTGGTCTTAATGATTACAGAATATTTTAAACCTTATCTAAGTTTACCATGTTATAAAATACCTCATAATCATTTTTTTTATTGTAAAACATATACTTTATATAATTTCGTACCTTACATTTTATTAAAAAAGGAACTTTCCTTCTATTTAAAAAAGCATTTATAGTTTCCATCTCTTTACTAAATACTATTAATAAAAAATACAATAAATGAAATTATTATTCATAAAAGTGCTTTAAATGTTAATTTAATTATAATAATATTAGACTGCAAATCCAAATAGAGAGAAATATTAAAAGACTTGAAAAAATCAATTCTGTATTTGTTGTAATGATTATATTACTTGAACCTACATTAAATAATAAAGATATTGAATAATAGAATGCATGACAGTATCTAGTCATTTTATCTGATTCATCTATATTATTTTTATAGATCCATGAATTTTCATCATTGATTCCTATAATATGCCAAATACATGAACTTAAATGTAGCAAAAACATTAATTACCCGATATTAACAAGCAGTTCAAAATTTAAGGAAGTAAAATCTGATAATTTATTGAGGATTTTATTTAACTTAGCTAATGATGAAATAAATTAAAAGGCATATAAAATGAGCAAAGTTTCATCATTATTATTTTATAATAACAATATTGTCGTCGAAACTGAATATATTAAGTTTGCAATTATAGTACAAGGGATTGAGTTTCGAATAACATCGATTTTATTAAGTATCATATAACCTTTTTAGAGATATGGGGATACTAAACAAATAAATACATCAAGTACAATAAATAAAATGAATATGACTTGTGTTAAATATTGGTTTGTGGAATTAAATGCAATTTTAAAGATTATCCAAAATAACAAAATAATAGTTTATAATAAAGTGAGCAAATCCCAAATAAAATAAAACGAAAAATCTAATATTATTTGATTTCTACTTCCATTATTAGTAAATGTATTATTAGACAATGTCATGTATTTTTCAGTTAAAATTTGTTTTTATAATGAGTTAAAAAAGTAGTCATGATAAATATATGCTTTTTGTTTGAGAATGCTTATGAATTTAGAAATGATTTTTTTATCTAATAATTCTTTATCTGTATTAGGTTATGAAAATACAAACTTCTTAAACCTATTAAAATTACTTTTTTTCATTCTTTTAGTTTCAGTTTCATCTACAAGTCTAACTTCATGAGGATCCCCAATATTTTTATGACTCGGTCCTTATGGATCATATTATCTAGGAATGCTCTAACTATGAAATACTATCTTACAACATCTGAAAATGGATTTATATTACTCAAAAGAGATGAATTGATAGTTGGAGGTTTTAGATCCGATGGAGATTGTAAAGATTTAGGCATCTATGAACTTGATATTCTTTGAATTCCCATTTTATGATCACTTTCATATGATAAATTTATCATAATTTTTATATAACATTCATTTCTAAATACTTTTTGTTAAATTTAGTATAATGTTGAATTTTCATTTCCTGTTCTTTCGACCATCGAATTATATTCAGTTTCCCTTATTGTTGTGAAATCAACATTGAAATCCAAAAATAAATACAAAACCTTTAATTTCATTGATTTGCCATCTTTCATAATAATCATTATAGAATATAAATTTCAATACTGTTTAATATTAATAAAGGTTGAATCATACTTAGCAATTTTTAATCTACTAGGTCTGTTTTCAAATCCAAATCGGCAATTTTCTTCATATACAATCTAAATTAAATTATATTGGCTTAGAATGATCCTAATAAAATATTTAATTGTTTCTAAACAAAATATCAAAAAAGAATTAAATTTCGTCGTGCCTGAATAATCTTCATGGCAATATCCTAATGGAAAATGCTTATTGATAACCTAAATTAATGTAAGCCTTATCATAAATTTCAAAATTTCTAGAGCAATTTACCTTTTTCGTTTTCTTATATTCCGAACATGCTTATTATTTTTAAAACATTTTATTTCAAAATACGCGTTTTATTTTTATTTTCAATCTAAATTTCTAGTCTAAATATATTTCCGCTCCCATTTAATAGCTTTTCTCGAATAATGATGTTGATTTTAGGTGTATTCTGAATTTCATAAATTATTGACTTATCTCAATAATTTAATTCTTTCTCTAAAATAATATATTTTCTTGAGCACTATAGTTTGATCATTATAGATTCGTGTAATCAAGAACAGCTAAAACAAATACTATTAGACTTGAAACTAAAATTGTATAATAAAATAATAAATATGAAAATTTTAAGTTAAAATAAATTTTGGAGAAAATAAGATCATTAATAGTTCCAATATTTTTCATCTTGCTAGGACCTAATTTTCTTATTAATGCTTCACTACACTGATAGAATTGAGTTTGAAAAGGAATCAAAATTTATAAGGTAGATATGATGTCCTCTAATTAGATAGGACCCATTATAAACAATTTTTGATTTTAGTTAATTTAATATTCATTTGATAATATAAATTTGTATTAATCATATATCATTCGTTGGATTATTTTGTTTTGTTTTGATAGGTGATGTTTTTCTTTTTGATTTGTAAAGTAATCATTGTTTATATGAATTTCTAGTTTTTGAATATATCATAATATATATTATAGAATCAAAGAACAAGGATACAGGATAATCTTTACTTGCAGAATAATAAAAGAAATAAATTGGAGAAGAACAAATAAAACGATGGAGGATGATAATAAAAATGGTTCGTCATAATGATATTTAATTATTACATTAATTCAGTCAAAAAAAGATAAAATGTAAACTACAATAGGATTAATTTTATTGATCCTACATGTAAGGATTATTATGAATTAGCAAATTAAGAATAAAGACTTCAATACATAATTTTAGCCTAAAGCATTTTGTATCCAAATTCCCAATAATTCTATTATAGAATTTACAAAAATTTAAGAGCAGCTGGGTGATTGAGTCTAATAATAAAATTATTAGGTTGAAAAATAATCAACTTAATCTCAAAGAATACTTTAAAATAAATGTATTAATAAATTCAATTTTCACCTTTTGAAATTACGGAAAAGTAGAATTTAACATATTCAGTTATTAATCGCACATATAAACTAGCTATTGAAGCAATATTTCTAAAATTTGAATGTTTTTTGCCAAAATATAGAGTAAAAACTTCAAAATATTAATTCAAATTTACTTTATGATGACAAATGAAAATAATCGAAGTGAATAAAAAAATAATAAATTATACCATTATCATTAAAGCATTAGGTCATAACAATTATATTACCAATAATTCAATGAGAAATCGATTTTTTTAAATTTAATATATTTTAGTCAACTCCAAAATAAAATTATGGAAATTCCTTGAAAACGTATCAAAAAATTCCTGAAATGAAAGAGATAAACATTTATTAAAGCGACAGGATGTGTAAATTCGAATAATTCATATGGTATTTTAGTTTTTTGATAGATATTCAAATAAATAGAGGGTTTTTAAATAACTTTGATGATAAAAAATTTTTTCAAGAAGAATTCTCTTGATCCTGTTAACAGATGAATTTAAGATTAAAAATTTGATACCATTATTATCTAAGCACATTCTAAATATGTCTTAGAAAATTCAAATAAAGCATTAAATACTTACAAGATCAATATTATTACGAATATCTTTCTAAAAATTGAATGGTTAAATAGATTTAGCAATTTCTTGGTTACTATAAAAGAAGTATTACTAATTGTAAAATTTAAGTAACAAATTTATGATTTACTTTGGATTCCGAATTCCAAATCATAAAAGTTTTATATTGATAAGTTAGAATTAAAGTTTCAGAAGATAGGAATAAACAAAAGTAAGGGAAATTAAACAATCAATACTAAGATTGAATATATTTATATATAAATATAATAAAATGAAACATTCTTAATTAGTACACCTACTGTCCAAATAACCTCAATCTGTTGATTATTAAGGAGCTACTTAAATGAGCACTCCTCGAGCCAATTAGTAATCATAATAAACATTGATATTACCACATAAATTAACTACATTGAGTACAGCTTACAGCAAGGAGTAAAGATTATTAACAGAGGGTAATGAAGATTTCGAAGTCTAAGTAAACTAATTCAATGTAATAAGAAAATAAAAGATCTACAAAATAGATTGATATCTAGATGTACTACGTTAGAATTCCTTATTTAAGTTATTACAACACACAAAAATGAATTAAACAGTCTACCAACTATCTAAAAAATTGAATAACTCTTACTTTCAATTGTAAACACTATTTAAAATACAACCAAAAATGAAATCTAGTTAGGCTTTTTAAACAGAGAGTAAAAGAAAACTTCAAGTATTCAATTTTATAAATTTTAGTGTTTAATAAGTAGGTATTGAAAAAGGAGGTTGAATTATTTGATAGGAATAAGTCATTACAATAAGAAATGGAGATCAATTCGACCAGAAGTAATAAATTGATAGAAGAAAATTAAAAATTATAAAAGTAATTAAAATAAGAAAAAAATTTAAACGAAATTAACGTCAAGAAAATAGCTGCATTAGAAAAGAGAATTGAATTTATAGTATCAAATGATATCAATATTTTCGAAATGAGATCAAATTTAACTATTTTAATGAAAGAAAATGAATAATTGAAAAGAGAATTGGAAAGAAAAAATTAGGAAGTTGAGAGGATTTAAGGAAAATTAAATTAATATCAATTAGTAGTAAGTAGGTTACAAAAAACAATTGATAATTTGAGAAAAAAGAATGAAGATGACGAAATTAGAGGATTTATTAAGAAAGATGATGTTGAATTGTTAATGAATTACAAAATACCACAAAACTTGGATTTTAGAATAGTGTGTTAGAAATTAGATCATCAAAACTTATTAAATGATCTCTGTGAGAAAGGTGTTGTAAATACGCTTTAACAAATATCTTAATAATCTCAGGAAGTCTAAAAACAGCAAATCACTTATTATTGTAATCAATTACTGTCCTTTAAGGATTTTTCTGAGAGATTAAATTAATTGTTATTACAAATGGAGGAGTTCAACAATTCCTAGACAATAGAAGATCTGATTTTTTATGTAAATAGACAATTACCTTAAGTATTTAAATGTGAGACAGCTAAATTATGGTTGTTAGATTCTAAAAATGGGTTGTTGTATTCTTATTTGGAAACTAGATAATAAATAAAGGCATTGCAGGATAAAGGATTAGTAGCAGATACTTTCAAAATGTATTAGGCCTAAAACATAGGTTAGAAACCTAAAAAGGCAATAATATATAGAATAAAGGAGAGCGAATAACCTGAATACGGAAAAAATGCATTGATATTGCCAATATTTTGTATAGGGTAGAATATCGTAAGAGGTAGTTTGATAATTTTGAATTCGGAATAGGAATAGTTTTCTTTTGATGAAGAATACTTTGGAATAATTATAAGCAGATTTTTAGGAATAATAATTCAAAGGTTAGTTGATAAGGAAAGTTGGTAAATAGCTTAAAAGTATAGAAGTCTTATGATTAATCAGTTAACAGATATTTTACGATCTAAAACTAAATAGATAGCAAGTGACAGAATCAAATTAAGTTTTAAGAGGATATTTGGATTTTAGATGATAAAATTTTATTTTGTGATGAATGAACAATTGATAAGTTTTGAGAATCAAAAGGAGGAGATCTTTTCATTAGATTATGGATTGGCAGGAATGGCAGTGAGGAATAAGTAGAGATACATAGTAAATGATATCAAGAGGTCAATAAATTTTAATCCAAAGGTTGATTTGACATCTATTTTACCAATTTTTATTTAACCTTTATTAAATAAATAGGATGAAGTGATAGGAGTAGTAGAGGTATGATATTTTAATGAAATTTAGACTTGCTTAAAGAACAAGTTGTCGATTGATATGGAGAGGGAACACTTATTAGAGGTCAGTTAAAATCTCTTTGGAATAGAAGAACCATTGACAAGTTAATTGCAGAGTTATGCGGAGTTATTGGCAGGAACTTTATCTAATATAGAATTTTGATATAATATTTGATTAAATTTATTCTAATAATAAAAATAAATATGTCTGAGAAATAGTTGGATAGTCAATATAAATTGTAGGAGTAGGAGACATAATCAGGGAATAATATTGAATTGAGTAGTCCTCAAGAGAGCAGCAAGAAGAAGGGAAGAGCACGGACAGCGTCAGAAAGAACATTTAGTGCTGCAGAGACTTTATATGGGCGATCAAGAAATACAGGATCTATGATACTCTTGAGGACAGCTGATCAATTTAATAAAAAGGTTATTCATGATGTGATTAATCATTCCCCATCTAAATAACAATATTCATTTGCCAAAGCCACTAGATTCTCGAAACCTCGTTCCAGTTATTGTCAACAATAATTTTATGATTCTTAGTATTTCAATCTTTGTACAATTTTAGGATAAGAACAGCTCTTGGTAAAAGAACTTGCAGTTTCGGATTTGGTATAAAATTCGACTTTGCTAAATTAACAGATAAGTATATCCCTCCTCCTACTGCATATACAATTAAATCAAAATCAAAACCAGTCACAAAGTTTGGGTATGGTAGAGAAGAGACCAAAGCTGTAGGAATCTATGGTAATCCAAATAAGAATCCAGCACCTAATACCTACAATTTGAAAGATACTTTCTCCAACATCAAATTTTCATTTGGAGAAAGAACCAAAGCAAAACGTAAATAATCACTTAATATTTAGATATTTATTTGGAATCTACAACTCCGTCTCCCTGCGCTTATAATGTTGGTGGTATCAGCAAAACTGGAAATTATTTCAATTCTAAATACTCGAGCAATCGAGCTCCCTTGTTTTCTCCTTCATCTAATAAGTCTTTCAGAATAATTAAAACTCCTGGACCAGGAACCTATGATCCTCCAGGAGATATTGCTGATTTCAGATTGAAAAGTAGTTCTGGCTTCAGTTTTGGAGCATCAGAAAGAAAAACTATTTAAATTCGAAATAAAGTTTGTAAATTAATCCAATTTCATTATTTTAGTTCCTGGACCTGGTAGTTACCAATTACCATCAGAATTTGGTGATGTTGAATATCCAGATTGATTATCATAATATTATCAATGAAATTATTAATAAATTATATTCATAAATGTTGACTTTAACACAAATGGATGAAATAATAAAACTGACATAGTAGCATATGGTGAATTGTTAAGTCAATCATGATTTCAAAGAGGCTGATGAAGTAAAATCTAAAATACTTCAAATGAAAACTATAAGAGATCTAATTGAAAGAGAAGAAATTTAGGATTAATTCAAATTAGGAGAGGAAAGAATCCTCCTATAAACCAAGTCATAAATTGAAGAAGTCAATTAATATTTTAATCAGCTATTTGAAAAATTCAATTATTAGAAAAGTCAAGCACTTTAATAATTATGGCATTAATAAAAAGTATAATTATAAAAGTCTGTCTTTTATAAAAGATAGCAAAATGCTGAATATCAAAATCTATAAAAAATAATGACATATTTGTCCAATCAAAAGGAATTCAAAAAAGCTGAACTGTATCAGGTATATCTAAAAGAAGCAAGTTAAGATCATATGAGAAGAACTCAATCCGAATAGAGGTAAACTCAAGAAACGCAATAAAGAGTACTTAAATAAAAACATGCACATTAAGAAGAAGTTCTGATTAATAAATTCAATGATCAAGAATAATTAATAAAATTAGAAATGAATAAAAAATTATAAGAAATCGAACAAAAAAGAATCAATTAAATATCTTAATTGTAATTTGAGAGAAATCAGAAAATCAGCCAACTTGAAAGAGGCAGAACTAAATCTATAAAAGTTTAAATCTAATAATAATTAGATGAAATGGAAAAATGTTCCTTCCTCTTTAAATGAAATTTATATTAATTAATTAATGTTACCTTAAACGAATTTTCTATAAGTTTTTCTTTTACTGTTGTTAGAAATTTATTGGTTTTCCGATGAATTTTAATAGGTAATGATTATGATAATTGTTGATTTTTTATATTGTATACCCTGTAATTTTCTTTATTTTACATCTTTTAATTATTTTTCTATCAGGTTATTCATAATTTAATGAAGATTATTTTATAGCATTCCTTAAAAATGAATAATTCTGAATTTTCTTTAGCTAATTTCAGTTAATCAATTTTTAATATAGTTTGATTTTTATCTATTTACTTTCATGAGTTTTCAAGAAATTATTTAAGGAAGGGAAACATAGTATTCTTTTTTGGTTAGCTTTGCCTTATTCTGTTATTCATAGCTCATAATAAATTAAAGGAATGCTAGTTAAGTTGTTTTATTCAACTATAATACATTAATTTTACTAAACCTATTGGATTAATAATAAACTTAGTTGTAGACTATTATGAAATTACGTTATATTCCAAACCAAGCAAATGAATAAATATAAAAATGATTAAAATAAGATTTCATTTAAAATTTTTAAGTGCGTTTTAAGCACATAAAGTTAAATTTAATGTAATAATATTCTAAGGTGTTTAAGCTCAATTTTTAAAACAATTGAAAGTTGTTCATCTTTGTGTTTCAGAAAACGTTTGTTAATTATTAGTTATTTTGAATTTATACATCAAATTATAATAATTCTGAAGCTTAATATTATAATTTTTTGAATATTTATAAAATAGATATTTATTAAATTTAGATAATTAATTTAATAAATGAATGATTAAACCTCTGGTGGAGAGTCCCCCAAAGAGTTTGCTCTTTATTTTAATACGAGTGACGCATCGGTAAAACTAAATACTCACATAGGGATTTGAAGTTTGTGATGAGATTAGCTAATCTGATCCAACTATCTTTTATAGGCCTATCAACAAAGATGATGGATTAATTTATGAGAAAATTAGCGCATAAGGTATGGATTACCTAATTTAACATATTAAACTTTATAACTATGTTAATACTAAGCTTAAAGTGTTGTAGAATTAATAATAATAAAATGATTAATTAGGATAGCAAAGTGTGGTATAAGGATAAGAAGAAGGATAAGGAGAAGGGTAAGAAGATGATGCGGATACATTTATAAAATAATTTCATGAGAATGATATCGTTAATAGTCTAATTAACTAGATTACAAATTATCCATAATAGAATGAGGTTATTTTAAGATAATAAATTAAAAAATAAATCTTTCAATTTGAAAAGGTTTATGATAATAGTGTCACATTCTGTTTACTTTATGAAAATTAGGAATAATCAGAAATTGATTCTCAAATTGAAAAGTTCAAACAAATTTTTCCAGATAGGAAGACTAATATTGTAATTTTGATTAATGGTAAAGAAAAGTTTAAATTAAAAAGGGGTTTTAAAATGGAAAATAAAATAAAAGAAAATAAATGTATTAATTCTATTTATTATTTAGGTAACATATGTTATACTTATGAAGATAAAGGGTGCATATTTTTTGTTCTCAATGAAGAATAAAGTACTATCAGGCTATTAAATTGGATTTATAGAGGAATCTTTAAGCATTTTCAACCTCAATATTTTTATGTTGGTTATTTGAGCATTCTAATAGATGTAGAAAAATTTAGATTAATGGATAGAATGATGGTATAACCTGAATATTTTGGAGCAACAGGATATTATAATTTAATTCATGAACAAAAAGTAAATACAATTTTTTCTCTTAATTACTCTTTTGTTGGATATATGAACTTTTTGAATTACTAATTTTAAATAGATTCTTTAGCAAAGCTTAAGAGATTTCATAATCCTTTCTTCTCTTATTATAAATGGAACGAGCTCTATACCCATCTTGATAGCTATATTAAAGAGTTAGAAATTGAAAATTAGAAAGGCAATCTTAATTTACATTTAAATCCATTATTACCTTATAAAATGTTTAAAGAGGCCGAAAAATAATTTTTTTCAGCTGGTAGTAACTTAGGTGAGAAAAAGATTATTCAAGATAATTAAGCGTAAATGTTTTTGGATTTATCAAATATGATGAATTACATCACCTAATGTAATGATTATGCATTAACTATGCATCGAGTTTTGTACGCAATCTTATTAGATTTAAGAAAATTTGAATCTAAAATAAAATTAGCACAAATTTTATTTTTGTACACCTTCTCACCTTATCAAGCATATTTTTATTTAAATATATCCAGATCATACATAAAAATTATAATTGCAATACTTTGTCCTTTTCTACTATTTATCCTATTATTATTGTTTGTGTTACTAGTGTAATAATACTAAATTGGTGTAACAATTGTAAAAAAATAAGTAAGAAACCTATACTTCTAGTTGAACAAAAATGATTTATATATTCTTTTTAAGTCAAAAATTCATGAATTCAAGAATGTTGATCAGATGGATTCCTAGCCTATTACTATTGAAATTAATAAGAAAAAATACATATTTGAAAAATTAATCCAAGAATTACCACCACACTAATCAGAAGAAAGGCCGAGAAATGCCTAAAGTTCTCATGCGCAACGCTCATTTATGGAGAACAATATTAATTCCTAAGAATAAAGATTGGTTAATGAAAGAAACGATATCGAAGACACTATATAAGTTTAAAATTCTAATTTAGAAAAGCTTTATAAACTGTCAATCTAAAGCATTACAGAAAAAAAAGTTGATAACTTTTATGAATTGTTATTTTATGCTACGTTTCTTGTAGAATTTATTTGCTCAGCAATAGTAATTGCCAACCTAATTTTCACATACGGGAGTAATCTAATACATGATGTTCAAAATGAATAGCATTTTGTCGCTATTATAGGAATAATAATTTTTATTTTCTTTTTTATAGTGAGAAACTTTGGGTTTAAGAAAGATTAATATAGGTATATCATTATTATTGATCAATAGGGCATCGTTTTTAGTGCCAATTTTTATCTTTTTAAATTTACTTATCACAACTGTTTATTCTGAGATGTACCATCAATTAAGGATTAAAATAAAACCTAAAGAATATCTGGAATAAGTTTAGAAATTATCTCAATACTTGTGCTTAAATATTTTATTATTAATTATGTAAATATATATTGATGTTGTTAAGATTTTATATTGTGGAAACCTCCATGAATTTTGAAGGCTATATATTTTCCATCATTATATTTTACAATTTGACCCTTTATTTGATAGATTCAGTATTTGTGATTTGTGCAATTTTAAAGGGATTCTTTAATAAAATTAATTTAAAAGATGAAACTGAAGGCTAATCCATCAGAATGTACGAAACAGAAGTAGGCTTTTTGGAAAATTATAAGGAAATTGTGGGTCTTTATCTTAAAGATTTAAGATAGTAACAATAAAATGAAATTGTAATCATTTGACATATATTTCAAAGGAGAAGAAACCTAATCCAACCGAAAGTAACCCATACGTAATTTCAAAAAATACAAATCACTAAGATTTGATTGATGCTGGGGAAGGTGATTTTGTCCATGATCCTGCAAATTTAAATAATTCTAGCGAGATAAATTGAAAAATTTCCTAATATTAAAATTTTTTTATTTTATAATTTACTAAAAATACAGAACATTGGCTTCACTTAATACAGACTGATGATTTGATGGCAAAATTCTACACTTGCAATTTGGCTCATATGTTTTGTTAGAAGGGGAGATGTATTATATTAATTCATTTGATAAATAGTGATATCTCTAATTATTGGAAAACTCAAAATAGTGTTGCGCGAATTGAATATTATCCACACTGAGAAAAAAATTATAGAAATCTGGAATGGCAGTTAAAGCAAATAGTTAAAGATTCATATTAATCAGATAAAGATTTATCATAATAAAATTATATATATATTCTATTAGCAGCATTTTTGGATAAACTTTATTATTCAACAGTTCAATTTGTTAAAAAATCGCTTTATTTAATCAAGGACTTAGTAAAAATGATGAATCATTAATTATTTGAATACTTCTAATCTATATAAAGGTCAGATAATTTCTAGAATATTAAAACTTGTAATCGATGAAAATAATTTAAACACCTGATTGCTATAAATTCATAGATTGATAATTTTAACAATGATGAAGAAAAATCTTTCAACAATCCTTCAGAATAGCTAAACTTAGGTAGATTATAAATTGATAAAAAATGTATAATTATTTTGATTTATATGATTTTCACTATTGCTTAATTTTCACAGAACTAATATTTCCATCTTCCCATAAAATAGCAAATCCATAATCATCAAATGAGCAATATTTTATGTTATTCTTTTCTACCCAATCAGAATTGACTGGGCTAAAATGTGTAAAATTAGCTGGATCTTTTCCTTAACTTTTTTGTAAGTATCCTTGGATCAGAGTTGGGAAGTGAAATTTGTATACAACAAATTAACCATTTGGATCAATCAATAAACTTACATTTTTGAGTAAAATCAAGGATTAGAGTAGTTCATTTGCTCCAATACTAATATTTATTAATAATTAATTACTTTTATTTTATAGAATCTACTTTTTTATTTGATTCTATTTTTTTAGGACTGTCTTATAAAGATGTGACATTTATGATTACACTTTAATTTCCATTTGTATAAGTATACAAACCCTCATTAATATCAGCATTTGAAAATAGTGGAGCGGAATTTTAATCATAAAAGTCAACTTACACATTTTATCCTAGATTAATTCCTTATTATTATAGATATGTTAATAACTATTAAATATTATAGGTAAAATACATCTAATATAGGCATATTTGGTAGTTGATTTGTCATTATTTATTATCCTTCAAAAAACACAGTAAATGCTGGCTATTATGCTTAAAGAACATAAAGAGCTGCATTAGGTTAAAAATATTATGAAATGTATGAACCATCTTAATGGTTTAACATTGTTTATCCATCCAAAGTTAAACAATATTGTTATCTGTCTAATTAGTATTGCGCCAAGTAATCATACATATTTGACACTGTATAAGTTGGTTGATATTCAATTGGAGCTATTTGTACTCCAACATTTGACCCGTCGAAATAAATACTCATTTTTATTATTTTTATTAATAGAATTCCAATATCAACTAATGAAATTTCAATACATGTTTTATAATAATAATAATCATTTCCACTATTATTGATGGTATATTAATTATGATGAAATCTAATAATAAATCTCTAGTAAAAATAATTATTCATAATTCATTAGATGATAATCAGTCTGATTTCTCTTCACATTAATATTCAATAAAATAATTTCACATTTATTAATATCAAGTTATGTAGTTAACAAATCTGGTTGAGAATAGTGTTAGATGCTCTTTGAAATGAAATTAAATCAAATGTTTTTCATATAAAATACTTTACAAATTGATTAATCAATCTAGTTACTTTATGACGTAATACTTCACCAATCCTCTCAGTAATAGCTTAATATTCCTATCCTTCTAATATTATAATAAAATACCTTAAAATTCTGTTTGAAAATCTTGATTATCAAATTAATTTTGATTGTCTTTCATATTAAGATACCTCTATTGAACTATTTTTCATGTTGGAATTTAAGGTTTTGAAGGTGAGAGTGTTATTTTATAAAGTTTAATTTCATCTACTTATCAACACTCACATTATTTGGTTTATAAAGAGTTAATTTATTTAATAATATATAATTATATAATATAGAGGGAAGTATGAGATCATAAGTATAACTCATCTTTGTTTAAATTGTGAATAATGATTTATACAGATACATAGAATATATAAAAAATAGCATACAAAAATTGACTGCTAAATATTGATTAATTTCAATAATTTGGATTTATTCTGATGTTTCTATATTTATAAATATTATCAAATATTTACAACAATAATGAGATAATTTATATCAAAAAATCCAGCTACAAAATAGGTATTAGGGGAATTCAAGTTTCTAAATGATTAAGAATTAAATCATGTGATACAATAATCAAAAGAGGGATATCAAATCAATAAGAACAGTTCATTTTAAATAAAATCAGAGAAGCTATTGAAGTAGAAATGATATATTTAAGTAGGTTGGCAGATTTATTGAATTAGAATTAAGAAAAATATGCTAAATTGATATCTTATGAAATAGGAAAACCTATATCATAATCAATGGCTGAGGTGAAGAAATCTCAAAATTATTGTAAATATTATGCTGAGAATATAAATAAATATTTATAACCTCAGAGAGTGAAAACAGAAGCAAAGAATAGTTATGTACAATATTCACCTATAGGTACAATTTACTCAATATCACCTTTTAATTTTCCATTTTGGTTATGTAACAAAAGAATTTAGTTTTAGGTTTTAAGCCAATAATTCCAATGCTAGCAGTTGGTAATGCAGTAATTCATAGACCATCTGATTCTACAGGTCTATGTGGATTAGCTCTATAGGAACTATTTACATCAGCAGGATTCGATGGCAACATTTTTTAGAATGCATTTACGACTGCTTAATAACTAGATTAAGTGATGGCACATCCTTAGATATAAGGTGTATCATTTACAGGTTCCACAGCTGCAGGTTCAATATTAGGAGCTACTGCTGGTAAGTATCTGAAGAGAAGTGTATTGGAATTGGGAGGATCTGATCCATTTTGTGTATTATAAAATGCAAATGTTGAATTGGCAGTTTAATTGGCTCTTAAATCAAGAGTTGCAAATTGCGGATAGGTTTGTTTTTCAGCAAAAAGATTCATAGTTCATTTTCAATATTATGATATTTTTAAGGAGAAATTAGTGAATGCTTTAGAGAAATTGAAAATCGGTGATCCTTTATTAGAGACCACTGAATTAGGACCAATGGCTAGAGAGGATTTAATAACAAATATTTTGAATTAGATAAAGAAGGGAGTGGATGAAGGAGCTAAGATAGTATATGGAGGGAAGAGATTAAAGGAGAATGAAAACTTTATGTTGCCAACGGTAGTAGAGGTGGATGAGTAAAATGTGTTGGCAAAAGAGGAGACATTTGGACCATTATTTAGTCTAATCAAAGCTAATAGTAATGATGAGATATTAAAGATTGCGAATAACACACCATATGGATTAGGTGCAGTAGTTGTTAGTAATGATAAGAAAGAGATTGAGTAATTTGTGAATCATCTAGAAGCAGGGATGGTGTTTGTGAATGAAATAGTCAAATCAGATTAAAGATTACCATCTGGAGGTATCAAAGGATCTGGATATGGAAGAGAATGCGGAGAATGGGGAGTCTAAAATTTTGCTAATATTAAGACAGTTTGGATCGAATGAAAAATATTCACATTTATATAAATAAGAAATTAAAATGAAAAATAAAAGATCATTAATACAAGAATAATAACCAGATCATGATACTATCAGAAGACAGAATGAAATCGTCCTGCAACCTGCAATCTAAGTATATAAGATGTATACTCAATTGCACACAGCTGCATAAGCCGAATAAGTGGCTGATTCTCTCTCCACAATAGAATTTATGTAGAAACAATGTGATAAAAATATGAAAGTCAGAGAGTTTGCTATGTATGCTGCTTAGTTTTTTAAATATGAACACTACAATTTTGGTTAGCCAATAATGAATTAAGGGGAGTATGGAGATAGATTTTACATTCTGTTACATGGTGAAGTGGGTGTCTATATTAAAAGATCAGCTGAGGATGTTGAATAAGAATTGGATTTCATCACTCAGTAAAGTAGTGAAACAAACATTGGGGGCGGTCAATTGAAAAAAAAGAAAACTATCCAACTACCTTAATTTAATAGATATGATCTGGCACTTAGAATGTTGATAGAAAATCCTATGTATCATAATAGTGGCATTCCATTGTTCAAAAAGGTGTGGCAGTACTATTCTGGTTAGTGTTTTGGTGATTAAGCATTAATTCATGATCAACCAAGATCTGCTAGTGTTATTGTGGTATCTGAAGAGGCACACTTGATTTCTATGAATAAACATGATTACAAATTGGTATGTGAGAAATAGATACAAGAATAAAATGTGAAAATTGAATAATTTATGAAATTATTCAATGGAGCTTCCAAATTCACTGTTTCTAAATTCATCTAAAATTTAAGAACAATCAATTTTGCATCCTAAACTATTTTATGGAAAGAAGGTGAAGAACCCAAATTTTACTTTCTGATTCAAAAAGGTAGAGTGGAACTCTTTAGACATATTCAAGATGATATCAATACGTAATCTGCTACAAAAAAGAAAAAGAAAATTGTCCTAAGCTAATTATCAGATAATGCTTTTGTGGGCTAAGAAGAAATCATTGATTCTTTACCTCAAAGATTGTATTCGTGTCAAGTATTGGATAACACTGTTGCGTATTATATGGAAGCAGCAGAATTCAATAATTTAAAAAAGAACTTTCCAGAAATCGTTAAATTATTAAAAGATAAAAGCAACCTAATCCAAGAATATATGACTAATAGACAAGCCAAAATCATTTCTATCTTATAACAACATGACAAGGCTTAAAGTTCTCAACCTCAACAATTTCAAATTACAGAAAGAAAAACAATTCAAGAAATCTTCAAAAATCCAGATGAAAGACCAGATAAAAATGATGTGAGATCCCAAAAACCCAGAGTCTTATTGCAATCTGAAATTGCCCATCAGAATATGATCTATCACCTTAAAAAATTGCCTAATGATCCTAAAACTAAATTCCTCATGCTTGATAAAGAAATGATTGATCAAATCAGAGATAGAGTTTCCAGAAAAATCCAAACCAATGCTGAAAAGAAAATTAGAATCAAAACTACATCACTTGATGACAATCAAATTCTAATTAATAGAGTTCAAAGTGCAGCCAGTACAAAATCCAAAAGATTAAAAAAATTTGAGAATATTGAACCTGTACTATAAATTACTTCTTCAGAACCAAATCTACTTTCACCCAATTTTGCTACCTCCTCTACCACTACAATACCTATTGTTCAAAGAGCATGGAATCCTTTGAGTAAATAATTAAAAGCCAGAATGCGGAAAACTATGAGTTGCATGTTTAGTCGAAATACTGTCCCTACAAGATAAACTGAATCTGATGAAATATTTTCTTAATTCACTTAACCTGTCAGAATTCATACCGGAAAATCTCATAGCAGAAAAATGTAAATAAGCAATTATTATTTAGAACTTCCTCTATTGCTTCACGTAAAAAAAGTGCTTAATGTCACAGTTTTATTTGATTATTATATTTTTAATTAACATGATTTACTCTGCATTCACTCTCCAAAAAAGATCAAAGACAGAACCCGATAATACAATTGTTGGGACTCCCTTCAACAATCCTTCAATATCTAATGTAATATTATAATTTAGTCCTTTAGGATTAAAAAACATAAATATCATAAGTATACAAAACTATATAACTAATGAATCAAAGTCCTCGAATTAATATTAAATATTCACAGATTAAAATTGTACTAGCCATTAATTCAATCTTCAACCTAATATCAAAACATCGATCAACAAAAATTTAAAAATATACACTAATTTTATTCCAAAATCTATCAAATTATAAAAGGGCCACGAATGCACAAAATTATGAAATTTAATGCCATAGGCAATTATAATATTTTCAAGGTATGTCTAAATTATTAATAAATACTGTTTAAATTAAAAAGGAATATTTATTTAATGTACGTCATCAACTTGTAATGAAGAGGAAGCTTAGTAAAGTATTTAATAGAATTGACAATTAAATTTATCAAAGTAAACTTATGGTTATTTTAAAACTTTTGTAATAATCTAAAAAAGATAGGAGTCTTTTAGATAACCTAAGCTACTATTATTGCAAAAAATAGGTAACACACTAAGAAAATATGGCAATAAAATTTGCAAGCTCGACTTAAATTGCAACAGCCATTAATAAGATAGTTTTGAAACATCAAATTAGATTTTTCATAAAATTGATTAAATCAAATAAATTATAATAATCAATCAAATAAATTTAATTGGGAGAAAGCCTTCCATTTAATAATAGGAAAGTTGTAGTTGGAGAATTTGAACTAGTTGAAAGAAAATTAAATAGTATATGCCTTCTCAATTCAGTAATAAAGAAGAAATTGCAAAACTATTTTTTCTCTTTAAAATTATAAGATGTAAATAATTCCAAAAGGAAAGTAAGCATTAAATCATCACTTCTTAATTCTAGTTCTTCAGTTTTAAGAAAATTTATGAGACAAGGAGAGAGCATAATTGAATTATACTCATCAACTAATGACACTGAATAAAGTAAAAAGGACTATGAACAGGAGGAAATAGTTTTAAATAAGAAAAAAACTCTATGTTAAACTTAACATCCTGAATCTCTGATTAAGAAGCGGATCTCTATAAGTATATAATAAAATCTATTGATTTAGTTCATTTATCTTAAAAAAATGACTTTAATAGAAAGTAATCTTTAGAACTCAAGACAACTAAAATTTCAAAGTAGAAATCAATATTTTAATTGATTGTTCCAATTTTTTTAATTGTAGGAGTTCTAGCAATATTCATAATGTTTCAATGAGATTATATATAATTCATACTGCTTAAATATTGAGAAATGTTTCTAATATCAGATATTAATCTTTTGATTTATGTATTTTATATTTGCCTTGATCCTCAACCAAATTGTTGCTCATGAAGGATGCTAACATGAGCATCATGATCATAAAGAAGAATACACAATAAATAATCTAATATATGCTGTTGCAATATTATAACCTGATAATGGAAGTGGAGTTAGTGGAATTGTAAAAATGATTTCAGATGGATAATCTACAACAATTTAAGCTAAGATTACAGGATTATCAGATGGATTACATGGATTTCATATTCATGAATTCGGAAATTTAATTAAAGGCTGTATATCTGCTGGACCTCATTATAATCCTCATGGAAAATTACATGGTGGTCCAAAAGATTAAGAAAGACATGTTGGGGATTTGGGAAATGTTCATTCAGAGAATGGAGTTGCTCATTTCAAACTAACTGATGATTTAGTGAAATTAAGTGGTGAATTTAGTGTGATCGGAAGATCTATGGTAGTTCATGCAAATGAGGATGATCTTGGCAAAACTGATCATCCAGATAGCAAAAGCACTGGTAATGCAGGTGCTCGTTTGGCTTGTGGTGTTATAGGAATTAGCGGACCCTTTGAGTTTGATTGATTATTAATTTATTATAAATGAAATCATTTAATTCATTTCTGAAATTACTTCACATCTAATGGGAATAAATATGTAGTGATGATATTTCAGATTCAGTAAGGGATAAACTCAAATCCACTCTATAAAATCAAACTATATTAGAATCGAGGTTTATTTCGTTATCCAAAACGAAAAGTGAGAATCCATAAGAATATGAAAGCTTTTTTGCTTAAGAGAGAGACTCCCCATTCTTTTCAACTTATTTGCTCATATGCACCGTTATCAAAGAATACTATTCGTAAACTGATAACATGTTGAGTGAATTGTCACCAAGTCTATTAAGCTCTAGTTCAACTTAATAATAGATAACTATAGAATCAATCATAGACTGTATGGATAATCTTCTTTATGAGTATGAAAAATTAACAGAGATCAATTTAATTGTGAAATAAGTCCTATTTGAAGTATTTTATTAGGTTGGGGGAAATTTCACAATCTTTGTAAAGAATTTGATGCTTAATAATGATTAGCAAAATTTGGCTTAAAAATATGTAAAGGCATTCATTAATTTATAAAAACTCTTAAAATTGAATATATCTCTAAATTTTAAAGAGAAACAAAAGATACTCCCTTTTATTTATTAAATGTTATTAGGAAATACTTTGTATTTTGCCTATTTAGATGAAATTGAATATTAGAAATTCATGAATATTTTTGAATTATTTTAATAATGTTTTTTAGAAAATTACAAACAATTACAAGAGCTAAGTGATATTGAACAATTTTAGGAGGTGCCATTTTGTTAAGTTTATTCATAATGTTTAAAATAAAAATATCAATAATAGTATTATTCTGAATTTTTACAATCTAATGTATCTAGATGGATTGATTAGATCAAGGAGTTTAATGATGTCAATTATTATTTGATTTTCATTTATTTAATTTAAGCAATAGAGTTTGTAGATATCATCAATCTTGATCTTGAAATAATTAAAATAAGAAATCTATAAATTATAAATTTGATAAAGTAAAAGAATAATAGAGTTGTTGGTCATCTATTTAATCAGATATTATAGAATCCAAAATTATAAAGTCATATGTAAATTTTTGATGAAATATTTTAACATTAAAATCATGAAACTAAATTAATCTATTTTAAATTGATTGGAGAACAACTCTTATAGATAAACAACACCTAAATTATAGGCTAATATCTTTGCATTCACCTAAATGGATTAAAAGAGTTTATTAATGTCAACAATCTAAGTACCCAACAACTTATTCAATTTATAACATATTTATGCAGATATTACAATCACTTTAACCAAAATCAAAAACGAGAATTCGACACTTTGATTATTTAGTTTTATTCTCAAGAAATCAAGGATGAACAATATTACAAGAAATTTGATTAAAAAATCTTATAGTTGTTAGAAGATGAATAAATTTATTAATAAATTATCGATATTGCTATTAAGAATTCCTCAAAAAGCAAACAACATAGTTATGGTTTCTTGGTTTTCATTTAAGATGTAATTAAATTCTATATTATATTAGTCTATTTCATTCAATTCTGAGAGCTTACCTCATATTCTCAAATTTATACAGTTTTTAATGGGTTCATGTAAGATAAACAAGAAAAAGTAGAATAAGAGAAATATCAATTATAAAAAAGGAAAGGGAACAAGAATCCTTGATTTTCTATTGTCCAATATGAGAATTTTTATAACAATAATAAAGAATGTTTATGATCTAATGATCAAGGAATCTAATTTGAATGCCATCGAAAAATAACATCAATTATATACGGAAATCTATCATAAAATCACATATATCATATACCTAATATATTGGTTGATTGAAGATAAGAGCATCTTAAATTCAGGAGGCATTTAATAAATCAGTTTGGAATTATGTCAGATTCATTATAAATTAACAATCAACTTAATAGTCATTCTCCAGAAAACCAACAATCTTTCATCAAATACACTTTACTAAATAATTAATAATATCAATTCTATTGCTCATGGATATGATTATATCAATTATATTAAAGATTCTTATTTTGATAAGAATAATAATTTAGTAAATCCTTAAGAGGTATTTGAATAATTAAACGAAAAAAGAGTTCAATTGAAATTGATTTTTAACAAATTCTATGAAACAAGTTTAAGTATACTATTTGAAGTGCCAAATATCACAATAGATAGAACATTTTATTTACAAATTTTAAGATTTCAACTAAAAACCCAGATTTCCCTTGTGCTTTCATTTACAGATTTCTGTCCTAAGTTTATTTTCTATTTCAGAATTGAAAGAGACCCTGAAGTAATCAGTCTAATGAAACAATGTGCAATTATTGTGGTTTCATTGAACTAAGATCCATAAATAATAAAATAACTATTTGAAACACTAAGTTATCATTAATCCACAATATTGATGAACGACCTCGATGAAATGTAATTAGATGCAAACGATAAGGATGATATTTAATAAGCATATAGATTGGCAAACTTATCACCTTATCGAATTCCTTTATTGCTTTAGAGTAGTCTTTTATTAAGATTGGTGGATGATAAAAATTATTACATCAAAGTTGTTAAGATAGTTTTAGAGATTTTTCTATAGGTTTACTAATAGTGGCAGGAAATTTTGTAATCCCTATAAAAATAATCAAATCTTTTATATTTTTAAGGTGGATCATCATCTATTCAGGTTAATTTGAACCCTGTTATACCCATTCAATTAATCGAAATGAGAATGAAATTACGACTTATTATCCAGGAAAATGAAACTCCGAGTATGTAATATTTGGATAGAATGAGTTTTGGATCATTTTTAGTGAATTCTGAATATGTTGGTAAATTGATCATATTTACATTAATATTTGCAAAAAACCAAGAAATTCAAATATCAATTAATAAATAGAAATTTATCATCACTTATAAATAGGATGAATAGGATTAGGAAGAAGGGATCTCAATCAAATTCGATTTGTCATAATGGTTTAACTTGAATTTTTACATAAAAAATAATAATAATAATCAATAAATGATACTTGAGATTAATGAGACTAAATATTCTCTATAATTCAAACTACCACAGAATCAAATACTTTAACTTAATTAATTCGTTTTGGGAGTTACATTGAATTTTGATATAGAATAATCACAACAGATGAATAAAAAACAAAAGTTCTAAACTTAATTCCTTGATTCTTTTATATTTTTGAATTAATCATTTGATGGATAAATATCAGAATTCAACTTTATAATAAATGACTAAAAAATCAAGTTTGAACAATCTAGCAATACAAATCTATAGAAGCAAACTAGAAATTTTATCAATTCAGGAGTCATAATTGAAGAGGAAATTGAATTTGATGATATTTTTTTGATAACTCCTTGTAGACAGATTCAACCTATAATGTGCAGTCAGAATGTCTATATTTTGGATATGAAAAAAGGCCTTGATTTCATACAAAAGTCAGGAGGGTACAATGTCTTTTATATGGCATTGGATGTATTGTATGCTGTATATGAAAATACAAATCTAAGTGATTCTGAAGAGATTTTGATTTTGATTTTGAAATTGTTTGAAGAAGACATATAAAGATAAGCTTCTTAGGTGTCTAGATTTGTTGATTCTAGAAATCTAAAAATTTTTGAGGAGCATTGCAAATAATGGATTTAAATAAATTCACAAGTTTCAGACTACTTCATTAAATAATTGTTATCGATTTTTTCCAAAATAGGTGATGAGAAGACCTCTATTTAGTATTTAGTAACTGTTATAAAGATATTAGATAATAAAATAACAACTGTTGAATAAATGAAATTGGTATTTAAGTCAATAGTAATTCAGACATTACTCAAGCCAGAAAATTTAAATTAAATAATAAATGTCCAACTATATTTTGAAAGCAGATAAATATTTACTTAAGTTTCATTAACAAAGGCTAAACCTTTCATCAATCTGGATTCAAATAATTTATTTTCACACTCCTTGACTAAATGCATTCAATATTAAGGAGTTGTGCGGACAGTAGATTTTCCTCGCCTTTCTGAATTTTTTAATTTGCTATTAAGTTAAGAATAGTTTAATCTATTCACTTTAGACATATTATAAATAATAGAGGTATTGATAGTAGATTTAATGAAATAAAAAAGTAAATTGAAATCAGAAGAGGACAATCTATTAAACACTTATAAAAAGAATATTGTATAAATCTTAGATAAGTAAAATAAATTCCATACAATAAATTAATATTTTATGTATGAATCAGAGGTATTTGACAAATTGTATGAATTAACTTTTTCAATTTATGTTTCAATAGTTTAAAAGTAGAGAGTTAATTCAAAAAAGGATTCTGAATTGGGGTCATTGTAAATTTATTATGATTATTTTTCACCTCAAACATAAACAGAAGTAGGGTACTTTTTTATTTCGAAAATACTATCATTAATAAGTCAAAATGAGAAGGATGAGCATTTAATTCATTAATTATTGAAGTTTTTGAATTAATTGTATGCAAATCAGCAGATAAAGGATACCATGAAGGAAACCTTGACTAGTTATTTTTTGGACGTATTCAAGAATGTTGTCTTAAGAAAATAGTAATCAGAAATTTTAGTAATGAATCTGATGCAGTTTTAAGATTTTGCTTTGTTAATGAAGCATCTGATGCCTCATTCTATAAATAAGAAGTAAAACTCTTCGGAATTGTTCACTTATTTCATAATATATCTAATAGAGATATATCCTAAATGCACAAGTGAGATTTTATATAAAGTTCACATTGAAAGCAATTTGTTCAATAAAGATAGTTTTAATTCGTTTCTATAAGCCATATATCCCATAATAATACAGTTTTATGCAATGAAGTAGGTACAGTAATTTTAAGGATAAGAGGACGAGAGAAAACTAATAAGTATTATAACAGCATATTTACATATTGAATAATGCTTTGGGGAGATATCAGATCAGGAATTTGTGAATTGGAATCTGTATTCATAAATAATGGACAAAGGGATTGATCTCTTTAATTATTTGGATATTTTATTCTATGATCGCAATTTCGATATGCCTAACATTGAAGATAATTTTATTTGGGACTCTGTCAGATTAGAGTTTGAGAAATAAAGAAAATAGTGCAATAGAATTCTTCCCAATGGAGGCATAAAAAGATTAATGAGACAATTGATAGCACCGTATGTTAGAGTTCCATAGATGAAAAAACCAATAAAAAATTATCTATCTATTAACAAAAAGAATTGCTTAGATGATAAGATTGACTAATAAAGTTGTTTATTAGTAAAAAAATTAATAGATAAAGAATTCTCAGCTCCTCTTTTGTAAACAAAGAAAATCTAATTAAAAAACTACAATTAGTTGTTTCAAGATGCTGGATTTTCGAGAGTTAAATAAAAAGAAACTATAGTAAGGAAATCAAGAACAAGAAAGCATTCTAGTTTTTACTAGAGTTTAATTTATTACTCTCTTTCCTAAGATAGTTCATTTGATGAGACTTAAATTAAGAAGTAAGAATTATATTATTTACATAGTCTACAAGAAATATTTGAAAAGTATTAATTGACGAAATTATATGAATGGAAAAATGTGAATCAAAATTATGTTGAATGTTTAATTTATTAATAGGAGGCATCTTAAGATTAGATATTAATGGCTTTAAATTAACTGAATAAAATTAAATTAGAAAATAAATAGAATAATTTAAAATCATTACAAAATACATTTGATTTGTAATAGATTGATCAAATCAGAGAGGATACTGCCTACGCCATTCAATAAAGTATATTTATGGATTTTCAAATATATTACCAATTCGTTCATAAGCTTTGGTTGTTGTTTCCTAAGATAGCTGAATTTAATGAGATGCCAAAGACATAAAGTAATTTATCAGCACATCACCATTCATCCTTCTCCGAAATGAGTATACCCATATTTAGAGATTCCGCTAAGAAATATTGGGATAAAGAGTGTCTTGATTTGAAGTAAAGACAAGGCTTATGGTTTTTTGTAGATGACTATCTTCAAGTTCTCTATTAAGAACTCAATAATTTTATCTCCCATCAAGAATTTAAATTTGAAGTTTTGGAGAATATGCAAATGAAAATGTAGGTTTGTCATTTGGAAGATATCACAAGAAGAAGACCTCATTTAACTTAAATAAAAATGAAAAACTTTTATAAACCATACTTAAAGACTGGTAATTAAGCCAGAAAGAAACTAATTACTCTGGAGGAATCGAGCATAGACAAGAGTAAATCGAATATCAACACTTCATTTACAATTTTATTGTAAAAATCAGATAACATAGAAGAATCATTGAGTCAAAGTTTAATTAAGAGAGCTAAACGAAGATCATCTATTAGATCGGAATAACTAATATCAAATCAAGCTAGTGCAACAATTTCAAGTTTTAGAAAGGGATCATCAGATAGTAATTAATTAGTAACTGCCAAATATTTTTGTGAATATATAACTCAAGAAGCAGCCTACCAAGGAGTGTTGAGATTTAATGATAAGAATCAATCTCTTATATTCAAATCAGAAAAAATTGATATAAAAGAACTATTTACTAGTCCAGAAGTTAAATAAACAACTGAAGAAATATTCCTGGAAATATCTCTCTCTCAGATTCTTAGTGTGCATCCAAAGAGATTTTTATTAAATGAGATTGCTCTTGAAATATTTCTTCATAGACAGAACTTCTTTTTCAATTTGTATAGAAATGAAAAACTACAAGAATTAGTGTCAGAATTAAAGAGAAAGAAAGTCTAAGTAGTTGATCCAATTGAAGAATTCAAGAAAAGGAATTATTAATAGAATTGGGTTGCAGGATAGTTATCCAATTTCCAATATTTAATGTTAGTAAACACATTTTCAGGAAGAACATATAATGATTTAAGTTAATACTTCATATTTCCTTGGGTTATTTCAAATTACAAATCATAACAAATTGATTTTGCATGGAGAAAATAAGGAAATTAACTTAGAAATCTTAAATTGCCTATGGGTGCAATATCAAAGAAAGCTGAAGATATCTTGAAAGATTATAAGGAGAGAGATCTAGATTGCATTGATGAAAACTTCATGTATGGATCCCATTACTCAAATGCTGCAATTGTTTTCAACTATTTAATAAGATTAGAACCTTTTAATGAACTGCATTTTTCGTTATAAAAAAGTAAATTAACATCATTAATCAATAGATAAATTCGATGTGGCAGATCGATTGTTCTCCAAAATAGACATCCTCTGGGACAACAGTGTAAAATAAGATAACAAAGAATTGATTCCTGAATTTTACTATATGCCTGAATTTCTAAGGAATATGTAAATTCATTTGTATACTTAGAAACTTCTTCGATTTTGGCACATTGCAATCGCAATCAAGAGTCACTGATGTGGAATTACCCAAATGGGTCAAGACCTAGACAGCAGAAGAGTTTGTGTATAGAATGAGATAAGCATTGGAGAGTGATGCAGTGTCTAGTTAATTGAATCATTGGATTGATCTGATATTTGGAATCAACAATAATGGATAAAATGCAGTGGATAATGTGAATGTCTTTCATTATTTGACATATGAATAAAACCTACAAATGATTTTAAACAAAAATGAAGACCATGGAACCATTCAATCATACTTAACTTAGGTGTATTATTTTGGTTAAACCCCTAAATAATTGTTTCAGAAGGCTCATTAGAAAAAGAAATACAGTTTATCGTTATATGCAAATTAGATCCCCTACTTTGGTGACAATCCGAATAAAGCAAATAAGGGGTTCATCTTTTAATCAAAGCTTGATCAGGACAGATCGTCAATACTAGGATTTTACCCTTATTCGAAGAAATGCTTTTATATTCTGAAGGCTGATAATGACAAATATAATCATCTAACCTTATTGGAGACCAAACAGCAAGAAGAGGAGGGATACTATTATTTTCATTGCCAACCAAAACAATTGGTGAAGTTACCTGAGATAAAAGTGGATGGATGCAATCCTTAGAATATGTTTACTTTCATTTATGAATAAGAGCATTCTTTTGGAGATGGATTCGACTCTTAATTTTATAGTATTTACGAGGAGAAACAGAATTACAATTTGTATTTCTGTTTGGTAGGATTCTTAGATAAGAGTGTAAAAATCTATGACCTTAAGAATAAGATGACTGAACTCAGAATAGATGTTTCAATTTCAAATGCTAAGAGATAAAAAAGGGCATCTTGTGTTAGATACCATGCCGTAACTAAGATTTTAGCTGTAGGGTCATTGGATGGGTTGCTTTAATTATTTTAACTCCAATTCGGATAATAAATTTAAGCAAAGGGAGTTCTCTCAAAGTAATTAAGGAATGGAATTGTGAGTATAGATTTAACAGATTTAAACATTTTAACGGTAGATCAAAAGAACGTAGCGAATCTGTTTACTTTGGAAGGAGAGTAATATTTATATTATATTTTAAAGTTTATTACAAACAATTTAATTGGATAACTCAGATAAAATTAGTCAGTGTTGCATCTAGCTTCATTTTCTAGTGTTTAAGAGTTCAAACTCTTAAATTTCAATTTACACAATAAATGGGAAATAGTATTTGTAAACAATACAATTAATGGACAAGACTTCCAAGAACATCTTGTTCACAACTCCCTTCTCATCTAAATTTGTATAAGTTTATTTTGTTATCTAAGTTGTTGTATTCGTTGAATTAACAAGGAGAAGAAATAGTGTCTAGGAGTGATCCTTTTATTTATTATTTTGACATATTTGACTTGAAGTTACAGCAACAACAATTAGGAATATTGAAATGTGATAAGATCCATGTCCAGAAGGGAAGCCAAAAGGGGAGCGGAGTCTCAGCACTTCATATTAGCTTTGATAGATGTCTCATTACAGAATAGAATGAGATTAAACACATCTATTTGATTGCCATAGATAATCAGATCTTGTTTTACTTGGATGAATAATATGGTATGATATAATAAGATGTAAATAGATTAAAGGCTGGTACTCAGATAAAAATTGAAGGAAGGAGGACTCTCTATAATTTGAATAACAAATTAGATTATCATTACTTAATAATCATTTTGAATTTCTACAATTAACTTATCGTTCTATCTCTAGGATTCTTAGTAAGTTGAGGTAGTGAATGTTACGAGCTCATCACTTTTGGTAGTTTCGGTTTCCCCTATTTCAATGCTTCAGTAGTAATAGTTAATAATTATGAGAGATCTTTTTATTTTAATAGCAACTTCGGTAATGGCTATTAAACATCTATTTTAATTGGCGTTGGTTCCTCTGTAATTAGCAATTCTTCCACACTGATATTTCCATCCATCCTTATCGAACCCTCCTTCACAGTTGTAGAATTTACTATAGATGTATTCAAATTTACTCGAGATGGTTCTATATCATTAATAGATGTATCTTGAATAATCTTCTATATTTTCACTCCTCCTTATATTCCTTACATTCCTTACACATATTATTAATATTCACTTTTGGTTAACTTCAATCCCTCTTCCCATAATTATAAATTCTAATTATTCGAGAATGAAGGTCCTTATTTCTAATTCTAACCTTCAGTCAAAGTAACACCTTTAGCTACTTCAATTTGATCAAATACATTCTATTATTATTTCTATTAGAAATTCATTTGACTCCCCAAAAATGGCTTGTCACCCTCGATTTTCACATGAGCAAATGACTTCCCAAATTCAATTACCTTATTCTTTTCTGAAAATTGTACCATCGAGCTTACTCTGGGTCTGATAGGTGCTAATTACTCAACCTGAGGTATATTCTAAGGCATGAACTTCCCCTCATAATCAAAGGTATATTTCTTATCACCTGTGAATGAACTTGCCAATAATCTGATCTATCTCAATTATTCTTTCTTCTCTGCAATCCTCTATTGTTCAGCCTACCATTTCTACTGTCGTAATTATTAATCTCTCTCCAACTGCTATCTTAAACCTTAATCAAAGGGGTCGTCCTCCACCTTTTGTTACATATTAACAAACTCTGGCTCGAATGGTTCGAATTGAGTTTTTAGTATTTATGAAGCTCTCTTTATTGTAACCGAACTTCTCTGATAACCTGGATTAAAAGAGAAATGAGATTTCGTCACACTATGACTAGTATGTGTAGTCTAATGAAACCGCAGGTCAATATTTGCAATATAACTTCTCCAACAATCTTGAATTCTTATTTCTGGTTCTGTTTCTAGAACTAAACCTTAATTAATCTTGTCTGTCATCATTTCATCAGGTTCATGAATGCCCAATTACACAACATCCTCTGAAAACTATAGAGTCCATTTTGGCATTATCAGAGGAATTGATTATTCGAGATGCTTTTCTATTAAAATCACACTAGAACGTCTTAATATCTCTCGTATTATCGAACGAACGGCAATCAAACTTTAAGATATGTCAACAGCTATGTCTCGATAATCTTCCAATTTTATAGATTATTATGAACTATAAGACATTTAATGTGATAATAAATTTTATTATTCTGTTTTTCATTAGACTAATACATTGATACATCATCCATTAATCATAGCATTTATTACTAAAAAATTTATGTAGTAACAATTCCTGGTATTAAACTATATAATTATCAACTGAATTATTCTGATTATATAATCTAAAAGATATTCAGATTTATTTCTTACAAATATAATTTATTTGAGGTAATAAATTATTTAATGGAAGCCCACTTTAATATAAACAATTCCAACTTCCCAAAACTAATTTTGAATGGAAACATTGAGATTGTTTAGTATGTCGATCAAGAAAGCTTTAAGAAATTGAGAAAACCTAAAGCCAAATACTCCAGAATATCCTAGCTTCCCAATAATTTGCAAAAACTAAAATCCGACTCTCTAGTGCATTCTCTATTATTATGACATTATTAGATATGTACATTACCATTATTCATAATTTATATATATCAAAAGTCATTAACAAATCAATAAATGTTCTTAAATTCATTCTCTGATTAATTGTTTAATCTTCTTGTCTACTTCTCCGGATAATCTAATAAAAAAGTATTAAATTAAATGTGGAATTCCGAAATCCAAAGAATATTAATATTAAACAATTATTGATAAATTATCACTATAGGGCAGTAGGTAGAAGATGACCCAACTAAATATACAGAATTTATGATCAGAAAGAAAGAAAAAATTAACTATATATATTTCAATTTTTTAGAAGAAAAGGTATGATTCTTTGATTGGATGGTTGTATCATTTATTAGTTGATCTTACAATCTAAATTAAGGGAATTATCTTAAGGAACTTAATGTGCTATATTTTAATATGCATTTTTATATATTTTTGTTTTATTTTTTGAGTTTTCTGAATTTTTAAAAAGCTCAAGTGGTAGTGCATTTAGTAAAAATTTTTCAATTATAATTATTATATATATTATTAAAATAAAATGGAAATTCATGAACAGCCGATAATAAATTTGCTGTCTTTCTTGCATTTGCAGAATCCAATTGGAGATTATTGTAAGAATTTAAATTAATTTAGTCTTATCTGCGAATGTTCCAGACACAATATTTTATGAGAATTCAGTTCCTAAATAATGGTTTTTCAGTAAGAAAGCTCAGGTGAGAATGAAATCAAGAATGAAACTGGATGATAATTATATAAGTTAATACTTTTTAGAATTAAATTAAGAAATAGTGGCTATTTGGAGAACCAAATCAGAATTACAAGTTTTTAATAAGGAGAGTTTAAATAAATTCTTCTAGTATGAAGGCTAAAAAGATGGCATTCTTTAAAGGTTCGTTTATCCTAAGGGGAATTATAATTTCTCAATATTAATTTAATGGAGTTAGAATTAAACACTATTTGAAAAGTTTGAGAGCAAGTTCATGCTATCCGATAAAACAGTCGATATTTACCAAAGAGCTTTAACTCATGAAAGAGATGGAACACTGGCTTAATAGATTAATAGTAAATCTTTGACAGAGAGATTAGAGCATTTTAGTGGAGCTATTGCTACTCATGGTAATGACTTAATGAAGTGGAAATCTAAGATTATTAGAATGACATTGGAAATCAAGATAGATAACTCCGGTTAGATTTGGCTTACTAATTGTGTACTTATGAAATGGTCTACATAGGAATAAGTATAAATGAAATCTCTTAGTCTTCCTTAATTTATTGATTAAGAAAAGTTAGTACTCAAATAACATAAGAACATAATGAAAGACTCTCATTGCGAGATGTGTGATACTCTATTTCATAGAAATGATTTAATGAAGACATATATAAAAAATATCATTGAGAGTTGGAAATTCGATCATATGGGTGATAATGATAAACTATTTGTAACTAAGAAATAAGAAGTATTACTCAGAAAGAAAACTATGGCTGAAAAATTGGATGTAAGATAAGATATAGAATTGAGATAAGTTAATTAAAATTATTTGATACCTGCTTTAATCAGAAAGATCTTTCCTAAATTAAAATATTCTTAATATAAAGAATTATTGGGTAATCCAGGATTCCTGGAAATGGAATTTAATGTTTGCTATAATTGTCATGTTCAAATTGATAAAGGTGTCAATGTATCATAAGATCTTAGTAAATTAGCAAAGTAAGAAATGTTATGTCCTACCACATATCGAGGAATCCAAAAATTAAGACCTGAAATCTTGAAGGAACGTTTAATTGTATTAATTTGACTTAATTTTAGAATACAAGGAAAGAGATATTACGGAAAATAGCTAATCATGGTCATCAGACTGATAGAATTCCTCTTGTTTCTACAAAACATTTTAATTCAACTAATACAAGCAGAATTGTTGGCATTTCTCCTATTAAAAGCATGATCACTACTATTATGCCAAAATATTCTGTAATAACTATAGATACAAAAGGGAATAAAAATGCTACAACAAGAACACACTCAAGGAGAGCTAGTGATTTGAAATGAATTCCTCTATCAATTTCTTTTACTGATACAAATTTACATATGGATTTCGTATATTATATATTATTCATTAATATTATGTAACAAATAAAATATCACTCTTTTTGCTCTCTATTTTGATGTAATTTTGAATACTCTTTCAAATCATCTGCACTAAAGTAGACACCATTTGCAGATACTCCTGATGTATTATTTGTATCATATTTCCAGGTTCCTCTCTTACTGCAATTTCTAATTTTTATTGGCTATGGTGTAAGTGGTCTGCCATTGAAATATTAGATACCAAAAAATTTGCCATTTCTCAATCCCTTAAATTCCTTAAATTAAATCTCTTACTTTGAAATGTGCTTCAGTAATAATTATATACTTGTTTTCTGGCCAAGTCTTTCTCCATACTTTAAATCCTACTCCATTGTTTGGGTATTATGCTAACATTTCAGGTAAACTTTTGTATGGGTGTCGACCGATAACAATCAAATCATTAAAAGTATAGGTTCGAATGGCTTTAGAAAGCATTTCTTCGGCTGCTGTCTTCAGAAGTCCTTACATTATATTTAATCAATTAATTCTTATTTATATAATAATTATTAGATGAAATCAAAAGATGCATACTTAATCCATTTGAGCGTTGCATTTGATAATAATCGATTTAAAATGTATGTATTTCTTTTTATTAACTTAACAGGTTCTATCTTTTTAAGACAATATTATCCATTAACCACAACAAATTCATATTTTATAAATAAATATAATAATTTTATATATTTCATTATTTTCATCTCAGTTTAATAAATTCTCTAACTCACATAACACTAAGAACTATTTCTATTCAAATATCTCCAGTTTCTTATTTTCTTGAGAAGATATCAAATCGAAAGAAGAAGGTTTAAGAATTGGGAATAACATCAATATTATTAATATTTAAATTTGACTCAATATTTTCTTTTGAGAAAACTACCCATTGGATATGTTTCAGTTGTCGAAAATAAGGAGCCTTGTGTAATTTTTGTAGTTGATTCTTGGGATAATTTATTTGCTATTTCAAGACATTTGCTTCCTTCAGTTGTTTTTCCCAAAAGTTTTAAGGATATACCTATTTTATACAAAATCATTTATAATGTGTTACTTTTTAATTCATGGGCTTTTGCAAACTTTTCACATTTCATTATGGCTTAATCAAAACACGATATAGCCTGAATTTGGAATCCTAAAAGATGTAGCGATTTTCCTAAAATTGTAATATGTAAAATCAACCTTTTTTATAATAGATATATTCGTTCTAGACACCTTTGTTTATGACCTCATCAAAATATTTTATTGCTTCTTAATGTTAAGACATCCTTTATAATGAATAACCTAAATAAATTAATGGTTCAATTTTGTGAGATTAAATATTTATTGCTTTAATAAAATATTATTTTGCTTCTTCAAATCTTTTCATTTTATATAAAGAAAAGCCTAAAAGTTAATAAGTCAAATACTTTCCTTTTTTAAAATAAAGCACAGCTTATTCATATGTAGAAAGTTGACCATCTATCAACATATTATATTATTCAATAGCCTTTTCGTAATTTCTTTCATTTTGTAATAAATCACCTAAAGGTAATAATATCATACCTTTTATGAGCAATAATTTGCTAGATTTAATTCCTGCATCTATTGCTTCATTTATAGTGTTAATTTTATTTTAGAAATTTCGAAAGGTCTGGACTAAAAGAAGTATAATATTTACTTTTTCCTTAGTAGGCATCTAAATTCTAAGGATCTATTTCAATCACCTTATCAAAGTAATCTCTAGCATCATCTAATTTTTCTAACTCAAGCAACAAATAACCTAAGATTTAAAATTCAAACTACCCTATAAGAGATATGCTTAAACATAATTTGGATCAAGACTAATAGCTTTATCAAAACATCTCTATGCCTTATCATACTCTTTTAAATGATATAAGGATAAACCTCAACCTATATAAGATAGACACCTTTGTAAAAGTATGGTTCTAAATCTTGACTATCCTAATTTATTATTTTGTCCAAAATATTGCAGGCTTCGAAGTTTTCGTCTTTTTTTTGTAAAATTTTAGCTATCAATTAAATAAAAGTAACCTTTGTAAAGCAAACACTCTTTGTCATAAATTCCATAAGTGATTGCAGAAGTGAAGCACTTTAATGCCTAATCATATTATTCCAATTAAAAAAGACAAATCCCTAGCTAAAAATAATTGAATAAAACCTTAATTTTTATAGGCATCAAAGTGAAACTTATTCATTTCAATAGCTTTTCGAAAACACTCGACAGACTTTTACAAATAATCTTACCTTTTTTTATCTATCTTCATCAAGGCCAAACCTAATTTATCATTATATAAAACCTTTTTAATAATAGCAATCTGGATATTTCTCATCATTTTTAAGAATTTCATCAAATATTTTGATAGCATTCAATAAGTCACAGGATTTTGCTAATCTTAACCCTAAAATTTTTATTCTATTGTCTACCTTTTTAAAATTTGTTGTGATTATTGTCATTTTATAAACTCAAAAAAAATTAGATTACTGAGGGTAGATTTTATTTAAGTAAGAAAAAGTTATGATTTTTTAAACTCTCCAGGATTTTCACTATTTTTGCTTATTCCTATTGAAGTTCAGTCATCCAATTAAGCCAAGCCTTTTCTAATACTTTTAATTTCTAACTCAATTAATATTAAAGATATTCTAAGTAATTTAATTTGGTTTAAATGACTTCTTCAATCTAATTAATTTTCTGAAAATTATTCCTACAATTCTGATGTAATTAGTTATCCATTAAGCATTTATAGCAATATTAACGAGTTTATTTACAACTTGGATTAAGACAAATTCCTATTATTTCCTAATCCGAGTGGNTAAATCACCTAAAGGTAATAATATCATACCTTTTATGAGCAATAATTTGCTAGATTTAATTCCTGCATCTATTGCTTCATTTATAGTGTTAATTTTATTTTAGAAATTTCGAAAGGTCTGGACTAAAAGAAGTATAATATTTACTTTTTCCTTAGTAGGCATCTAAATTCTAAGGATCTATTTCAATCACCTTATCAAAGTAATCTCTAGCATCATCTAATTTTTCTAACTCAAGCAACAAATAACCTAAGATTTAAAATTCAAACTACCCTATAAGAGATATGCTTAAACATAATTTGGATCAAGACTAATAGCTTTATCAAAACATCTCTATGCCTTATCATACTCTTTTAAATGATATAAGGATAAACCTCAACCTATATAAGATAGACACCTTTGTAAAAGTATGGTTCTAAATCTTGACTATCCTAATTTATTATTTTGTCCAAAATATTGCAGGCTTCGAAGTTTTCGTCTTTTTTTTGTAAAATTTTAGCTATCAATTAAATAAAAGTAACCTTTGTAAAGCAAACACTCTTTGTCATAAATTCCATAAGTGATTGCAGAAGTGAAGCACTTTAATGCCTAATCATATTATTCCAATTAAAAAAGACAAATCCCTAGCTAAAAATAATTGAATAAAACCTTAATTTTTATAGGCATCAAAGTGAAACTTATTCATTTCAATAGCTTTTCGAAAACACTCGACAGACTTTTACAAATAATCTTACCTTTTTTTATCTATCTTCATCAAGGCCAAACCTAATTTATCATTATATAAAACCTTTTTAATAATAGCAATCTGGATATTTCTCATCATTTTTAAGAATTTCATCAAATATTTTGATAGCATTCAATAAGTCACAGGATTTTGCTAATCTTAACCCTAAAATTTTTATTCTATTGTCTACCTTTTTAAAATTTGTTGTGATTATTGTCATTTTATAAACTCAAAAAAAATTAGATTACTGAGGGTAGATTTTATTTAAGTAAGAAAAAGTTATGATTTTTTAAACTCTCCAGGATTTTCACTATTTTTGCTTATTCCTATTGAAGTTCAGTCATCCAATTAAGCCAAGCCTTTTCTAATACTTTTAATTTCTAACTCAATTAATATTAAAGATATTCTAAGTAATTTAATTTGGTTTAAATGACTTCTTCAATCTAATTAATTTTCTGAAAATTATTCCTACAATTCTGATGTAATTAGTTATCCATTAAGCATTTATAGCAATATTAACGAGTTTATTTACAACTTGGATTAAGACAAATTCCTATTATTTCCTAATCCGAGTGGTTCAGGTATTAACACCTATATATTTAGTGCATTGGTAATTAAATTTAAATTATAAAATATAATCAGATTTTAAATAATATAATATAAGTAAATAATTATAATTCCACTATTAATAACGATAGAACGAGATGCATATTGTATTTAAAAATATATTTTCACTCACATTCTTGTACTAAATTAAAATTTCTAATCTAAAAATTGAAGATAATTAAATCTTTAGAAACTATGGCCATCTCCTTTATAAAATTTGCTTTAAAATTCCACCCAATGTAATCGCAATGAATGTAGGAAGCATTCTAGAGTATCCATGCACATCAGCACTCCAAAGGTTGCTAAAGCATATATCATAAAAGTTAAACAAATTCCAGCAATCGATCCAGTTTATAATTATGGTTCCAAAGACATTTTGAAGAAAACCTAAAGATATCATACGATGGAATACTTCTGATAATTGAGAATGTGCCAAACTAAGTGCCCACAATCTCAAATATGAAGCTGTATTAGACACAGCTCCCAATACAAACTCTATGCATTCAATTAAGCTTTCAATATAAACCTCTGAATAATCAAAATGCTTCTCTTCCTTAATAGTCCTACGTTCTACTAATTTGCCAAAAAGTTAGTGTTTCTCCTCTTTCACTAAATCTACTTAGCCATGTTCTTATTCTACTAATTCATTATAAACAATTTATTAATTTCTTTGATTAAACAATTTTCTCTTTATTCTAAGGACTTCGGGTTTAAGTAACATGATGATTGGACAATAGATGGCAACTCTTATCAATATAGATTAATAGTAAACTTAATAAGGATACATCTCTGTTCCTTTGATTCCTCCTAAAGTAAAGACCATATTAAGAAGAGTGGTAATAATTGAGGGTGGTTCTTGATTATTATTGTAGTTAGTCAGCCATTTAAGGATTATTAAAAATGACATATAACCAAAGGTTGAGAGCATGAAAGCCAATTCTGGTAAAAAGTTAAAGAAGAAGTCAATATATTTTCGTTAATATAAACAATTCCAACCTTTCAGAAGGATTCCAAAGACCATTTGAGTTACTCCAACGATTATTGCAGTTTTCATTTTGAAGGAATTCATTACTGTAAGGTGGGATTCTGACATGCTCCACTTACCATCAAACCCCAATTAGAACTTTTCTAGTTTATACTCCAATGATATCGAAAAGAAATCATTATAAATAAAACCACAATATGTAGCAAAAAGACCCATCAAAGTAAGGAGATACCTACATTGATATAAGCTCTAAAAATCGGCATATGCAAGATAGTCACTGCTATTTTCTAATTTGATTCTTTTCAAGACTCTCTAACCAAAGATTAATAAATAGAAACCAAAGATTGTTAAAACTACCTTTATATAGAAAATATTTTACTCCATGTCCAATATCCCCAAACATCATACCAAATAAAAATGGGAATGTAATTATTGTGAAAATTCCAGGATTTATTTCATCGAATCTTGGAATACCATATGTGTTGACTAATTCTTGGAAAATGTAGGTAAATGCATTTGTTTTCATTAGACTTGGTGGTTCATATAGATTTTCATTAATATCCTACATAATTTCAACTTGAACTCCAAATGATTTGATTTCCTCAATGTCCCTTTATTCACACCATATTTGACCAATCAGAAATTAAGATTTAGCTTCAAAAAATGTTAGATGATAATAAGTGGCACTTATTATATCTAAGATGATCTTCAATTCGCAAATATAGGAGCAATAACCATGGTCATAGATTTCATCTAAATTTAAGAGTTTCTCCGCTTATATATCTGAAAAGAAATCCAATTGTTAATCTATTTCTTATTTGGTTGTTGAGATGACAATATCCAAATTGGCTATATCGTTTTCTAATTCCAAGATTTTATTTTCTACTTTGCTCTCCTCAGGTACTTAAATGATTGATACATTAAATGCCTAAATTGATTATGTATGAAATTACTTCGCATATCTTTAGTAATTTATTTTTTAAATTCTCATGTTTACCTAATGCAAAAACCAACGTGAATAGAGTTCTCTAATTGTTCAAATTCTCAAATTTAACAATTCCATTTTCCTTTGAAATTCTAAACACTATTCGATTAAACTTGTGTGAATCAATTGTATTAAGACATCCAACTATGTATCCTAATTAGATTCCAGAAAATTTGTATATGAAGTCTTTGCAATGTTGTAATACTGCTCTTAAATTTAATCTTATATTTACATCTCTTCGCCTAATTTGTCCCTTTATTCCATAATCGATTGAAGATTTGCTTATTGATTCAAAATAAATTGGACTTTGTGTGTTAGTTCTTATTCAATTTTTACGGCCTAATCGTCAGTAATAATGATGTTTTAAATGAATACTTCATAGTTAGGACAGTAATGGATTTATTTGTTATATAAGTGCAAAAGGTTTTTGATCTCACCAATTTTGTTATAAATATCATCACATCGTTTTAATTATTTGTAATAATCATGTTCATGAAAAGCATTGCTTGAGCAATTGATTAAATTAACATTTTTCATTTGCCCAACTTTAGTGAGGAGATGGAAAGCTTATTCTCTTTCAACATACAATTTATAAAGATGTATTTCGGTTGCTCTGAACATTTTAATTAAAATAAACTTTATTAATTCAATTATCCATTCTAATTTATTAGATTACGAATTCAATTCAAACTTAATTTGAATTTCTTTATATATAATGCATAGTAATCATATTATCTTTTGATAATAAATGAATAATATTCAATAATATATATATATATTCAAATGGCCAGTCTCATATACTATAAAATACAACATCATTTTCATAACATAACAAATCCCTTTTAACAAGTCCTTTAATTGATTCTATCAACTCAATCTCTGTTAGAATTACAGATCTCTTTATCAATTAAGCTAGTTTTCCATACAGAGTCTACTGCTGCATCTTTTTTTCCTATTTCATAATCTTCATGATTCCTGCCTCTATTCTGCAATATAAACTCAAAATAATACATAAGTTTTTTATTTTATTCATACTCCTCTATTTAAATCTCCTACTTCTTCACTTCAGGTTTCTAAGCAAATTCAAAGTTTTACAATTAATTAAAATTCTCTTCACATATTTAAAGTTCATTGTTATTAATTTTTTTAAACACACCTAGGTTTATTAGCCTCTAAACCCATTCGATATTGTTGATCTTAGCTTAATTAACTTTCTAAAATTGTTATAATACTGCCAACTCCTGTAAAGTAACGAACAGAATTATATTTTTATACTAAACCTATAAGACTATTTGAAAGAGTTGAAATATTTTATGCGTTTGAATTGGAATACTCTTAAACTATTATTCTATTTATTTAGTGATTGGGAGGGCGATATCTTTGAGAGGATTGGGAATGTTTTACTAAACTTCTCCTTTATTCCAAAAATAATTGGACACAAGCATAATCTCATTATAGTATTATATATTAGCTATGAAATCTAGAGTTTAAAAGTATGCATTTGGTTTCTGATTTGTCATTATATATTTTGAAACTGCCATTTACAATTAGTATTATTGGAAGAGTTGACTTTAATTTAATTTTGAAATCATGAACTTTTAAACGAACTAATGGATAGTATCTTTGCTTTAGATTTCTTTTGCAATACTATATATTAATTATTCATCTTTTAGTTAAGATTCTACCTAATTTTAAATGACACTGACATATTGCAATTGCTATAGTTTTATGGCAGAATTGACAAATTAGTCCAATTTGTCATAATCCTAGATGCTCATCCAAACATATTTTGATATAATAGCTTAGGCAGTATCCATATTTATTTATAATAAATGTAGCAATTCAATGAGTAATGATTCATCTAATTGTGTATCTTTGTTGATAATTTTTTATAGTTACTATTGTAATTTTTCAAAGAATTTATTTTATTGTTCATTTCTCTAAATCTGTAATAATATATTCCCATCTTAAAATCTCTAAATAATTATTACCTTTCAACAGAGTTGCATAATCAATATAAGTAGTATAATCAATATCATCATGATAATGTGCTGCAACTTATTGGAAATCTCTATCTTTCAAGTTATTTATAATAAATTTGAGTAATTCAATTTTCTAAGAAGAGGACTTGATTCCTAAAATCAGGCATTCAGTGATGTCAATTGATGTAATTTTATTTAACCAATACAATCTCTCTTTAACAGTTACAATATTTCTAACACTTAAGAGTTTTGAGATTATTGAAATCAATTATTATGAATTGTGTCTTATAGCAATACCGCATTATCTTATGGAGAGATTGGAGCAATCTTCTGAATTAAAGAAATCCTTCAACAGAGGTTCACAATCTGACACCTTATAAGTTTTGAGATTGTTAGGTCCTTTGTACATTAATAATAATGTATTAAATTAATATTCAGATTTAATATCATAAAAATACATGATCAACACACTAATTTCCTTCCTATTATCTTATCATTACTAATTGCTTTTATCAGATGATCTATAGATTAAGTTATAAGGAATACCAAATGTTCTAAAATCAGATTCCGGTCTAAGGAAATGCGTAATAATCAATCTTAGATTGGCACCATAAAAGTCCTCTTAAAATTCTCCATAAAGATGAACTTCAATGGTTTGGGGAGTGTCCAAAAAGTATGGATTATATCCAATTGATAAAACTCCACCGTATTACACATTTTCAAGGTAAGTAATACCTGCATACACACCTGGCAATAGATTTTTGGTTAGTTAATGAATCTCCTCACTTATTTATAAATTTGCTAATACTTTCAGTAATAATTGTTACCTGTGGGTATGCCTAACATAGTTCCGCCTCTGTTTCTACCGTGAATTATCTTGCTTGTGAATTCTATCGGATTCAATTTTATAAATGTATTCCAATACTTGGTTGCAGCATTCTCACACTCATTTACTTTATATTGATCGGCTGAAAAAATCGGTTGAGTAACCAATTTAAATGATTACCAGGGGAATGTTTCCCAGGATTCAGCAAATAGGATTGGTTTATTTTATAATAATTGATTCCAATACTCTTTATCCTTTAATTTATGATTCTTGAACAGAACTACATTGAGATTCTTTTTAAGTAATTATTCACAAAAGTCTATTCTTGGATCTATGAAAATAGAATTTTAATCAGAATCTGTAAATTCTTGCCAGTTCAAGTAGGGGAAGTGTTATTGCAACTGTAATCCGAATTCAGAATAGATGATTGGTTAAATGTGTTAGGATTCCAGAAATTACACTAAAACTATTTTATCAGATTCTTACGTGTTTCGATAGCTCCTATCTATGGCTTTAAAATGCATAAATTCTACAGCAGCAATTCTTGGGTTTCTAAGTACTTTTTGGGATTTTCTTAAACATCGTTCAAACCTAGGATTGGGATAAATAGATTAATTTACTTAAATTTAGATCTGGATTTTACTTTTTCAGTATGGAAAAGAGTAGACTATTGAAATCAAGAATGATCTCACAATTTATATAGCATTTGCTGATCATATATATTAAAAAAAATATACCATAAATAAAAATATAAAAATGCATTTTGGAAAACCAAGAGGTGGCTCTTCCGGATCAACTTGGGAAAAACTTAAAAAGTCTATTTACCCTACTAATAAAGCAGAAAGAGAGAAGAGGAAGAAGCAGTTTATGGATGTCGCAATTTTTGTTGCTTCTATTGTGGTTGTTAGTGTTTTTGAAAAAAGGATTCAAACTCTCCTTAAAGTTGATAAATCAGAATTAACTTAATTCAGCAACATGTAGCAATCAATGCACGCAGCCTATTGATTAATAAAAATAAATAATATATATGATTCGTAAAATTGTGACCTCTCTTAAATAATTTCGAAGAACTTATGAGGATCAAAAACTAGGTAGGCAACTTGTTGGAACAGATCAACATGGCAACCTCTACTATCAATATTATGATTAAAACGGAAAACCAACAAGAAGGATGAGTGAGAGAACAGACAAAATGGCACCTTTTGTGGATCCATTATGGGAGGAATGGATAAGACACATTAGAGACAAACCATACACTGAGGAGGAGAGAGTGGAATTGGATAAATAATAAAGAGCATACAAAACCAAAGTCAATGAGTATGAGTAGAAGGATGCAGAAATGATGCAGCAGTTCAAGAAATCAAACAAAACTTGGAATGCTAATAAAAAATGAATTATAAAATTATATTTATATTTTATTAATATCTTTAAGGTACTTATTGTATTACAAGAGAAGGATACGGAATTCCATTAGAATTAGTTATTTATGTAGTTAGGATATTTAAAAATATAAATATGAATTATTATCATTTTCTGATATTTTCAGTAAAATAAAACCACATTTGAATTTGCATTAGTTTGAGTTGCATTCAAATTTTCAAAAGCCTTTTGTATTTTAGTTTAGATTGACTTCAATATATTGTGAAATAGGATAAACTGTTTTTGACATAGTAGGAATTATTATCTGATGTCCAAAATTATTTAAAAGAGTAACAATAAAGACATTAGCATTATAGAACACCAGCCTATAATATCCTAGTAGAATAACATATCTTGATGGGTGTCATGCATAAGTATGATTAAAGTTATGAGTAGGGATAATATTAATACACAAGATTCACTTATCAATTGTTTTCTATATTCTATCAGGGAAATGATTGGTTTATAATTAAATAGATAGAGTACTTGGATGAAACTCAAAAAGGATATAGATAAGCTTTAACAATAGGGGAAGGATGAGCAAAATGTTATCAGAAGCATAAACAATGATTTTTTAATGAGTGTAAACAGTTTATAGAAGTGAGTACAAGAAGTTGTACTTAATTTAAGACCTTCGAAGAGGGAGCCGCATCTTCGAACATATCCCTTTTATTCCAGGAAGTATGTCTGTTTGGCAAGCATTGAGTAGTAAATGAATAATAGTAAGCAGTGGATAGTTGTCAAGAGGATGGCTATATACAGGTTGATTGCAATAAAGGCATTGTTAGTAGCAGATAGTAATTTAATATCAAATAGATTGAGTAATGAGACAAATAGAATGTCATAGGTTAATATCATATGAGTTGAAATGAAGCCTGAGAAGTATAGTTTGTTGATTACGTATTGGCAGGATTATTGAATATATAATTTTATATGCAATTAAATGAGTTTTAATTTTAATAGGATTGAATCATCATCATCTTCCTTTATTCTTACTTAAAACCGTTGCAATTATGATAATAACCATTTAGCCATAGGATACAACAGTATGACAAATACAAAAAGTAGAAATAAAAATGGGTAATTCAACAGACAATATGAGTAATATCCATCCCTCTTAATTTTATCTGGCAAGAAATTATATTATTCTAATTCTTTTTGAGTCAAAAAAGTCAGAGCCACTTATTTTGTGAAATTAGAAAAGTACTGTAATTAAGCAAATTTAAATAGGTCAAAATAGTTTTATAAATTGGATGGTAAATTTACATTAATATATTTTAAATATGAAAACATTTGGATTAGATCGATCGCATTATAAACAACTTCTATTGTTCCAGTTATAAATGTTGCTAAACACACAAAACCAAAAATGTAAAATAGGGTCTGATTGAAGGAGATCATTATTTCATTAAATAGTTATTTCCATTATTCAATGAATAAAATGTCAAATATTTGAAAGGTCAGAAAAGATAAAAGGATACTTTTTTTGCTATCGTTTTTATACCTCTAAACAATACTGACTTCCATTTTATCTTTAATACAATTATTCTCAAATTCGATGTTTATTTCAATAACTCTATGCTAAAAGTACTTTTCTTCTGTGATATTCTATTTAACCACAATCAAGGATTAATTAATTTAGCAATTTAAAAATTATATAATAGGTACTATTTCAGAATCTGAATTCAAAACATAGTTTTTGAATTGAATAATAAACTATTTAGATGGTGCATTAAAATTGAACTATTATTAAGATACTTGAATTTCACCTTATATAAGAGTGTCACAATGACCATCAATACTACAATAGAAACCATCTTCAATTTGACATTTGGAAGAACAACCATCTCCGTTGAAATTGTTCCCATCATCACATTGTTCTTATATTGTTTTGATGTTGTCTCCACACTTTGAATAGCATTAGTTATTTTCAAAATCTGTGTAATATCCACGATTGATTTCACATAAGTGACATGATTGGAAACCCAAATTATTTATTTTACAAGATGAACAGTTATTTGGTTGATAAAAGCAGGTTCTGCATTCTACATTACATTCCTAACATTAGTGATTTGGATTTAAAAAATATCCATCCTTACATACTAAACAGAATCTATCAACTTCGCATTGTATACAATTTTCAATGCATCTTGAACATTATGATGGATATCCATTGAGATTAATGCAATAATATCCCTTTTGTATTGTGCAATTAATACAACCATATGAATTACCATTGTCACATTCTTCTCCATGAGTCCAAACTCCATCATGACAATCTCGATAATTACAAATATCAAGTGTGTGATTCATAGGAATTGTGCAATCTATGCATTAAGCATTAAACAATTATGATTATTTGTTGCATTAATAACATCCAAATTAATTACATTTCAAGCAGTTTATTGAGCACTAATTGCAAGTCTGATTGAATAAATAATATCCATCTACACAACTACTGCATATCTGTTCATCTACACAAGTAATACAAGGCTATTGACATAAAATGCAATGTTGATTTTTCTGATAGTATAGACTTTAACACGTAATACACAATTCTTGACTCAGACAATTTTCACATGGATCTTAACACTTCACACAACTGTAACTGTCATTTAAATAGTATCCGTCTTGACAAGTAGAGCATTGTTAATTTTTCTGGCAAATTAGGCAATTTAGAGGACATTAAACGATGCATTATCCATTAATAAGCTAATAGTCATTTGAAATGCAACTGAAACACAAATTTTAGTTTGAACAAGTTAAACAAGGGGATTTGCATGGAACACAAGTTATTTAATCAAGATAATATGAATTATCTACACAAGTTAGACATTGGGTTTGATTTAAACAGGTTAAACATGGAGAATCACATTGTCTACATAGACCAGAAATAGGATAAAATTATTAAGACACACATGTTATGCAATTATATTATGAATTGCATGATTAACATGGAAATTCACATTATTTACAAAGTCCAGCATCTAAATAATAATTATTTGTAATGCAGCTCTAACAATTTGATTCTGATGTACAAGTTAAACAATGTTCTGGGCAATCGACACAATTTTGGTACGAATCAACAAATTATTTCTGTGAAATGCAGGTGAGACATTATGAATTATCGTCACATCCCAGGCAACCAGGATTAGTAATACAGGTTTAACTAGGTCCATAGCCATCACAATAAGGGGTTTGGTAAAAATAGCAACGACATTGATGTGAGGAACCGTGACAAATACATATATCAGTTTGGCATTCTGACCTTGTGAGAATATTTTCTATATAAGTATTAAATAATTACAAGTTAAGTAATAAGCATGAAATATAACAATAAGAAGCATGATTGAATTGTTCAACAAAATATTTAATATTAAATTTATATTATGAATGAAAGTTTAATGGTTGCATAATTGAAGCAAAGGTTCTCCTAACCTAATTAATTGCAGAGAGGATACGATGAATTGTTGGCTTATTTAAAAAGTAACGATATCTCATTTGAATTAATGCTAATGAAAATGAAATTCGAAGAGAAACTAAAGAAGAATGAATAGGCATTAAAAACATGGTACTACAATATAATTAAGAGTAGCAATTTTTTATTGTTCCTGTAACCGAACTCTCAAGAATTACACATTAGGAAATTGAATATTCTAAAGCAATTATAATATTTCAAAGAAATATCAGATGAATTATTGATCATTAAGTAACTATTTCCTTAAGTTAATTTAATGCAAATATGATTGAATGATATAGTAATGTATTATCACATCTATACACATAATTACTTTAATCAGGTGGTTTGAAATGTGATTCTGAAATCCATTTCTATAATAAATTTCAAATGAATTATTTATATATATATAGATAATTTAGAATGCAGATTGATCCTTCGGAAGGAAATTCAGATATTCAATCAGTAATATTGTAAAATATTATTACTTATTCTTTTTTTATTGGTATTCAATATTGATGAGAAATGTGGTAAAATGGTTGATTGAGTCTTTTTCTTAATTGTGTTATTTTGACTCTTCAATAAACATTTAGTAAATTATATAATTAATCGATATTTCTGAATCTTATTATGATATGATTAATTCAATAAAATAATTAATCACATTTACGCGAATGTCATCAGTTCGTCATGTGGACAAAAATATCATATTTGTGCTCAAGGACTAGTAGTAAAATAACGAAATGAAACGATAAAGTATATAATTAACAAATATATAGTCCGCAAAATTAATAAAGAGAAACTAAAAATAATCTTGTAAATAAGTGGATGCAAAGCTTCTCATTCGTATCACCTTTGTGAAAAAATATTTGTTTAAATACTCAGTAAATTGTCTGGTACAAAAAAAGTCAATACTTTTAGAAAATATTGAGAAGCAAAAGAATGCCATGCTCTTTGATCAAATTTCTAGTCACTAATTTAAATAAATTACTATAACTGAAAAAGAGTTTAAGGAACATGTATTTAGTTCACTCCTTGAAAAAAAATATATTTAAGTCAAAGGAGAACTATATAGAGAAGATTTCGAAATAGCATGGAATCTGACAGAAAAGAAACAACCATTAATAATATTGTTGGGTGGTACATCAGGTACAGGTAAAAGTACAGCAAGCAGTATTTTGGCATCAAGATTTGGGATATCTACAGTTTTAAGGTAAGAATAAGATTATTATTAAAATAGTACAGATTCTATAAGACATATTATGAGGAATTTCCTATCGAAAGATGATAATCCAGTATTATTTGCTAGTACATATGAAGCTGGTAAGACCTTGCCAGACTTAAATATTAGTGATCAAAGAAGGATTATCAAAGGCTATAAAGCATAATGCCATTTAGTTTAATAGAGATTAGAATATGTCATAGAGACTTTTAATGAAAAGATGGAGTCAATTATTATCGAGGGAGTACATTTGACGCCAATATTCATGATGAAAATGATGAAAAAATACAAGAGAGTGTTACCGTTTGCTATTTGTATTAAGAAGGAATCAAAACATAAAGAGAGATTTGCAGTTAGATCTAAATATATGACCTTAGATTCAAGACATAATAAATATATTGAAAACTTTCAGAATATTAGATTAATACAGAAATGGTTCTTGGAAAAAGCAGATGAATTTCTAATTCCTAAGGTTGATAATGTTAATGTTGATAAAAGTATTGACACCATCCATAGAACCATAATACAATATATTAAACATTCCTGTGAAGATTTGTAAATTAATGAACTCAAGAATGCATTACCCATTTATGAAGAATTTAATAAAATTATCAGCAATGTAATCAGTGATGCTTAAAATTCTAAAGAAGTTAAGGATTATATTCATAGTAAAGTCAATAAATCAGAAATAGTTGAATAATTTATTCAATAGATGAATGAGTATTAAGTTGACACAGGCACTCCTCCCATTCAAGAAAGTGATAAATCCAATCCTAAGGTACTCATCCAACAGTCTGTATAAAAGTTCAATGAAATCAATTCTAAAAATGAAAAAGCAGATAATTAAAATAATTTAACCAATAAAACAGAGGTCAATTACATTGTTGATGACTAAAATGAAAAGAAGGATAATATTAATCATATCAGCGATTAAGAAGATGAAACTGAAGAACGAAGAAGAAGGAATCAAGATACAAATACTATCGAAAAGTTAAAAAAGACTAAGTCCTTAGAAACGCTTGTGACAGTTGCAAATGAAGAATAGATTTAAAAGGAACCCATCAAAGAATAGACTGTTAAAAAGAATTTGAGAGTTGTGTTCCAGGAACTAGAAAATGAAAAGGAAGAATAAGAATTCACTGAATAACGACCTCATAAGACTAATTACAAAGGGATTCTTCAACATCTAACCAAACATAAAAGAATATTTATTAGTAAGAGTATTCCATCATCCAATCTTATTTTTATAAAGAAAATGATATCCAATTATAATAAGAATTATCAAAGTCATGATAGAATTAAGTTACTCTAAAACAATGATGGAAGTTATTGTTTATTTAAAATTAATGTACAAAAAATTCATAGAAAAAATGCATCCAGGGAAGAATCTTCAAGTGAACCTGATGATAAGTAATTCCTTGTTATTTATTATTAGTGATTAATCTATTGCTCAATAAGGCAAATCATTCATGACTCCATCTAACTTCCCATTTAGTGAAAGAAGAGATCAGTCGGATGGAGACTCTGTAAGATTTCGAAATGATGGAATCAGTGACGAAGAAGAAATTGAAAATGATAATGATGATGTTAATTCTGTTGAAGGTACTCATATATCTAATTTTAGAAGTATCCAGTTCTGAGGAAGGAGGAGATTTAGAAAATTTGAAATCTAAAATGAATGATGATGAAGAAGACTATTTTGAACTCTAAAATATCATAGAGGAGGATGAGTTTTAAGAGGAGATAGATTAGCCAATGCATAATGATTTGATTCAATAGAAAGTTGTTTGATTGTTTGAATTTTTAAATTAATTTCTCATTATCATAATTTTTATATTTCATCAGAATTTAATTTAAAAGGGGGTAGGTTTAATCTAATTTTAGCAAACAAACTTATTATAAATTGGAATTCAAGACTTTCTAAAATTGTAATAATAATAAACACATATGAATAAAACTTAAGTCGTCCCTCAACAAGACTAAAATATTGGTTTGACATTGAGCTTCAAAAACCTGAGTTACAAAGTAAATCAAGGCAAAAATAGTGAATCGGAAGGTAGAACTATATTAAACGATATTTCCGGAATTTGTCCTCCTGGAAAAGTCACAGCTATTCTAGGAGCTTCAGGAGCAGGAAAAACTTCATTACTTAATATCTTGGCTTAGAGAATTTCCAATAAAGGCAATGTCTAAATAACAGGGGATATTTTGGCCAATGGGAACCATTATGATAGTGAAAAATTCGCTAGATTTTCTGGCTATGTAATGTAAAATGATATCCTATTTGCCACTTTAACAGTCAAAGAAACCTTAGAATTTGTTTCAAATCTGAAATATACTAATGTAAATGAAAAACAATAAAGAGTTAATTATGCCCTCAAGACTTTGAAATTAGAAAAATGCTAAAATACTCTAGTAATTACTTGAATTTATAATAGATTGGAAATGAGTTGCTAAAAGGTATTTCTGGAGGAGAGAGGAAAAGAACTTCCATTGGAGTTGAATTAGTAAGAGATCCACAATGTATACTCTTAGATGAACCAACATCTGGATTAGATTCTTTCACTGCTTTTGTTATTATGTATAAAAACATAATTATTTAGAAATCTATTAAAAAAATTATCAGTTGTTTCCAAAAGAACTATCATTTTCACTATACATCAACCAAGTTCTGATATTTATTTGTTATTCGATCAAATATTTTTGCTTGCAAAGGGGAGATTCGTATATTAAGGGTCTAGAGATAAAATGATTGATTATTTTTAATTAATCGGTTTTGAATGTCCGAAAAAAGCAAATCCTTTGGACTATTTCATATCACTTATACAGAGTGGTGATAATAAATAATAAGAACTTCAAAATCTATTTAAAGGATATGATAATTAAATATAGCCTTAAATTGAAGAATAATTATCCAGAATTCAACCTACGAAAATCTAAAATGAATAATATTAAGCTAGTTTTAAATAATAAGTAACTCAGATCTTAAAGAGAGGTATCCTAAATGTAAAAAGGGATAAAATATTGGTAAGAAGCAGAGTTGTAATGGCAGTGTTTCTTGGATTATTAGTTGGAGGTATCTTTTGGGGTGCTGCAAATGAGCCTGGATATAAGGGTACTTAAAGTACTACAGGAGGACTATTCTTTCTCGTTATGAGTAGTTTTATGACAGCACTAAATCCTGTGATAGTTCAGTTTCCATAAGAAAGAGATGTATTTTTAAGAGAAGAAAACTCAAAACTGTATTCAACATTCGCTTACTTTGTTGGGAAGAGTTCGATAGAAATACCATTTTTAATAGTTTTCCCTATTATCTAATAATTAATATGTTATTGGATGATAGACCTAAATGATTAAACTGGTAGCATCGTAATAATTAATATTCTTGTATGTATTTTGTTAGGATTAAGCGGGAATAGCATGGGTATTTATTATAGTAACTCAATAAGGTTTGATGGTTGGGTCTATGTTATCAGATGCTCGAAATGCCTCTGGAATAATTCCTGTGGTGCTGATGCCTCTCATTGCCTTCTCAGGATTCTATGCTAATTAGTCATTATTTATGGATTGGATAAGCTGGCTACAATATTTAAGTCCAATGAAGTATGCTTTTGAAGCTCTAATATATAATGAATATGATACCAGAAGAGATGAGTTTATAGGAAAGACTATACAGAGTCAAAATCCAATTGATACCTTCTCTTTAGATTTTGGATTATGGAATAGCATTTATGTTCTGATTGCATTCCCAATATTCTTTAGAATTCTATCCCTAATGTTCTTATATTTGGGAAGGTCAAGATAGTAATGAATTTAGATTGACGTGCTATAATTTTATATTATAATTCAAATTGCATTATTATAAGATACCTGATTAAGAATTCTCATTATATTAATTTTGGTATTAAATTTTAGAATATAGGACTTCTAAAATTTAATAATAAAAATTTATAACATGAAAGGAAATGAAATTGCACTAGTTCAAACAAAAGAAACAACAAGCAGCGTGACAATCAGCTTTTAGAACCTATCCTATTAGGTCAAAGTTAAAAACCCCCAGGGAATAATAGAGAACAAGATGATCCTAAATAACATATCTGGAATTTGCAAACCAGGCTAGGTTACTGCAATTCTTGGAGCTTCAGGAGCAGGAAAAACATCATTGCTCAATATATTGGCTAAAAGAATATCTCCTGGTGGCAATGTGGCTTTGTAGGGGAACATTCATGCAAATGGTGAACCATATAATAGCGATAAATTTTCTCAATTCTCATCATACGTCATGCAAAATGATGTTCTTTTTGGAACATTAACTGTCAGAGAAACATTAGAATTTGTAGCCAATTTAAAGTATGCAGATCCATAACAAAAGATTGATAAAGTAGAGTATGCATTGAAGACTTTAAAGTTAGAAAAATGTCAAAATACTCTTGTAATTATAGATCATATATGATAGATTGGTAATGCAATGATAAAGGGAATATCAGGAGGAGAGAGAAAAAGAACTTCAATAGGAGTTGAATTGGTTAGTGATCCATTTTGTATTTTATTGGATGAGCCTACTTCAGGTTTGGACTCATTTACAGCCTTCATTATAATGTAAAATAGATTTAAATTTGATTTTAGAAATTTACTTCGAAAATTGGCTCATAGTTCAGGCAGAACAATAGTGTTTACAATTCATTAGCCAAGTGCAGACATCTATATGTTATTTGATTAAGTGATGCTTTTAGTTTAAGGGAAGCTCATCTATTAGGGGAGTAGAGTAGATATGGTGAATTATTTCAAAAGCATAGGTTTCGAATGTCCAGCACATTCGAATCCTTTGGATTACTTAATGAGTGTTATGCATCACGAAGATGCTGACCATCCACATTATTAAACACTGTTTACTGGTTACAATTAAAGATTCGCTCAAGAAATTGAAAATGCAATAAATGCAATTCAAATTTAACAGATATCAAGACAATCAATTTAAACGTCTTTTGGATTTTAAGTTGCTGAGATTTTCAGAAGAGGAATGATTAATGTAAAAAGAGATAAGGTTCTAGTAAGAGGTCGTTTAGTAATGACGATATTTATTGGTCTACTTATTGGAGGTATCTTTTGGACTGCAGGTAGTGAACCTGGATACAAAGGAATTTAGAGTACAATAGGAGTTTTATTCTTCTTGGTGATGAGCAGTTTTATGGGAGCACTGAATCCTGTGATGGTGTAATTTCCAGCTGAAAGGGAAGTATTTTTAAGAGAGGAAAATTCAAAATTGTATACTACGGCAGCGTATTTCACAGGCAAAAGTTCAGTAGAGCTTCCATTTTTATTTGTTTTCCCTGTCATCTAGTAACTTATTTGTTATTGGATGGTTGATTTAAACGATAAGACTGGAGACATTGTTGTAATTAACATTATTATTTGTATCTTACTTGGTTTAAGTGGAAATAGTTTTGGTATAATTTATTGCTAGTTATTAGGTCTAATGACTGGATGCATGTTTAATGATCTCAAAGCAGCTGCTGGATTTCTGCCTGTAGTTTTAATGCCTTTGGTTATATTTTCTGGCTTTTATGCTAACTAATCTATGTACATGGATTGGATAGGATGGATCCAATATTTAAGTCCAATGAAATATGCTTTTGAGGCACTAGTATGGAATGAATTCAAAACTAGAGATGATGAATTCATTGGTAAGACTATAGAGAACTCCAACCCTATTAATACCTACGATCTAACTTTAGGTCTCTGGAAATGCCTGGTCATTTTAGTGGCCATCATTCTATTTTTCAGGTTTATGGCTCTAATGTTTTTGTACCTCTTGAGAGGAAAGTAATAATGATATTGATAATAACATATTTTTTATAAAGTTTTGCTTAAACCATTTTAATCATAGTCTTAATTAGTATTTAATTTATACAATTAATTTACATATTATGTCACTTTTTGGAGCTTATGTGAAATTAAAAAGGAAGTCTTTCTGGGTTATTCGGTATGTTGAAATTTCCTCAGATGTATGCATTCTCATTATTTCTAGGGGATTTTCACTTATAGAGACAAAAAGGAGGACAGATAGATTAAGGTTGAATACAAATTGAGAAATTGTAAAATCAAAGAATTACTCACTAATAATGGATCTTCTCTGCAAATTTGTCATAGTGATGAATCCATAAAGATTATTACTTATACTGAATCTGAACACAAAAGACTACTCCAATCTTTGACTTAGATAAAATATTAATCTGAATCGAAATTGGAGTCACAATTCCAAGAATCATTTATAAAATAATAGTCCCCTTCCATCAATATTCAACAAACAAAATCTCCTAGTTTCTAACCTGATTAGGATCTAATTAAATAGGATTTTGGAGAGGATGTAAAAACTTTGGCTAAATAATACATTAAAAAATTTGAATCACATTAATCAATACTCTTTGACATAAATGATGGAGTATTAATTTATAAATAACAACAACCAGAAATGATCTCACAAGATAATTTAAGTAAATTTGATTAATTGTTTCTAAAGTGTCAAAACCTTAGCATTGGGATCTTAATTGCTTTATCTACTCTATTATTTTTCTTAATCTCAATAATCATTTACTATTTCTTAACTTTGGTTGAGAATTAGAAATACACCCACAGTATAATTCTGACTATCAATTTCATTTTACTCCCCTTTGTATTCAAATAAAAGAAATACAAGAAAGAAAAACCAAAGCCTTTCATTGTGTAAGGAATATGTTACATGAATTTCGATTATAATTCTTTAGTTTATTTGATGACCAGAAATGAAATTAGAAAAGAATGGAATCCTAATCTCCTATCAATAAATGCTCAAAATAACATTATGACACTAAGTTACACAAATTAAGTCATTGAAAGATTTTAATAAGCAATCTTTGTGGATTAAGCTTCTGTTTTTATAGTTGAATATTACTAACAATAGATTCTCAGATTATTCATAATTAAGTATTTATTTGAGGAAGACAATATAGAAATTAAATGTCTAGCTCCAAATACACAAATTCATTTATTGCCTTGTTTAAAACAGTTTGTTAAGCAACAAAAATAGAATCCTAAAAGCATCCTATTTGAATATCAAACCCAGAAAGCTCAGATCGAATAACCCTCAATAATTTAATCAGAAATCCTTACTTAATCTCCAAAATATACTTAGGCTGATGAATCAACTTAAGAAATCATATAATCTCAAATTCAACCCATATCATAATTCTAACCACAGCCTATACAAGTAAGCCCACCAAAATAATCCTTTCCTCCAGAGTATTAATAATATTTTGACATCACTTTGGAAGCTAAAAAATTATTGGAATCAGTTTATCCTTTAAATCCTTCATGGTAACTTCAATCAGAAAAAGGAGGATTCATTATTCATACAAGATTTGATGAGAACAGTGGGCAAACCATGAGCAGAGGAGAAGGCATTGTCCCTTATTCGATTGAGTAAATCTATGAAATTATAGAAAAAGTTGAGAAAAGAGGAGATTATGACTCACTATTTGATTCAGTAAATCTATTTATTATATAATTAGGGTTACATGCATAAAAAAATCGATTAAGACACAGGTATTTTGTATCAAAGATTCAAAACTATTAAAATAGTAGTCAAATCAAGAGACTTTGTATTAGTATCTAGAGTCTTTAGAGAAGAAAATAAGTGGATTATTGTTGCAAAATCAATTGAATATCCTGATATACCACCAATAAAGGACTCTGTTAGAGGAGAACTAAAGATTGCAGGATGGGTTCTTTAAAAGATGGAATAAGGAACTAAGGCTTGCTTTATAACTATGGTTGATCCCAAAGGTTCTATTCCAACAGCCATTGTTGCAAGTTCAGCCAAAGAGTAAGGATTATGCGTTGAAAAGGTTAAAAATCTTTTAGATAAAAGAAATAAAAAATGAATAGCATATTTCCTTATAAATATTAAGTTGTAAACTATCCTAAATCTTATGTATTTTTATTTCTTTTGATCTCAATATATGATTCTACGATTAACAAGTAATTATAATGATTATTATCATTCATTTTACTTAGAATTATTAATACCAAAATAAGTAGATACGAATACATATATATATCATTCTAGTAATTGTTCAATCTCTTAGGTGATTAGGAATAGATCTTGAAGTTTCAATCTATTAGTAGATATTTAAGGATTCTCAGTCTCCTATTGATAATCATTAGGTTTCATATCCTCTAAAGTCTTTTGACTGTTTTATTTAATGTATTCTCTTAATAGAACAGTATTTTTTCTTGGTTATGCTTTTATATTGAAAATAACTCATTACTTCTTTTTAATTATTTCTTAGTCGCATCATCAATAAATTATTGTAATTGTTGTATTGTCTCAAGATTCTTTTGCCTTCTTTCTAAAGCAATCTTCTTCATTTTAGTCATAATATGAGGGAAATCATCGTATATCTCGTTTTCAAATGATGTTATAGTAAGATAGTACATTTCACATTGTGATTCACATTAGGCCACTGTTTCTCTCTTAGTATGCAGAAATATTTCAATTTCTCCAAAGTATGAGCCTCCAATCATACTTTTAAAAGCAAATTGTTTTTTTTGATTGGTTTATTTGATAACAATGAAGTCAGCTTTGAAATTCATTCTGCCTTCAGCAATAAAGTAAATAGCATCAGGATTACTATTTTGTTCCCATATAATTTCAGATTCTAAAAATAATATCGGTTTTAACAAAGGAACAACCTTCACCAAGAATTATTTGTCATCCACTAACTAAAATAGTTGCATATTTCCAAATACTCCATTATGAATGTTCATTATTATATCATATCTTAGATTAATTGGGAGATCCTTAAAGATATATTTATTATCTGCCCAGGTGAAACAATTCTTATCAAAGCTATATTACAGAGTTTCCTTCAATTTTTCTCTTAAATTTAATGATATTTTCTTTTCAATACAAAACTCGTTGAGAATTGCTTGTTGTTATTAAAGTTTATGACCCTTGTAATCAATCTGTGAAAGGATGCTGGAAAGTAAACCAACAATCATAGAATAAAATCCAACTCCAACTATCATCAAGAAGATTGTAATGATCATCTCAGCTGAGGAGAATGAATGGATATCTCCATATCCAACTGTTGTTAAAGTAGTAAATGCATAATATATACTTGCTATATATTTAGTTTAGGTAGTTGATGATGTTAAGTCATTTCTAGAAACCCATGTATATGAATCAAAATCATTGAATGCTGCAACATAAAACCATAGGCATCCTGATAAATGAATTACTAAACAGACTGATATCAGAAGTGACAATAATCTGGAGAATCCATAATTAAATTAAAAGAACTCCATAATCTCTGAAATTCCTAGATATTTCATCATGTCAATAAATCGAATTATTTTAAACAATCTATACATTCGTGGAAGTTTTAGCAGTTTAAACAGTTTGATGTTCTGTGATTTCATATTTCCATTTTCAGCTTGCACTCCATCCAGTACATAGTTTAATGGAAGACAAGATATTAAATCAACTGTGAACCACCCTTTCAAATAGTTCATGAATATAATCTTTCTTTTCTTCACCAGCTTCCCCTCTTCATCGTAATAGCCTGATAAAAAGCTGATTATCAAATCAAACCAAAACAACACGTCTGTTACTATGTCTGCGTAATACCAAGCCTAAACTTCATTATCAAGATAAAATGAAACTAAAATTAATTAAATAAGCAACTTCTAAATGGTAAAATTGTTGCAACATAAATCATCATCAATAAAAAGATTCCATTCCAAATTTGCCTGAAGATTGAATTTGGATGTATTATTGGAAACTCAAGTTGATCATCATCCTGATCCTATGACTTCGATAATGGAAACAGATATTTTTGCAAGGCAGGTCTTAATAATCTTAATTAAATTATACCGATCTCTGGTTGAAATGTCATAGAGATTAGAAGATGTTCCATAAGTGACTATTTCCTTAGTCACTTAATTCAAAATGTATATTGTTCGTAATCTTATAAGACACCTTCTGAATATTTTTTTAATCTCATCTTGTTCGAAATGTCTTCTTTCAGGTACAACTTAGCTTGGTTTCTTTGATCTCAAGAAGAAATTCAACACTTTAAATGCAGTCTATCCACTTTTCACATGACCACTGCGATTCATGGATAATATAAATGATTAAATTTTCTTTTTTATTATTCATCATTCAACTCTGACTTTCACCATTCCTCAGAAAAGTAAAATGACCATATTTTTCTTCTCTTCCACTAACTTAGTAAGAGAAGAGAAAAGATCTCATTTCCACATTATTTTACTAACTTATTATGTATCTATTTAATAACTTCAAATTTGATTATCATTAAATTTTACATTTTTGTTGAAACCCTATTATATAGAGGAAAATGGAACAGTAAATATTGAATCCAATCTTTATAATCAAGTGACAATAATGAATTCTAGGCTTTTCAATTTTTAATTTTATAATAAAAATTTCCATCTAATCTATGCATAGCAAAATATATCGAGCTTAGGAGGATTAACCATTCTTAGGTAAGGATGTTAATAATTTTTGTTTGCAAGTTCCTGGAAATGAGTTTTAATCCCAAAAATCAAGTAGATTGACGTCTTAAAACGAATAAATTAAGATTGTCACAAACACAACTAGCACTCAATAATATCATTAAATAACTAATAATGCTGCCTTAGCTACAGAAAAATTACTTATTGATTTATAAATGGTACGAGAGGAAAACGTAAAATTAAATAGTCAACTTCAAATTTTGCAATTGAATGATAAATAATATAAATAGGATATATAGGATTTTTGGGAGAAATAAAAATAGTTGGAAAGTAAATATAAGGATTAAATACTGCGTGTGTAATTGGAAAATGATATTAATTTTAAGAAGGTTGAATAAGAGAATGTGAAATTGTTAAGCCAAGTTGAAGTTTATCAAAAGAAACAATAATAATATGAGATTTTGATCGATGATTACTTAGCATCAATAGATAAATTAAATACAATAAATAATTCATTATAGTAGTAATTAATCCTTTAACAGAAGGATGGTGCTATATAATATAAAGATTAAGACAAATAGATATAAAAGCTTAGTGAAATGAACCAATAGCTCTTAACCTAGATTACATCACTAAACAATTAAAGGAGCACAGATTAATTACAGATAAAGGATCTAAGTATCCTTCAGTAAACACTTTAAGGTCAAGTCAAGATGTATTAAGATGAAGTCACATTACTTAGTGAGAGATTGAAGGAGCTATCTAATCAAAATTCATAGTTGAGTTAAATGAATACAGATTATCTGAATTAAATCACGATTTTTCAAACTTAGGTTTCATAAGCATAGAGTAAATTATAGCAAAATGCTTATGAAAGAGAATCGAAATCAAGGTAAAGTGAATAGCATATTAGACAATCTACATCTAATAACAGTAGACTTATTGAGGAGTTGAATAGTAAGATTCTAAATCTTAATAATTAATTAAATTCGGCAAATCAATAAAAGCAGTAATTATAATAGGAATTACATTTATAAAAAAAATAATTGCAATAGGAGTAAGAGGATAGGCTTTCAGTTTAGTCCAGGCAATCCAAATAAAGTCAATAATAAAAATTAATATTCGAATTAGAAGAAAGGATCAAATAGCTTTAATAGTAATTAGAGAGTGAACAATTGAATAAGTCAGTGAACCATGGGGATTTAGATATTAAGAATAAATAAATATTAATGTTAGAATAGTAGAATTAGAAATTGAGATAGGAATTGGAGTAATTTCAAATTTAAATGGGGGAGGAGAAAAGCTTATTATACAAAGAAATTGATCAATTAGCAGATCAGAATAGAAGAGCCAAATAATTAAAGGTTACTGAATATGATATAGAGTATAGGAATTCAGTTAAGCAAAAGGAGAGTTTACAATAAGAGTTGAATAAGGCTAATTAAAGCATTTAAAAGTTTTAGAGCAGAATTAAGGCATTAGAAGATTAAATTATGTAATTGACTAATGAGAGCTCAACAATAGAAAAATAGAATAGATTTATAGCTGATTTGGAAGAGAAATTGAATCAATGTCAAAGAAAATGTGAATTAGAAATAAAAGATTATAGTATTTAAAATCAATAGCTAAATTCAGAATTGGACAAGGTGCAATATGAATTGAAATAGATGAAACAGAAATATTCAAGGGAGATTGAAGAGTTAGAATCTAGATTGCAGAGGGAGAATCAAAGGGTTTCTTTATAATTAAATGATAAGGTTGCTGATTTAAGTTAGATAGAATTAAAGAATAAGTAGTTGAAGCAGGAATTAATGAATTAGGAATAAAGTTATGAGAATCAATTAAGAGAAGCAAATAATAGAATAAAAGAGGTTACTGATGATTTGGAGCTAATGATTGAAAATTATAAGAAGGAGAAATAAGTAATAATGAATAATCTTAATTTTATAGATGAGTGAAAAGTGGGAAAGCTAGAATGAAGAATTAAGAAGGTAATTATCAGCTCAGATAGAAGAAGCTTAAATTAGAACGGAAAGATTAAGTATAGAGAAACATGAACGATTATCAATAGAATCTAGGAAATAGATTGAATAGATTTAATAAAAATTGAATAATGAAGTCAATTAACTATAGGGAGAAGTGAAATAGAAAAATGAATAGATTAATCAATTAAAGCATTTAAATCAATAGTATGATCAGAAAATTAGTAAATTTGAAAACTACATACATGATTTGGAGGATTAATTACAATAATTAAGTAAAAAGGAGGAGTAACAGAATTAATCAAAAAACTAATCATTAGCAGATTCTTTGAATGTTAAGATTATGCAATTAGAGAATAATTTAATAAAGGCTTAGAAGAAGGAAGATTAGCTTGTCTAACGTATTCGTTTATTGGAATAATAACAGAATTCATTTAGGAATACATCCGAATAAAGGGAATTGGAGTAAAGGAATAATTAAATGTTTGAAGAGATATAAATATTAGTGTAAACAATTAAAAGTCAAGATTTTGAAATGTAAACAATGAAGAATGAATTAGTTTAATATTAGAAAGAAGTATCATTCATGAAGGAGGTTGTAAAAGAGGACACAAGTAGATTGGAAACATCGATATTGGATGATAAGAATAGAAGAATTATTGAATTAGAGAACAAGTGTGCATTATTGGCTAATGAAAATACGAGATTAAATTAATTAAAGGTATGATTACAAGTTTTATATAGACAAAACAAGTAGATGATTGGCAGAAAAAGTATGATAAATTAAAAGAGGAAATGGAAAGAAATTTAAACATAAGAGAATAGAATGAATAGAACAAAAAAAATGTGATCATTTCTAGTAATATTAGATAAATTTAAAATGCAAAATGAATTATTTAGTATCATAAAATTAATTAATTTTCTGCTTATCTCTTTTTGTATTTGATATAACAACCAAATAATCCAATTCCCAAAAGAAATGCTAGTATTATCCCAAAGACAAACCAAAGTATTAATTTTGTTGTTTTATTATCAATTTCATCATTATTTTAAATGATTTCTATAGTTTCATTTTTCTAATAAAAATGATTTTTAAGAGTAATCAGAATTTTCTCAGATGTCAAATGATCATAGATGCAAAACTTAGAAGTGTTGTGTATTTCATATAAAGCAAAGACATCTTGGTGGATTGAATTAGTTAATAAATAAATTGAACGGTCTTTTGTAAAGAATGCTGATAGTTAGTATGAAATATTTTAATATTGGATAGCTCCTGAAAATAAGGTAGGAGAAATAGTTGGTTGAACATAATTTAAGTGTAAATTATACATGGCACTGATAAATGTTGTTGATTAATAGTAAACCATCAATAGATATTAATCGTTATACATTTTAACATAACTGGTAGGCCAAGTTCCATATCCTTAAAGTATCTGCAATACCTTGTAATTGTTAACAGGACAAAGGTACAAGTTGTTTTAAATTGAGCAAATAAATTGTATTTATAAGATATAATGTGAATGCTAATAAGATTAGCAAAATACTTCAACAGTAAGCAATTATTACTAAGTTTTGCTATTTTTTATAAGTATCCTTTGAAACTAGGTCTTAGGGTCAATATTAAAGCCTGATTATTGGATGGCACTTAATAAATCGATCCTATAATGTTCTATTAAATTAAGACTGTTTTCTTTAAAATAATACATGGAAATATTGATTTTATTTTCCTATTAAGAGTAAATTTGAAAATAATCTTGTTCTGGAGAAATGATATCTTTAAAATAATAGTTTTATGAATTATTAATACTCTGGACTATTGATAATTTATCATCTTTAATTGCGTAAACCCTTACAAATAAATCGAAAATTAAGAATAACAGATTCTAATAGATCTTCACTTTTTTAGGATCACTATAAGAAGACATATCAATTAGTTAATTCGAACAGTTAAAATTCTGGTCACATTTTACTACTTATAGCAAATATGAAAAACTAGGAACAAATTTGTAAGCAGTAATCAAAATAAAATCCTACAAAGCTTAAATGATCTTCGTATAAGTAATTGAAGAATCTAGATAAAAGACTTACTAAAATTAAGTGGTCATATTTAATTTGATAATTCTATCCTAATATAAAATGAGTACAGAATCTGACACATATTCTTTGATATCAATTCCTGTAGAACAAATCTCCCTGTTCAAAAGATGCATTGATTTTTGTAATTTCAACTATCTACTATTTAATTCAATATCCACAACTTATCCAGTATACCAAGAATACTTGCTCTCGCAATAGCCAATAGGTTTACTTTAATCGAGGATCTCAATGAGATTCAATTAGGTTTAATTTACAGTAATTGTTGTATAAGGATTAACTAGAGTTGAATTAATTAGATATATTAATTGTTCTTTGTTATCATAGCTTGAAATACTTAAGGATGCGTTGACTTTAACTAAATAATTTGGGTTTTCTATGTCTTGGTAATAAATGGAATACTTGATTTTTTGGGGGATTTCATAATAATTATTGATATCAGCTATGATAAATAGATTTTACACCGAATAAAGTATTTTATATCTAGTAGAAAATGTAGTCAATAAGGCATTATGACTACTCGTTTCCATAGAATATATATAGATAGTGCCTAAACTATCTTGAGTATTTTTGAAATAGACATATTTAGATTATTGGTGATGAAAGAATTTATTAGGAATGAGATTATATAAGGAAATAGTTCTCAGATATTCTATATAGGTTATGGAATTAATTATGAATGATTCTATCACTGCTGTATCTTGATAATAGATCCAAATAATATTAGAATATGAAAAGATACTGACAGTTCTGTTTTAACTAAGGGGGATTACGTTGATTGGATATATTTCTTTTTCTTTGACTTGAATCAACAACAATTGCATTGCAGTTTAAACATAGAGAACATTATACTCTTCGTGAGTGGAAATGTAAGTAGGATACCATTAGATGTTGTACTTCTGGATGAATTCTGTAGTTAATGATTGGGACTTCTAGCATTGATCCATTACTTTATATAGAACCACTAATTAGTTTGAGTAAAGCACTGCCAAGAATTAATTGATATATTGAAATTGTAGTATATAATGATCCTAATCTGGATAAATTGTACACAAATAGATGAGAGGGTCTTACACTCTCCAAATATCCAACTACTCATTATTTTTAATCACTATGTAGACGTTATAGTTATTCTAAAACATTTCATGTTGAGTGGATGATAAATTAAATTCAAAGTACACTTAACTTGAAAAGTAGCAATTCATGCTCTAAACACAATAGTAAAATTGAATATAAAAATTTGAAGTTTAAATCAAATACAAGTACTAGGTTGTCAACTTCATCACTTTAACATACTGAACAGCTTATTCATTTTAGATTCCACTTATGGTTTTCTGCTGTAAAAGTTCAAAATTAATACTAAATGAAACTTAATTGACCTTTAATTCAATGATGTTGGAAATAGTAATATTTGGTCCATCAATGAACCTATTAACATCATATGATTCTATTGGACTATTCAAAATTGTGTTAAATTGATTCATCACAGTAGGAATGGCTTATGTTGAACTCAATTCGATTGTAATGTATCTTATATTTAAAGTGCAAGATTCAAGTATATTAATTTATTGGACCAAATAAGCAGACCTGAATTATTAATACAAAGTATCAGATTTAAACTTCAATAGTTGATTCACTCTAGCAATGATTCGCTGACTCTCTGATTCAGATATTGATATTATTTCATCCGATTTTTAGTCTATTATTAATCTTGGATTCCCATTTATATGAATAGTTTATAAAGATTTTAAGTTCTATGATAACAGGCTCAACTCTCCGTTATTATATTGAATTACACTATTTTATGTAAAGTAAATCTAAAATGATTTATTTTTATTATCTATTTCCTTAATTGTTGTCAAACTTTCATCCTACAAAATATAAATTGCCTATTCAGTCAAGAATGCAAAAATTTAATTCTTAACATGATATGTTATGAATATTGCTGGATATTCCTAATCAAGCTAAAAATAATCCTTTATCAGAATATTCGGGTAATCCTTTGCATTTATTTATATAACCCACTGATTTTCGTTCAATATTGTTATTATTTATTATTCAATTTCTACTTGCAATATCTAAAGTTGAATCTTAGTTTATGCATCACCCAATATATCATTAATATAATCTTCATCAATTATCAGAGACGTTGAAAGTGTTTCACCAATTTACAAAAAGTGTATTGATGATTACTTATAAACTTCATCATAATGCAAAACACGAACTATTAGGTCATCTTTAAATGCAAACATCTTTGTTTTGATTATCTCATCTCTAGTCTGATTTTGGATGAAATATTATAATTCACTTTACTCTTTTTTAATAATGAAAACATTGCTGCTTTCATTATAGCAATCTGCTATTAGAGTCTGTCTATCAATCATCTCCAGATCATGACATATATAATCTGTGATTTCAAAATATTAGTTGAATTCTGGTAAACGCTGATTGTTTTCAATTTGATAACTATTAGTGTATATTTGGTATTTATCATTAATTTTATTCATTAAGACATATTGATTTGTTGCAGCATAGTCCTTATAAGATCTTAAGCATTTGACGCTAATTATATCTTCAAAAGAATAGTTGTAATGAGAATGGATATACATGTTTTTTTGAACATTAATGTCACTATCATTTGCTATCAACAATATTTAAGATTATTCTTATTTTACGAATAACTTTTAAAGATTCATACTTTATGTTTCATTTATTTTATTAACAAGCACTAATTCGTTGTTAGGCAATTATGTACAACAGTCTGCAATTCTAACATAAAACAACAACAATATGGATTCAAATATGACGATCATTGTAATTAATTAAATATATTTATATCATTCAGACAGCAATAATACACATCACATTCTATATCTCTTTCTTATATAAATAAAAGCAATAAAAACTCAAAAAATTAATAGAATATATAAATAATATTAGTCAGCTCTAAATACCCAAAGCTTCTATTGTTGCAAGTATCCTTTATTCCAATCCCTTATCATGGAATAATAATTAAGGGCAAATCGAGTAAAAATTCTACTCCAATATTCTCCTTTACTTTATTGTCATTTTCCCTATAATAATTTGCTCTCCGATTTCCACATGTCTATAAATACACATCTTTATCTGAAAAACTTTAAATTAATATATTACTTACATGATTTAAATAAGCAAATTAAAGTTGACTCCTTTTCGAGAGTTAATACACATGATTAAACAAACCTAAATTTCTTTAAGTATCTTTAAATTCTTACTATCTAATTGCCATCTATGCAATTAATACGATTTTTTATGATGAACACAAATAAATTTTAGATGATATAATCACTATTGAGTTGCTGCATTTTAGAAATCTTGAAATCATAACATTAATATAAATTATTCTTATCCTTAAATCTTAGAACATTCTTTATCTAAAATACATCAACATCAATATCATCCACCTTTATTGTTGTAATGTAAATAGGTTGCAAATCTGATGATTCATCCATTGAGTACTCAAGAGAATCTTACTATTGAACTTTTATATCAAACTGTTAGGAAATAAATTGTCCACTCTCAAAAGCTTTTAGTTCGGAACTGAATTAAAATTTAAAGGTTGTACTTAATTTAAATGTATCATCAATAAAAGGAGATCTAAAATCACTTGGCATCCTATTTGGAAATGTTTGGGATTCCGAAAATAATTCTTATTGATTATTGCTTTTATTTCTTAAATTGAGAGGTTCTGGCAAACCTTCAATGTCTTTTTTCAAGTCTCCTGACCCCAATAATGAATTATTCTCAAATTCAAATTTTCCTAACTATCCCAACTAAGAAAGAAAATTAGTTCTACTTAGCAGTTCTCCAGAATTCAGATATTTTATAGTTTCCTTCCCTGAATTAGGAGGTTCAAAGAAATTACTCTCACAGCTTTTAAGCAAATGAAATTCAACTTATGAAGGTAATTGCAATAAATTTTGATCATTTTCCCTTTTTTAAAAACTCTATATTGATGGTTCCTTTTCAATCTTATGTGATTACCCATTACTATGCTATTCATTACCATATTGTGATATTACTATTTATTATTATTCTTCTTCATCTTCTTCTTTAACCTCTGAGGGTTTATCTACCTTATTCTCGATAAGCTCAAACTCCTCATTTTTATTTTCCACAACCTCAGTATCAATTTTTACTTCCTGCTTTTCCATAACCTCTAAAATTTATTAATCCTCTAAATTGCTAGTTATTCCTTATTACTATTGTACCTCATTATCTCCCGATTAAATTTATATGATCTTTTCCTAATTTTATTCTTTCTCTTCAATTATATCTTCTTTTTTATTGTTAACTATTTATTCTTTATCACCCTATTCAATATTAATGAAATCTTATTAATCGATCTAATGTTCATTTTTTTATGTTCTTTATGAAGACAATACTTCATTTTAAATTATTTATGTGTCTTCAACAATTTTTATAGTTTCTAAAAGGTTATTATTAATCGAATTTACATTCTATTCTCTTTCAAACTTATTTTAATTATTTTATATGTTATCGTTCTTCAAATCTGAAATGTATTATTGAAATTATAAGTTCTATTAATTAGATATTTATGAATTTAGTGGATCTTAAAGGGCATAAAATTAGATTTAATTTGTATTTTAAATTTCTTATTAATTATTCATATCATCCTTTTCCAAATCATCTTAATGATCTTATTCATTCTTTTATTCTTTTTCAGACTATTAAAAATTATTTTATTAATACTCTTAATTCTACTATGAAATATTTTCTTTATTAATTAATTCTCCTTAACTTTAATTATTCTAATTATTATAAGAATTCAGAAGTTTTTAATTTTCAAAATCATTTCCATCCTGTAGCACTTTCTGATTTTAATTCTCATATTGATCATTGTTATTAATTTCATTATCTTATTATTATTATAAATCTACAGCTTCTTTTTGAATTACTGCTTAAGGCGATTCAACATTTTAGTAAAGCGATTCGATTTTCTTACTTTTTTTATTTTCTTCTTCTGCTTAAATCGACATAATTTATTTATTCTAATTATCTGCCTTGATTTCTTACTCTTCGCTGTAATTATCTTCTTTGATTTCTTACAACTAATCATTTTTGATGTTGTCAGGTTCCATTTCTACTGCCACAGGTTTTTGATCAGAAGATTCAAGTTACTACTTTGATATTATTTATGGCTGTTCTGGTTCTGCTTAATTAATGTTCAATGAATATTAATTGGCAGTAATGTGATGTAAATTTAAGTTCACTTACAACACCAACCTTGGAATATCAATTAAATTTTATTTCTACTAATCAAAAACTAGACGACTATCTTAAATTTAGATTAGTTTAATTATGTTATTGATGATTATATTCATCAAAGATACAAATTCTATGGATTGTTTAGATATGTCCTCATTAAGTAATTTTGAACAATTTTACTAATTCAAATACAATCTGAAATCTCCCTTTATTACTCCCATTCTCTCAATAAATAGCAGCCTAATCCGATATAAAGTATATGAATAATTAGTAATTATAAGGAATGTATGTCCATCTATTAACCTAACTTATTTCTATTGATGAGTTATTCGAAATTTTTTTTATATTTTTAGATGTTTCATTTAAATTTTCCACCATGTTTATATAAATATAACTTTCCTTAATTTATCTTCTTTCTTTTTTTTCCATTCTATAAATCTTTTGTAATCAATCCTGCCTTTGACATGAGCCTAAATCAAGGAAGCAGCCTTATCCTTCTTCTCCCTTAGAGTAGGCTTATGCACATTCTTTTTAATAATGAAACGAGACGAATTGATCTCTACGTTTTTAGCTTCATCTATTTTGTTTTGTAGCATTTCTAACTCTAAAATCTTCTCTTATTTAACCCTAGTATGATAATAAATTTACTTTTCTAGTTCAGCTATATCCTTCAACATCAACTCATGTTTCTTGATATAACTTGAATCTGATGCTTCATCTGCTTCTTCCACAATCAGAGACTATTCAACCTTCTAAGGTTATTAAACTTATGGTTTTTAAGGGATTGTCTTTATTTCATTGAATAGATTGGCATACTTATTGGAAATAGGCAAGATTACATTATTAGATAATTGTATTGAGGCTGTTTGTGGTCTTTTTACTGATATTTTTTGGTTTTGTTTCTTTTTACTTGGTCTGATTGATACAACACTTTTATTTAATTGGGTTATATTATTGGGATTATTATTTTTGAAGACAACTGATTTTCCTTTGATTTCAAAGAACTCAGGGGATATTCCATAGGCATCCATATATGGCTTAATTCTTTGGTAAATTAATCTCCTTTAAGGTTTAGCTGGTGAAGTGTATTCTTTCACTTGTACTTTGATTAATGAATTATTTATCATATTATAATCAATAGTAAAGTAATTTTTTGGATTATCTTTATGGAGTTGTCAATTGTAGCACTTCAGTTTTCAGTTTAACGACTTCATTTTGCAAATCGTTATAGAGACACTTAAACATGACTCTTTACTTTTGAATCTTATATTTGATCTGATAGGTTTTAGATGATGAATACATGATTCTCATTTTCAAATGCTTTATTAAGCCTTTCAGTAAGGATATTGATGGTTTGATCCTTTTCTTTCAGTTTCTTTGCATTGTGTATGCTTCGACTTGAACTTCTTTGGGTATTTTATTGCTTGCTATCTTGAGGACTTTAGAAATGACTGTGACTTCTTTTAATTTAGGTTTGCAATTTCTAGATGAGTTTTTCTTATTGCTTAATAGTTTCAATGAGTTTCAACTTCGACATTCTGTTATAATTAAATAGTAAATTATAATTCAATGATAGAAGAAAATCCTAATTTCGGCTATGCCTAAGATGATGAAGATGCCTCATTCAATAATAGCAGCAGATTTCAATATGAAGTCAATGAGGAATTTAGAAAGGTGTCAGAAAATAAATTATAAGTGACTAAACTAAATGAGGAGAATAATATTTGCACAATTAAATTGTCACGAACAAAAAGTGCAGAAAAACAACAAGATCACATGATGATCCTATTGTTATCTCTACTTGATAGAGAATTATATATTAAGCAGGTTAGCTTTAAAGTTGACAGTTGGAAAGTCTATGCAGAAAGTGAGAAATTGACATAATTAGTCAAACAGAGTCAACACACTTCCACATTGGAATTGATTAAGAGCATTGTACCAGAGATTTGCAACATTGTTTTATCATTTGAGATATCAACCAACAGTGGAAAGAAATCAGATAAGTAGGAATTTGGGAGAGCACATACTCATACTCAGCCTATTCCTTATTAAGGATTCTCTACTTGTTGTTGGTCTCCTTAAGGTCACTTAATAACAGTACACAACACTGCAACTAGTCATTAGAAATAAGCCAAAGATTAGAAAGCATAGTATACAACTTTGTAGGAATTAAACTCATTTGTATTTTCACAACCAAAAACAAAACAATCCAATCAATAATAAAGACATGTGGTTGAAATCAGAGAAGATGAAGAAAACCTATAACCTTTCTTTTAAGCTGGCGTTTAATTAATATCAGAAAAAGAAGATGAAGCCTATGATTATTTGAATTTCTAATTTTATTATCACTATTTTCCTCAATTTCATCAATAGGAAGTACCTAAAGAACAAAAAGTTGAGAAGGTAGCATTTTATAAGGATTATGAAATTTATGATTTGCACAATAATCCAGATGTAATAATCTTAGGAGAGCAATTTAAAAATCTATCTAAAAAAGTTTATGAATAATAAGATAAAAAGACTGTCATTAATTAAAATGTTGAAATCAGTGTAACTATCATATTTAAATACTTTAGATCTATGATTTCGGTAGTTATTCTTTCCATGTTGATAATATTACATCACTGCATGAATATTTTACAAGTCATATGAAAAAGAATAGTAATAATACTAGCATCAATAATCCATTAAAAATCTTATTTCAACCATTAGAGGAATATTTCAAATTATATAATTCAAACATTGCCAACTTTGTACTTACTAGTGGAGTTACATGTAATCAAATCCATTATATAATTTAGTGGATCTATAAGAATACAACATGAAAATCTTGAAAATTTTATCCGATTGCATCTATCAACAGTAATTAAAGAAAGTTCAACATTAAGAAATGAATTTAATTAAAGACTTTCAAGAATATTTCAAAAAATTATGGAATTCCTAATATTAGATCTATCGATTATATGATTAGATTGCGTATTCAATTAAGAAAAGCAATTTAAAAGATACTAAGAAATTGTTAGATTGTGTCTATTAATTGAAATTGGAATCCAATATTGAAATGAAGGATTAAATTAAAGATCTCATTAAAGATGAAATTAGTAAATACAATAGTTAACCAAATCCAAAGCTATTTGTAAAAGGGATATAAAGCATCTCGACTTATGATAACTTTTAAAAGATATAAAATGAATGTCCTATTTATATTATATGGAATTAACTCAATAATTTTCCCTTAATAGTAAGTGATAAGGTGGAATTCAGCAAATTGAATGTTCTGAAGACTGCTCTTAGAGCTTAGAGTCCTTTTAATTTCTGCATTTATAAGAAACTAAAATCAACCAGCTTTTAGGTTGGTAATTTTAGAGATTTGCTGAACAATGAAATATATGGGTAGGGACCCTTATAATTGGGAAATGTTAAGTAAAATTAAAATAAGACAATTTGTTCAATCTGTTAACAAGTTATTACAAGTCATGGATTGTTTTGTAGCACATGCCAACATGGAGGACACTATGAACATATGTAGTAATGGAAGCAAACATGTCCGGTTTGTGATTGTGATTGTAGAAAATGATATCAATACATATTATAAATTATTTCCTCCCTTTAATTTGATTCACTATTTTAAATAACATGAAAAATTCCAATCGCAAGAACAACCATTCAGGTATCCATTAATTTCTAACTTTTAGCTATCAATCAAGCATAATTTATTTATGGGAAAAAACTAATTAAGAACAATTATTATTATGCCGTTAAATGGTTAGGATAACCCATTTCTAACATGTCTTGGGAAAAGTAATCTAATTTCACTGAAGAATCTTCCTATTTAATCAGGTAGTATATTTCAATTATTAATTTTTATATAGACGCTTTGAAACTAGGATTGCCTATTTATTCTACAATAAAAAGATTTATCCCTCCCAAGATGGTATAAGAATTCATGTTAAAAGCAAATTTTGTTAAGTTTACACTCCCTAAACGAATTAAAAAAGTAAGTCTATTTAGGATCATTAATGGAAAATGTAAAGTATTTCTAACAAATTCATTTAAACCTCATCTATCATCAACTAAAACTTAAAAGATGTTACCCTTAACACTTAGGATTCTAAATTAGACTCAAAAAGAGTGGTAGTGTAATTTGCTCCTCTGCCTCCTTTTATCGGAGAAAATTAGATCAAGTAGATGATAGTTACTACCTAATCAATGACAAATTTGAATTAGGTTGTTAAATAGGAGTCAACAATTGAAAGAGACATCAAATTATTAAACTAAATAGAGAAAATTTAGAAAAAGATAAATGAATAATAAAAAATTCAATAAATAGAAGTTCAAAATGAGTAACAAAAAATTAATAATTAGAAACCTTAGATTTTAAATAATAGTAAAATAGTAAAAAAAAGTTCTAAGAAATCAAACTCAAACGAAAAGAAGAACAAGATCAATTAATCATAATAGTAAAAGGTTATGAGTAATTTAGAATCATCTAAGGTAGAAATTAAAAAGTAATTGTTCGACTAAGAAAGGAAGAAAAAATTATGTCCATCATCAAGTGATTTTATATCTATTGAAAATGGTGATGAATCTTTTTAATTGGAATTATAAAATTTTGATGAGGTTTTTGATAACAATTAACCTGTTATTCATCAAGCTAATCCAATGCCTAATTAATTTAATAATAAAAATAGTTAAACAAATTTAGAAGGACCTCAATTAAATAATAAAAATGGATCGAATAAATAAAAATGTAGAGCAGTAAAATCTGGAAATTTACTGTCATTTTAAAAGATAAATCCTTCTGCATAAGTAGCATCAATAATTGCTAGTAATAATAACAATGATAATACTTATTAATAAACTAGTAATAAATTCAATAATCACAAAAATACTTCTAATGATAACTCTAACTTAATTGATAATGATGGCGATGATGATCATAAAAATATTTTGAATAGGTTATCAAATAACAACAAAAGCGAAAATTCAAGCTCTATAAATAACGTTAGTTTAAATTAAAGCATCAACTAATCTGAAGAGAAGAAATCAGAAAAGGATAATATTTTAGATAAAATTTTATATTAAAAGCCAAAAGAGAATGATAATTTAGAGTAAAGCAGATAACCTAAACAATAAAACCAGGTAAAAACAAGTCAATAAATTTAATAAGAGATCTAAAAACTTCAATTAGATAGAATTGCTTAAAATAAACCAAGTAGGTGCAGTGTACCTATAATACCAAGAATAAAAGATGTTGAAATTTAGGTTTGTTTTGTTGATAATCATGAATCGAAGATGATTCAGTATGATTAAGAATTAAATTAAATAAAAAGTTACAATATAATAATTTCTACTATTTGCTCACATTAGTTATTGAATGAGCAATTGTTTTTTCAATGTCAGTACGATAATGGTATAGAATATTTTGTTGAATATGATGAATTGAAAGTCTTTAGCCCAACAAAACTATTAGATTATATGATATAAAATTCTATATTAATTTGATTTGATTTTTCTAATTATACAATATTATGTTAATGAACTCACAAAAGCTATAAAACTAAAAGTATCCTTTCTTAAAATAATACAATTAGATATTACTCTATTTTTATGCTCATAAGAGAATTACAAAGCTTCGCTTAAAGATTGGGAAGCTTTGCATTCTCATATGCTAGCTATTTATAAAGTTTTATTTGCATTAGCTGAGTTATTGATCAGCGTAATAAAAAATTTTGAAATAGTTTTGACTTCATTTTCATTTATAATTATATACAATTAGCACTTTATTTTCTCCTCAATTAATAGTGCAAATTCTCAAAATCATAATTTGAATTGATCAATAAGAAATCCTCAAAATTTATCTAGAATTACTATCTTATATTACTTGAGGAAGAAATTTTTTTATCAACAAATAATAGCATAATTAATTTTATGAATATCTAAATCTAAATAAGCTTTTAAGGTAACCCTTAAAAATTTTGATAATTAATGCTTGTTTGAAAGTTTTTGAAAATGGTTATCACTGACTGTTATTATTAATATCTTTTGATAGATATGACAATAAATAAATGATTTTAAATCTTATTCGAATAGAGTGATAAATTTCTTTTATCGTATAAATTTTTGGAATAATAATAGTAATTAAGAATTTAGAATTAAACAAATTAATATTGAATAAATATAATATTATTATAAAATTGATTAATTTATTTTTATTATAAATATTTTTCGGAATTGAAGAATTATTTCTGTTTCCAAAATTATATTTTCTTTAGTAAATAATCTAAAACTACTTAAAACTATGAAGCGATTTGTTATTTTCAAAAAAATGGATCTATCTGCTTGATTTAAAAAGATGCCATTTTAATATAAAATTTGCAATACCTTCGATTTTTGCTATGATTTTTAGTTAGTTAAGCTTGTTAGTATTATAAAATAAGGATATTTTTAATAAAGTGTTTCTCTGAGGGTAATATGGTTAGCATCTTCTAATTAATTCTTTACAAATTCTGAATTTTGATAAATTCTAGTAGTGTATTGGAATCACAGAATTCTAATTTGCTATTTTTATACAGATTTAATTAAAATTTACACCAATAATTAATGTAGGAAACAGAAATATAACCATAAATTGAAGCTGGAAGACTTAATGACACAGTGTAGAGTGCTAAAAGTTTAAGATGCAGAAGAGTAGTAGATATTGCATTTTAGAATATTGAATATTAAGTGGTTGATTAGAAAGGACGTAAGATTTTCTTATAAAATTCATAGATAAAAGAGACATTTTGCGTAATTTAGATGGATATTGTCCAGGAGGAGAAGTTACAGCCATTTTAGGAGCATCTGGTGCTGGTAAAACATCATTGCTGAACATACTTGCTGCTCGTGTTTACAGTTCTAAAACTGTCAAATTAAAGGGAAAAGTGCTTGCAAATTAGATGGAGTATGATTCTGAGACGTTTTCCAATTTTGCTGCTTATGTTATGCAAAATGATGTTCTTTTTGAAACTTTAACTCCAAGAGAAGCATTGTAGTTTGTTGCAGATTTAAAGTATACAGACCCAGAATTGAAATAATCAAGAGTAGAAGACACTATAAAAACAATGAAATTAGAAAGATGTTAAAATGCAATTATTGGAGGTCCAACTTTAAAAGGAATTTCAGGAGGAGAAAGAAAGAGAACATCAATTGGATTTGAATTAGTCACTAATCCTTCATGCATTTTATTAGATGAGCCTACTTCTGGATTAGATTCATTTACTGCATTCTAAATTATGTAATATTTATTTTATATGCTAGATATGAACTTTAACTGCTTGCTCATGAACAAGATAGAACAATCATATTCACTATTCATCAGCCATCCTCAGATATATACTTGCTTTTTGATAGAGTCATGCTTTTGGTTCAAGGAAAATTTATCTATTAAGGGCATAGAACAAAGTTGGTTGGGTACTTTAAGGGCATAGGGTTTCCTTGCCCAGATCACAGTAACCCTATGGATTATATGATGAGCATAATGCATCAAGAAAGTCAAATTAACATCGATAATTTCCCTATCTATTTTGACCAATATGAAAAATAATTACATCCATAAGTATTAGAAGAAATCAAAGAATCCTCAAAAACGGAATTAGTTTATAAGTAAGTTGAGACTTCTACTGCATTTTAAATAAACCTAATTGCTAAAAGAGCAATAAAAGGATTTTTAAGAGATAAAATAATCATAAAATAAAGAGTTGGTATGGCAATTTTTATGGGATTATTACTTGGATATTCGTACTATGGTATTGGAGAAGATTCAGGAACATTTGCAGATTATACTAGTATGTCTGGATGTATGTTCTTTCTTTGCATCAATCTTACAATGAGTTCATTGTTTCCAGTTGTGTTACAATTTGCAACAGAAAGAGATGTATTTTTAAGAGAAGAGAATTCAAAGCTGTATACAACATTTTCATATTTCATGGGAAAATCATTTGTTGAAATACCTTTTTGTCTGATCTCGCCAATTATTTAGGAACTTATTCTTTATTGGATGATTGGTCTCAATTCAAAAGATGGAGGAGTTGTTGTAATACATATATTCGTTGCTATACTCACATGTTTAAACGGTAATAGCATGGGATTAATGGCTGGATGTGCATTCAATGACATTAAAGTGGCTACTAGTATAGTACCATTAGTGTTATTGCCTTTAATTATCTTCTCAGGTTTCTTTGCAAATTCAAAGTAGTTTTTCGTTTGGATTGGTTGGATCTAATATATAAGTCCTGTTAAATATTCTTTTGAAGCCTTAGCTACAAATGAGTTTGACGGAAGAAGTTATGAGTTTGGTGATCCCATTGAAACTCTAGGATTTGAAGTTGGCTAATGGGAATCAATTGGAATTCTTATTGCATTTGTGGTGGCCATAAGATTAGGAGCATATATGTTCCTTAACATCTTAAGATCAAAATAATAATGATTGTTTTCTAATATTTTATATCTTGATAATTTATTTTTTAAATCAAATTTAACTTTATAAGTTTCTTAAAATGTCAATTACTCAATACCATAAATGTTTTTCTATAGAATTAAATACTTGTACATTAAGACAGTTGATTTAATTAGTTAATTAATCCAAATTATAGGATTTGAATGGTCAAAACTAAAAATTGACAACATGAGGAGAGCAAATCATACTGAAGAGTGAATTTTAAGAATTGCCAATACTATTGGATTCATATAAGTTCTATGAAATTTTCATTTCTAAAATTGGTGGATATGAATTTTCGGGTAACAAATTTTGCATATGAAAATTCTTTATAACTTTGAGATTTAATGATGGATTATGCAAATTTATTGGGCTGTTGCTAGATTTTACCTGGATTATGGATTTGATATTCTTTTATGTTTGAGATCAAGATTATTATAATAAGAATTATAAAATGGAATTATTATATTTTATATAATAATGATTGATGATTCACAATAAATTATGAAGGAAATGATTTAAAGTAATTCGATTGAACAATTAATGGAATTTATGAGCAAAAACAAACCAAGCATACTGAATCTAGATTGTGGCAAGAAATAAACCAGTAAGTGTTTTCATATTAATCTAGTTCTACATATTGCTGTGCAGAAAAACGATTATCCCTTTCTGAAATTTCTTGAACAATATTCATAAGACAATTATAAAGAGAATGAGATTCGAAAATTAGTTAATACTTACAATATTGAAATCTTCACAGCTCTTCATATTGCATCTTACAATGGAAATGTGGTATTTTTGATAGCCTTTATCTAAGTAAGCCGTGAGGATCTTAATAAACATGGGCGCAGATATTGCTCTTAAAAGTGGATCTGGCTTATTGCCTATACATGCAGCAGCTTAAGGAGATTAACCATACATGGTGGTATGATATTTTTTGTATAGAAGTGGTATTGGATATAATAAGGAATCTCCATTAACGCTAAAGATGATGCAGGAAATACTTGTTTACATTGGGCAGCATATTAAAAGTTATATATCATTTTTTGAGGTTCTAGTTGTGAATTAACAGTGAGTTATTTGATTTCATTTGGTTGCAATATGGATTAAAAAAATAATGAAGAATAAACTGCATTACATATTGGGGCATCATATGGGCAATCGAAAGTTGTTAAGAAATTATTAATAAAGGGAGCTTAAAGAAATATAGAAGTAATTTGATAATTTTCTATTTAGGATGTAGACGGATAGTTACCTATTAATTTAACAGAATCTATTTAAATCAAGAAGATGCTGGAGGACAAAATAGATTTAGCATTATTATATAATTTGAAACAGCCTTATCATCCGATTCAAAGAAATAGAAAATCTGTCTTCGTTTACTATTTTGTAATTCTGACATCCTAAGGTTGTATTGGATACATCCTATGGGAATTGTAAGGAATATTATTGGAAATTTTTTTTGGTTTTCTAACTATTTTACTAATGGCCTCTGTTCTGGCATAATGTTGTAATCCAGGATTCATCTCTTTGCAAATTACTGTAGAAGAGGCTATGAATTAATAGATAGATCCTATCAATATCTGTCCGGATTGTTGGGTCATTAAACCTTTAAGATCGAAACATTGTGAATTCTGTAAAAAATGTGTAGTGGTTTATGATCATCATTGTCCATGGATAAATAACTGCGTTGGAGCCAAGTAAATCATGGATTAATTATATATAGAAACCTAATTTACTTTTATTCTTACCTTTTTACCCTAATCCTTATTTAGATTTATTCTGCTGGAATAATTGTTTACTGTATTTACTTTTATTTAAAATAGACTTTTTTAAATCTGACAGCTTATCTCTATACAACTATTTATTAATGCTATATCCTATCTTAAATATATTGATATTTATTACTCCAATTTTGTAAGACATCAACTCTATTTATTAGACTTCTATGTATATACTAGACAAAGAATTTGTATTATGGAATCACTACTTACGAAAGAATAACTGGATCAAAAATTAACCTGAAATCCAGTTTATTAGATCCTTAAGTAATTTAATTTATTGATATTTCATAAGGAAAACATTCAAGATTCGTAATCAGAAGAATCAAGAATAGAACCATCTATTTAAAATTGTTTTAATTAATGTTTTAGAAATTAAAACAAATTTAAAAAATATACAAAATAAAGTTGATTTAAATTACTAATTTTTTGTCATATTTTCACATTTCTTTTAATTTTAAATGCCCTTTGTGGTTTTTATTATAATGGTTATTATTACTACTACTACACTTATTATTATTTGTTTGTTTCAGATTTGGTTCTTGCTTTACCTTAGCTTTGAGTTCTCATTTACCTGGCATCTAAATCCACTTCTGAAAAAGGGTATTATTTAACAGGAATTTATTCATACTAAGATCTTCTGAAGTATTACTTTTATTATTATTATTATTATTGTTGTTGTTATTGTTATTGCTATTATTGTTATTGTTATTATTATTGTTTTTTTTCTTTCTTTATTTCCTAAGCCTTTTAATATCTTGTTTATGGTTTGACAACCACAGCATCTAAGTTACCCTCTAAGTTATCCTTTATCTATCCATTACAGACATATTCATAAAATGCTTTCAAAACCCTATTCAATTATTCTTTATTATTTATAAACCTTTAGAATAAAATAATTAATTTACTTAAGAACCTTCCTTAAATATGGTTCGAATCTGTAATGCATAGTTTTCATTATATTAAAAGCTAAAAATGATTTCAAATTAGCTAAAGTCTTAAAAGGAGAAGCTGATAATCTGCTCATAGGATTTATAAGATTAAAATCTAAAAATGCATTCACAATGCCCACTCCAACTTGTTCATAATCTTAAATTGTAAAAAAATAAGACTTTGGATTGGATGTTTAAACTGATCCGAATACAATATTTTCATCTAATTAATCATCTGTATATGAATTATCTTATTTTAATATAAATGTTACTTCCACTCTCTTCATACATAATATTTGTGATTCTTCCAGTGTTGTAATTACATTCTAGAGTGTAACTATGAATAATGCCACAAATCTTATAAAAAGCTACTCTCCCTGAACCTTCCTTACTTAAACCATCTCCTTTATCAGCAGCATACATATTTTTTTCAGTAAAGTTGCATGCATCATAATCGAATATTTCCGAATATAAACTAATCAATCTTGGAATTATGCAATTTGATGTATGCTAACTTAATGATGGTAATTAATTTCCATATATAAATACTCCCTTATGACCAGCATGAGCATGTAAATCAATATATCCATAAAATCTATCAGTATTTTAAAGTCTCATTATATATTCTTTAATCGCATAAATTGTTGGGTGATCCTCCTTTGAAGGAGATAAATAATATCTATTTAGATTTTAACACAAGGAATCAGTTCTGTAATGTCCCCTATAAACACCATCTGGATTTATAATAGGAACAATAGACCAAACAAATTTCTCTCTGGCCACTTATGCAGCAGGATCATATGCATTGAGTAAATACTTCATTAATCCATTGTTAACAAAAGATCCTGGCACTTCCCCTGGATGAACTCTAGCAGATATAAAAATGTGTGGTTTTTTGAATTGTTAAGGACGACTTTAAGGGAATAAACCAGGGATAGATTCTTCCTTAATTTAGGATGATCCATTAGTTATTGTAATTAGATTTATAGGTCTACCTTCTTTAGAGTAAGCCAGTACTGAATTATCATAATAAATGTCAGGCACTTAAAGAGACATAGCTTAACATAGTTATAGAAAATTCTATAACTATATATGTTCAATACATCATTGTCTTCACAACTCCAAGGATAGAAGAAGGCAAAATAAACTGTCGAATCATTCAGAAAACTATGCTTAAAAGTTATTTCAAAATGACCCTCTGGAACTAAGCGATATTAACACTGTTGTTTTAATCTCTCCCATTAAGACGAATGACAATTTCTATAGACTGGCTACATACCATCTTTGAAAAGTCCCATCTATGATGAAGATGTTATTACTTACTTAGTTTTACATATTGGCTATTACAAATGTGAGTTCCCCTTCATTCACACCAGACACTGAGAAATAAAACCATGTTCTATAATTAGTTGTCTTGCCATTAATTCCCCAATCACTTGATATGTTAAGGATGTACTTAATAATGTTATAATTTAAGTACTCTTCCACTGCTTTCCCTCCGAACACTCTTTAGATTCCCAGAATCGAATGCACTTGAAAATGTGATTCCTTGAATGGTCTCAGTGATCTGAGATGGATATTCGGTAGCATTATTCATCATTCGAATTAATATTTATAACAAGTGACAGTTTATAAAGTTTAATATTACATAACTATTAATAATAATCTAAACAAATCTGAATTACATTATGATAAGCAAATCTATTGATAGAAAATCTTTAATTTCGATCGTTGGTTTAGGCACAAAGAAATAAATATTTTATATTGTTCTCATTTCTTATTCATCATACTAATATTCATTATAAGAAAAAAAGAATTTAGAAGATATTTAATAAAAAGTTAGTATAATTAAATTTTGATTCATGAAAATGTAAATGTGATTATCTATTTTTCAATTAGATTTTTCATTAAAGGATTAAAATTATACTTTTCAAAGATGATTTGTTTTATTTAGAATAAACTCAATTAATTTTAAGTTACATTCTTATTTACAACTATAATAATTTAATTCAAAGATTTTGAAATATTTGTAGGGTATTACAATCAAATTTATGATGTGTATTTTAATTATGCTCTAAGTTAAAAATAATATTTTTCTATTCTTATAATAATTATATGTTATTTAAAGAAATAATCTCTTAATAAAGATGAGTTTTATGAAATTTACTTAAGATAAATGATTAATAGAGAAGGATGTAAATTATAAACCTAAGAAGAATTAACTTTGGCTGTGTTAAAAAGAATAATAGATTCACAGTTCATTTATAATCTATATTCTATTACTATTTCTATTTAATTTAACATAATTGATTACAAAATTAAATAGTTTTATCATCATTCAATATTTATGGCTTTTATTTCATCCCATTCATAATATTTTTGATATTATTTATTATACTAAAATAAGAAATAAATGATACTGCTTTGTGATAGGACCTTAAACCAATCAATTTCTACTAAGAACTTTAAATTTGATTTTATTCTGCTTTTGATTTATTGAATTGACTTTATGAAACATCATTTTAATTGTTAGCTTTACTCTAAGAGTTTTGATTCTAATTTTCATTTTAAACCAAAGCTGATTATTTAATTTGGCTTTAAGCTAGAGGCAATTATTCTATTTTAATATCTTGATTCATAATCGGGATCTCATTATTATTATTATTGACGCCAATAGGTATTTCTAATTCATTCAATAATTTGAGATATTTTCCCTTATAAATGGAGGGAGCAAACATCTATTGAAATTGGGTAAATTTCACATCTTCCTAAATTTATTCCTTCTTTAAAACTAAAATAATTATATAAAACTCTTACATTTCAAAAATGGTCTAAGCTCTTATTATTCTTATTCATTTGAATTATTTCTTAAAATCTTTTCATTGAAACTAGAAAAACATTTTGAAAGCAATCCAATCACAGGTTTATAACAAAAGAAAAATAAAAATATTATTATAATAAGAATAGCAAGGATAGCAAGTAAAATGATATTTGGAATTTAACTCCATGATCTATCCCACCATTCTACAACAACATTCTATTACCCATAGACATCTTATAATTGATCTATTACTAATTTTGCCTCAATTGTTTCATAAAATAAATTAGTACTACCATAAATATAGGTAGCAAAGCCTAAATGAATTACAACAGCAATCCATAAATATTTTCTTATAGATTCACTAATTATTGAATCTATCCTGATTGGTTTTCGATAGGTAGTGAAAACTAAAAAATCATAATTTACAATACTTGAAATCTTATCCACAAAGTACAGGAACCATATTGTTAGCATTGTAATGAAATATAAGAATGGGAGAGCGGGAGTATACATAAAACAAATATAAAGGGCTGTCAAAACTTGTGCATATCTTAATTCAACCCTAAATTATTCTCCCTTATATAAATCTTTGAAATCTTAATAGCTCTTCTTTCTAGTTTTTTTCTCATTTAAACAACAAGAACATTAATCATATGCCTATCTTACATATCTGATGATTATTTCAATTAAAAGCATCATAGGTTAAGTCAGAATGTTAATCAATAAAGTTAATAACTATAATATAGATAATTATATACCAAAACAATTCCAATATTTTAACACCATTTAGAATCAATATCCCCATACTTTCCTCCAAAAAGAAATCTAATGGCCTGAGGAGCATCATCTCTTGTAGAATTACCAAAATCAATATTTGTAATAAGAAGAATCAATCCAGTATTTAAAAATTGACCTAAAAATATTTTTAGAATTCTGCTTGAATACTCTTCCGAAATCATCAAATGTTTCTCCCATTTTGACAGAACTAAGCAATTAGGTTATTTTTACAAATGAATATGTATTAAATTAAAACGTTTACACCAATAAGTCCAGCTACAATTATCCAGGGTAGTGATTATTAAAATGTATACTATTTCACCCAATCTTAGCAAATTTCATAATCTCCTTAAAAAATATCATTAATCTTTGGCTTACAGTAACATTCAACATAACCTTTAATGGCAATACTATTTTCATCATCAATTTCTTATTGAACCTATAGTTCTGTAATATTGTCATAGATTTTATTATTGCAATTAATAGAAGGGTATTTTTGTTAAAAATCTGTCTTTTAAAGATTCACCCAACTTACCAAAACCCATGAGCCTGCTAAAAGAATTAAAGTTATAAAGAGACTGCAAAATTATCTCAAAATTCTTTGTTTTAGAGAATAATTAAGATTATTCCAATTGATATTCTCAGGGATAGGTGCATCCTTAACTTACAACTTAAACTTCTTCAATAACCTAAATAAATCTTAATATTTACAATTTTTTATTTTTTTCTTCATCATCGAAACAGCAAAAACAGCAGTAATAATAAAGCCAATCCTTTGGTAGACTTTGAAGCTATTCTTAAACTTATTATTTTTATTTCATTGTATCGAAAGTAATCCAAATGTACTTTGTATCCCCTTCTGATTATAATGCTTCAATCTTTTAGGAAATCTCTTCTATTTCATTCCAATATTTCTAAATGTTTTTATCAATTTTAGTTAGATTTTATTATGAATTAGGATCTTCACATAAATGCAAAAAGTTTTGATAAAAATCTTAATATGTTTCTTTTGACATAATCGACATTTGAATATTTTTTTAGGCTTCTTGATAAAATTATGATTTATTGGCTTTCAATTCTTCTAATTACTATGAAATCATTTGCTTTTTATGTTTCAATTCTGATTACAACTTTAATATTTTTTCTTTTTCTGAAACTTAAATATCATAAATTTATAAATCAGCGTCTTTTAAAACAGACTTTAATTTTTCATCAATAAATTTTTTCACTTCTGTTAGCAACACCTATTTAATTTATTGATTTTCATTAAGTTATAGCGCTCTTATTATTTCTGCGCATTTTGGTAGATTTGATATCTAAAGTGAAAAGTGTTATAAGGTGGGGGATTCTTTTTGTGAAATTTTATTGTACTTTTTTTCACTCGTTGTTAAACAAACTAAAAAATAAATGAATAGCAAGACTATGGCTGCATCACAAGATGCAAAGATAAGTGGTATTATTTTTTATTCCAATTCAACTGGACCAATAGAAATCATGGCTTCTTTGCATTATGCTCCAGCATATATTTTCATTCCACTTAAATCTTCCTTATTAAAATCTGATTTTGATAAAGTAAAGGAATATTATTCTTAAGAATCTACCTATTGTCTTAATGAATTCAATCTATCTTAATTAGTTACATTTAAATCCAATTCAGATTTGCTTATATAAATACAATCCTATTCGTTTGAGGTAATTATGCCGTATAAAAATGATGGTCCAGCAAGATTACCTGAATCGCATTACAAATTAAATTCAAGAGGTCCATAGTCAGAATCAAACGATTAAATTTAACAATCTTTATTATTTAAACTTGTTGCACCAATAGTGGTTGCCATTAAAAATTCAAACGGATTAGATGAATCTCTAGCTTCACTCCCAACATAAGCTATTTATAATTCTCAAAATATTACATAATACGCTAAAAAATAATTATGGTATTGATAATATTGTGAAAATGATAAAATAGTACCCTAACTTTTTTAAGAATCTAAAATATAGATTGATACCAACCCCAAACTATTTAAAATGAGGTCTTGTGTTTTATGAACCACAACAAAAAGTATGAGAACCAATCGGAAGGCAACATACTTCACAACACTTTTTATTTTATTTTTCTTTTTTATGAATCTATATCATAGGTGAAACTATTACTTTCTAGAAAAATGTTTAAGGCTAATTCTCTTCATTTCGAAAAGGTGCTATAAATATACTTTTTCTAAAATCTGATTGGCTTTTGCATTTCTAACTTTAATTAAAATTTGTGTTAGTTCTATCATTTTAATTAACTTGTTATTCAATCAATGGATGATCCTCCCTATATTATTAGTGAACTATATATTACTATCCATTTTGTTCTGCTTAGGTAAAATTAGGTTGAATTTCTTTTTTTTCATTCTATTAATGCAATGCATGCGGCTCAACTTAGTTTGTATCGGATCTCTAAGGAGAATTATCATTATTTTAGTTGACTTGGCTATTGTTGTTACTCATGGTAATATCAGTATTAGAATAATTATCAGATAGAAAATATAATATATAAGTTTAGTTAATTTTTCTGTTGAATTAATAGAATACTTTTATCGATCAAGCATTAAAATCTGATTGTGTTGAACTCGATAAATTATTCATGAATTATATTTTGAGTAATATAAAATTCATATAGTCGTTGCAATTATGCAGAACTAAGTAAGAATAAGAAATAATATAACTTCATGAACCTTTTAATAATTATAATAAGAGACTATTGATATCGAAATATATACTATCAACCCCACCCATATCTATCTTAAAAAGGATAATAAGGAGAGAAAAAATCTGAACCAATTTCCTCATTTTCGTTTTCTAAACTTATTGATTTATATTCTAATATATATATTTTCTCTTTCGCTTCTCTTGATGTAATGCTTTCATCAAAATATTTATTAATTAAATTGCTCTGTTGAAAATTTCCAACCCACCATTTATAATAATAAAACTTTGCATATTTTAAAAATTTTTCTCTTAAAAATATCTATTCTTTTTTTTGAATAAATTTATATTTTGATTTATTATTATATAGTAAATTGACTTAACGAAGCAATTTCGGCTTTGAGAGATTATAATAAAATTTATATCTATTTTATTTATCTTTTAATATTAGAAGTTTCGAATATATTTTACATGATTCTCCATTCAAAATGTGTAATTAATGAATTTTGGTAGGTCTTACTTAGCAATACGATAGAATCTTTGAATAAAATTGTAACAATATTATAGAGTTCTAAATTAGTAAATCCTCAATAACTGGGAGGGATGGCAATTCTAATTTGATGATAACATCTAAAGTCTAAGTGTTTCTTATTTCAAATGCACTGTTAACGTAAAGAAGCACTAAAAAATCTGTATTCTTTTAAGGACTCATATTTGATAGATATTAATTTTCAATCTTGAAAGTATTCTCCTGTTGTTTTTTTAAATCAACTTGAAGAATCTTACCAAGTTGTTAACAAAGAAAACCATAAAGAACTTTACCACAAAAACAATATAATAATTTTTATTCTTTAAGAGATGCAATGATTGATTGATTATCCTCAACACTAGAATCTTCTTCATTTTCTTCATCATTTTCCTCTTAAATTTCTTCTTGATTTACTCCTTCATCTTCTTCTTCTTCTAATATGCGTTCAAAGCATGTATCAAACTCAAGTTCGTTATCTTCTAAGTACTCTAAAAAAATGTAATCCCTTCCTTCATGAATTATTCCTATTCGATTTTCATGTTTTCTTAAATAATAATCTATTTATCCACATTCCATCATGATATTAGTTAGTTTAGATAGTTTAAATTTCTAACCAGAGTTTTGATTCATAAATTAATTATTGCTATTTTGATGAATCTCCAATAATTATTAGAATTCGATCAAAACAATTATATATATGCTTTACCAAATTAGATACATAGTTATAAAATTTTATTCAAAAATTTCAGAACTCATCACAGATTAAACCAATTAAAATAATGTCATTAAAATTGGATTCGGATGTATCTTATGTGGAATTATCTGTTGCTAATCATTTTATTAATTTTATTATTGCTATATTTATTATATTAATCAGACTAAACTTAAGTTACTAACCGATGCTGTATCCCAACTTGTGTGTTTGTCAGTTCTTTTGAGACTTATTAATTTTCTCAGACATGCCTTGTAGACAAACCTTTCCTCTTCGCATTCCCATAAATAATGCTTGATCTTTTTTGTTAATGGGCGCATACTAGTAACATAACAGCAATTAATACTATGTGTAATGAGTAGAACTATCTTGATGCATGGGTGTATGGCCAAAGTCCTAAAATAAACTTTTTAGTGGTTACAATTGACTTTCCATCGGTTAACATTCTTGGCCACATTGAAGGCCAGCTGGGATGAATGATTTCCATTTGTTTAGTGTTTGATCTATTTGAATGATTAATATTTGATTTACTCGAAAGCACAGTCTTCATAATCATGCATCTACTTTAAACATGGAGTTGTGTCTACACTTAAAATATGTTATACCAAAAACAGGAGGTACTGAAGAGGGCAATGTACCAAAATATAGATAACTCATAAAATAAATATAAAAATAATAATAATATCTAATTTTATTTACAAATAATATAATTGGATTTTCTCTTCATTGATTTCTACTCTAGAGAATTAGATCATTAATAATATTGATATATGGTAATGGATATTAAACTTAGTTAAATTTATAATAATTCTAATGTATAATTATCTGCAAATTCTTTATTTAAAAGATAGCGCTCCTGAGGAACTAAAATTATGAATTTTTATTAATAAAAACAAATTTAAGAATTCAAAAAGGGAAAAGTATATGAAATACCCTGAATTTTCTGATTTTATACTACATGAATTATGAGACCTTAAAAATAGAGAAGAATATTATTAATATTTTTATAATAGGGACAAGAATCAGAGTTACTGAAGGGTATGAAATTATCATATTCAATGTTCGAGATTTACGATAAACTTTTGAGCTGAAATATTTGTGACTGATTGTTAATTCTATCAAGTTAATAGGATCCTTTTTTTCCTCATTATTATTAGTTTATTTTATTTACATTTAATATCACAAAATAATTAATTTTTTTCTATTATGGGCCAAAAAAATAAAAGAAAAGGAAGAAGAAATAAACATCAACAAATTTCATTACCACCATTGGATGAAGACTATAAATAAAATCTCTATCTAGAGGGTATCAAGTTTTAGTAATCAAAGCTCTGGAGGGCATAAATAAATTAAAAAATTCAAAAGATCTCTTCCTTTAGAAATTAGTGAAGGAAGCTTATTTGTTATCAAAAACATGGTTTGAAACCTGGAAATTACACATTGGATATGATGCTGTTTTGAAGGGTGAATAACCTGGAGGTAAGAAATATGGAAGGCAATAACTTGGGGAGATTAATAAGGATTTAATAGCAGATGAAGAATAATTTCATGCTGCACCAGAGCTATTTAAGTAATTGGATCCTCCTTTGAATGATGTGTAGCCAGTCAAAGATTACATTCTTATTACGGAAGAGGCTTGGAAATTCTTTTAAGGAAAATACAAAGGTTAAGCTATCATAAGAATAGCAAACTAGTAAAGCGAGTTTAATTTGAAGATAATAAGTGTAATATTTAATTGATATCTAAGCCTAATATAATTTTTATGACTCAAGAGAAAATGAATGAGATTCATTCACTTAATTAAAGTTAACTGGTTAATTCCCTCGACTTATTGAGAATGAGAAAAGCACAACTGTTTAGTGATTGGAAATTCGGAGATTTGGAAACTTATTGTTAATAAATAATGGAGAGTAATAATATTCAAATATGGCTAATGAATCCTTTGTATGAAAATAATCAGATTAAATTGCAATTGATAAAAACTATTCATTAATAGAAAAATGTTTTATTGGGTGAATAACTAATAGACGTAGAATATTAACAATTTTAATTATCACAGTTTTTAAAAAATCATTTCATTCTAGTAGTGTTTAAGAATGAAGTTGAATTATCTTAATTAGATGTTAAATTTGAGTTAAATTAGAAAGGATGTTGTCTAAATTGTGAATCGAAGGTTTTATTGAATTATTCATGTGCTTGCAAGAAAGTGTTTTACTGTAGTGATACATGCAGATATAAGGATTAAGAATTTCATTCAAGACAATGCACAAAAGCTTACGATTCACAAGATGATGAAGACTTTGATGCAATCAATTATGAGGCTATTTCTACGAAATATGGGGCAGGATTAGCCAATTTGGGTAATACTTGCTATATGAATTCATCTCTCTAGAGTCTCTTTAGTTCAACTCATTTCTAGGAATTCCTATCAAATAAATAATATTGGACTTAGAATACTATTAAAAGAAATGTGTAACTGAATTACAAATTAGAGAAGCTCCTAAAAAACCTATTGACTCATAATGAAGCATTTTCTCCATATAGTTTCAGGTAGCAATTGGCTCAAAAATATCCATTTGTAATTATCCATATTCATAAATTAGTTTGGAAAGGATTTCTAATAGGATGCTGCAGAATTTATACTATATCTTTTTGATGCATTGAACGAAGAGTTGATATTAAAGGATGATAAATAGAAGCATCAATTTGAATAGTAATAATTAGAATTAGCAGATGTTGATAAGTCAGAACCTGTACAAGCCAATAGTGACAGTGAAGATGAAAGTAGTGATGAAAAGGAAAATCAAGAATCTCAACAGTAACAATAGTAGTAGCAGATTCAATTCCATAAAAAGGTACAATAAAATGTAAATTAAATGATGTATGTAGTAAATCAACAATGATAATTATGAAAAGGCGATAGAGATGATCCACAAAATGAATAGTTCGCTTCTTCTTAAGAATTTCTTAGGAATCACTAGATCTTAAATTGAATGTCCAATCTGTGAATAAAAGACATAAAGTTATGAATAATTTTCAATATTACCACTCCCTTTAAATGCAACATGTTAATCTAAGCGCAAACATTTAGTTGATGTGTTTGTCATTTCAAATGATTGGTATCAACCAAGTAAAAAAATAGTTTATGAATATCAACCAAATACAACTTTGTTATCAGAGGTTAAAACATATATAGGAGACAAGTTGGGGATTGAACCTACAACTTTATTAGGAGCTTTGTGTGCAAATAGTATAATAGATATGTATCTTTTCCATGATGAAGCTAATCTTTCAAAAATCATAAACGACAATTAAAATAGCTACTTGTGTTTTTTTTAATTAGACTAGAGCATTTTTTCAATAACTGATGAAGAACAGTATTTTGATGTGATGATCTATTCATTTGAAAAGAAGAATGCTTTCTCTTATTAATGTGAAAATATTTGTGTAGCCATTCCAAAGATATTGATAGTCAAGAAATCTTGTACTGCAGCTCAAATATATCAATAAATCTGGAATAAACTTGGAGAACATTCCAACTCTAATTAATTAAAAGATATTCAAATTGATGAACCAAAGTAGGAGAACCTATTAAATTCATAGTAACTCAAGGAAGCTCTGAATTACTAGGTAATCATTCAAACTAGATTGCCATCCAAAACTCCTTGTCCATTTACATGTGGCAAATCATTTAAAAAAGAGTAAAAACCTCATTCTTGTGAATTACCTTTGAATAATTCGACTACTTTGAATGACTATTTGAATAAAATAAATTATCCCAATGCCGGTACTTCATTGTCAATAGAATTTGTGGAAAATGCCATTCCTAAATCCATAAGAATAGAATTTGAACCTAAAAATAACTACTTTAAACATGATAAATGTAAATTAAATATAATATTGAGTAGCATTAGATCTAATAGATCTGATAGACAATTTCGAGTCTAAAGAACCGTTGGTAGATGAAAATGCTTATCATTGTACCACTTGTAATGATTTAACTTTCGCCATAAAGACAATGAGTTTAGAAAAACTACCAGATTAATTGATAATCCAACTCAAAAGATTTTAGTATGATGAACAAAAGGGGTTCTAGAAAAACAATATTTTAGTCGCATACCCTGAAAATATAACGATAAATTAGATTGATTATGATTTATATGGTGTAGTATAGCATTTTGGAGGATTAGACAATGGTCACTATACGGCATACGGTAAGAGATCAAATAAATGGATTGAATTCAATGACAAATAAACAAAAGAAGTCTAAGTGAATGATGTAATAAACGACAAGAACGCGTACATTCTATTTTATTAGAGGAAATGATGTATATCTGATGTATTTTAAGTTAATCATTTTTATTTGCTGAGTGGTAATTCTGCTTTATAATGAGCCTTTTCGATAATAGGAATTAACCCTTCATTAGCAAAGAACGTTAAGGGCATAATGACTCCTCCATTTTCAATGTACTTTGACCATTCCAATAATTCTTTTCCTCTCCATCCTGGACCAATTTATGCATAAGATGGCAAGTCTTTATAGTCTACCCATCTGGCTTATTGGGTTTCTTAGAGATAGAAATAACTCACATACCTCTATCAGGTTTTTGTTTTGGTATTTGTTTCTCATCAATGGGTTCTGCATAATATACCAATCGGACTCGAAGATGATTTTGATCTGGCTTCAATGAATTTTCGACTCTTAGAATGCCTTTGAGAACAACGTCTATTGATGCTTCTTCTTTGGTTTCCCTGATGGCAGCCTATTCGAAGGTTTCGGGAGGATCTACTAAACCTCCAGGTAACCACCATCCTTGATCGCCGTTTTCCAAAATAGTGAGATATTGACCTTTGGAATTTCTACATACCACAAGGGAGATTCCGAGAAGACTTGATTTTTGTTACTTAAACATTATGTTATTATTATATTATTATTTAAATGTAAAATGAATAATATGATTAATCAGTATATTGAGGATATTACGCAACATAATTTATTAATAATTTATTTTGAGGGTATTTAAATCTTTTTTCAAAAAGTCCAAATAAATTATATATTTTATTCAATAAAAATTCAAACACTTTTTTAAATCAACAAAGAGTCGAAGTTTATGTCCTTATCCTTGAAATGCATCTAGAGATTTGGTTCTTATCCCTTACCCAGAAAGATTGGTGTTTTAGGCTACGGTGCCATTGGGAGTGCATTTATTGAAGTTCTTTTGAAGAATCACCCAAGTACTAAATTGTTCTTTATTCCTAGATGCCCAAATAGTTGCTCTTGATAAATATGATGCCTTTAGACCAAAAGAGAATCGTTTCGAATGCATAATAGAAGAGAGAACCAAAGAAAATATAGGTGACACACTTTCAAGGATGGGGTAAGGTATTCTTCAATATCTAGATTGCAAAGCGGAGATATTTTAGTGGATTTGTCAACAAACATTGAATTCCTATCGATATGGTCACTATGCGCAGAGAAAAAGATAAGATATATGAACACAGCCTTGGAGCAATGGGAAGATAGCGAGGATGCCAATTCCTGTCCTAAAAATAGCGAGGAAGCATACAAGCTCACATTGGGATACATCAAAGACAAGGCCAAACAATCTAAGTATTGGAATCCAAAGAGTGGTGCTACAAGTATACTTGAAATGGGATTCAACCCTGGCGTTGTTTCACATTGTGTAAAGAGAGGATTAGAAGATTGTGCAAAGCATTACTTGAAGCACGACGATCAGTTCAAAGACGTGAACAAATAATTGTTGAAGAAATATTTGGAAGCTAGAAATCATTCTAAACTAGCCCAGGTGTTGGGTGTTCACACAATACATTGTTCAGAATATGACAATCAAATGATGAAGGATATTCCAAAAGACATCAATACTAAGTTTTACAACACATGGTCCTGTAGAGGATTCTTGACTGAAGGACTTGTGCCAATTCAAGTGGCCAGAGGCAGTCACGAGGACCCCCACATTGAATCCATGTATACAATCAGAGATGGAAAAACCATCGTATCAACTAAACCTTCAGTTCAAACCTATGCTAAGAGCTGGCTTCCCAATCAAGACATCACTGGAGTATTGATACCTCATGGAGAGGCTTACAGTATCTAAGACTATTTGGCTGACCCTGAAACTGGGTATGCCCCATCTTAGTACTACGTGTATGATTACAATCCCTTGGCCAAGAAATTTATAGCAGGTCTTCCAAAGGATGCCGACATCAACAACACTCACCCTGAAATGGAAGTCATTCACCCAATCAATCATCCAACCTTAAGAGGAGTTGACAAGGTTGGTGCCATGATCATTATGAATAACAACAGAGGCTGGTGGACTGGCAGCATTATGGATGAGGTCGATAGTTCGATGTTATTTAATGGAAGATTTGGACCCACTGTATTATAAGTTGTGGGAGGAGTTTATGCAGGATTCTTATGGAGTTGTATCAATCCAAATATTGGATCACATTTCCCAGAGAGTATTGACACTGATTTCCTTTTGAGCATTGTAAATTATTATCATAACAATTAGGGATAAGCGACCATGGGCAGATTTGTTTCAGTTAACGTGAATTTGACTAAGACATCCATTAAAGATTGTCATAAGTTGCAGAGCTTCATTTGTGATAAGCAATGATTATTTAATAAATATGATTCAATTATAAATTATTTCTAGAAATTCTTCTTTTTTATTTATTTAAAAATAATAATTACTATAATCACTGGTGTTCTGATTACTTTAAAATATATATTAATTCAATAAATAGTATCTTCCATCTTTAATTACAAATGAGAGGATTATTTCTTTAGTTATTGTTCAAGATTCATTCCAAACGATTCCACTCTTTTTTGCTTCTCCGCCTTATAATTGATAATGCAAAATATGATGAAACTACAACTTATTACCAATGGCAACCCAATCAAAAACGCAAAGAGCAACCATTCTGTTTTTATATATTGCTTATATCCAGTATTTGATATTGTTATATCCATGCATAAACCTTAAATCTCGTTTAGATTACTTGGACATAATTACACATTCAATAGACTCTTAGGAGTGCTATTTTAATCAGCCTAAAATATTATTATAATGCGAGTTACTATTAATGTAAATTGATCATTAAGAGTGAACCATCTTAATTAAAAGTCCTATTGGTTATTGTCTTATTCCAAAACTAGCATACGAACACGCTCATTCAAATACCCCTTTTGTATGTCTAGCAACATCAGATTCCCCTGTATCTCAGCAGCTTGGATGACTGATTTCACTGAATGATTTATCTACTATTGTCCCCTCAAGAACAACTTCACAAATTGAGTTTGCTCAGAGTAATTTCTAGATGTATTTCTACAACTAATGGCAAAATACTCATTGTAGGATGCTTTCAATGATCCAGGTGGACTCTGACATTGAGTGTATTGTCTAATTCAATTTTCTATCATACTTAAAAATCTATTCAATTTCAATTCGCCCCTATATTTGAACTAAATCGAAACTGAGGGAATCCGTAGTTACATTAATTGTATAAGTAGACTCATTCTGAAATTCAACTTCAGTATCAATATACGTGAATTCAATTTGATTCTGCACAAAATTACTCACTAAATACATAAAATTATCATTCTTACTTAGTTCTTTGATGTTCAGAGTTTCCACATTTAACAACCTATACTATGGTGATTTATTCGATTAGTATGTGAAACTAATCTACAACTTAAAGAGATTAAATGAATATTGGTCATTGAATACTAGTTCGATTATGGTATCAATCTAGATATTATTGGCATCTTGAATGGCACACCCCTTAATACAATACATCTGAAAATTGTTGACTATCAATGTATTTTTATTAAAATTGGCTGCTCCAATCACATCCAAAAGTGACCCATTCAAAAGTGAACTCTTACTCTAATCTAAGTACCCATAGAAGATACAAATCAAGTTATCTCTTGCCCTGTCTTCTGTGTCATATCTTTTATTTCCCTTGACCATAGCTGTGATAGTGATGAATTTGTATTTGGGTTTGAATTGAATTGGAAAATTGATCATCTTCACATCTTCCAAAATAAAGGAACTTTAATTTTAGTATAAGAAATCTTTGAAATTGATGTTTAGGAAGAAGAAATTCTCCAAAAACTATTTTTCAATTGGTTGATTGTCAGATAGGATTGTGAAACTCAACTAGTTGATCTAATTAGTAACATCAACTCTAACCATCATAGATTAGCAAAACAATGCTATCACATGAATGGCTGATAATTCTGCAATTGACAATGGATTGATGAAGGATTTCGTACAATTGTTGACAGTAGGTTAATCCTAATCAAAGAACACATTCTTGATCTCGTCGTATTCTATAGTACTCTAAATTACCTATTTGTGATCTATGTTATTCGATATATTTTACATTGAGTCTAAGGAATATCTATGATGCCTATGGTTTCATCTCCCAAGATGATTAAGTACTCTTTAGAAACACTAGTTCCTAGGATTGTTTAATCAATTTTAAATCTAACCAGATTATCCTCCTATTCCCAGATGAACGGCACCATTTTAATGTTGAATTCCTTAGCATTTTACAATTGGTAATTGAAAATAGGACCTGAATAGTAATCCATAATCTTTAATGAAGTGGTGAAGTTGGTCTTGTAGATTTCGATTTCTGGCAATCTTTTTACACTCTTCTCTATCATTGTGTCCTAATACCTAAAACTACCATTGATTGTCAGAGTCTCTATAAATTGGATTAATAAAATAGTACTTTATACACTGTAGCTTAACGCAGATTAGGCATTGATAGCAACTGAGAATTGGTTGTCAATATTGGTTGGATCAGAGGCAATGAGTTCAAATTCAAGCATTTTATTAAAGTAGCAATTGATGTTGGCATTTGTGAACTACAGACAGTATAGGAAAGTCTACATCCTAGGGTAACATATAGTTATTGGTTCTGACAAAACTGAATATTTGTGGATTGCATGCAATCTATCTGATCCAGTCTTTGACAAATCATAGACATACAGTTCATTTGGCTTGTTGGTTGGCACTATTAGCATATAATAATTTATATAGGTTTCATTTGCATTGATTATGCTATTGAATTAGGGTAACAATGAATCAAATTTAATATCTTGTAAATTATCTATTGTGTAGAGTGTTATTCTATCATCTACAATCACCAATGTCAGTATTGGTTTTTTAAGTTACAACACAAAGAATTTGAAGTTATGAGTCATTTATCCCAATTCTATTTCTACGATGATAGTCTTAAAATGATTGGCTTTGAATTGATTTGCCAGTTGAATCTAATATAATTTGTTCTGGTGACTTCCTATAATGAGATCATTCTTTAAAAATTGAAAATTCAATTGTCTAAATTTACGATCGATTTCTATAGTAATTAGGTTTGTGAAGTAAATGTCAGCGTAATAGATAGTGTTATTTGTGCTGAAGAACAAATTGATATAATCTAGATCTACAAAGACTTCGTACTGCTGATCGAAGAGTGGATACTCTATATTCTAACAATCAAATTCTACAACGCCCTCTTCCACTCTCTTTATCTTCAAGACAGTGTAATAGGTGGTTTTCTAATAGAATATTATGTAATATGGCGAAATGCTGACGATATTCTTTACAATATTGACTGATGAGCAATCCAAAGTGTAGATCTTCTAAGTAAAATAATTCGTATTGGGTATTTCCTATTGAATAATCATTTTCACTTAATCAATTTACAAGAATATAGTTCTAAACCCTTTATCTAAGAATGATTTAATGGGGATGCGAGAATGCTATATAAAGTGTTAATATAAGTCTTCCCACATTTCATATCCAAAGCCAGAAAGGCTTATGACTTCGACATCTAATCTAAAATATGATTGATACTTACTTTTCTTGTCGCTTTTGGGTGAAAGTATGGTGGCAGGCCCCCTTATTAAGGTTGAATAAAGGACGGTAGAATCAGTATTGGGAAAATTGTAATTCTGCAGATGGTCTATTTTGAATACATTTGTGCTTTCGAATTGTTGATTAAAGATCATGAGGGTAACATTTTGATTGTTCATGTTTTTATACACAATAGAACACAGAAACTCCTCATTTGAGTTGGACACTACAGTAAGTCTTTCTATTTCATTTTTGATTAGGGACAGAATGGCATGAGTTTGATTCACCTGCTGAGTAATCAGTATGTTGGTTTGTCCAGTTATCGTGGAGAATGAGACAGGATAAGTCAATAGCATAGGATGTTGGTAATTATTTTGAAGCAGTAACTTTTAGGTGTAGGATTGATGTCTATTGATTCTGTAACATTCGATCAAATTTTCGATATAGGTAAAGCAAGCATAATAGAACTGTTCATCGTATTGAATCTACGCCTTCTTGATTTACTTACGGTTCAGTATGGTGTTGAGATTAATTTTATCATTAATGGATAGAGTGGTGAAGAAGAAGTCCTTAGATTATTGAGGCAAAGCCAATTCGTAGATGAAGTGATCGCTCAGTATCACAATGCTGTATTGGATGTCATTTTCGATGATTCCTATGGGTGGGAATCTGATGGCATATTGTTCATGTGAGTAGCTGAGTGCATAAAACAATTCATTGGGTAAGAATAATTACCATAGCAATTGTTCGTACATGACTTCTCCATCTTCTGTGAATGTGAATCTGTACACATGCAACCCTGATCGATGATCTAATATCATGAGAGTGTTGTCATCGAAAAAAGAGACCTTTTCAATCTCATTGATGGGACTTTGGAATTGAACCATTCTTATAGAATTCGCTTGACTGTTGAATTTACCAATTAAGAGTTGCTTTGTGATTTGGAAATTCTCTTGGGAGGAGCAATAGATGCTAAAGTACTCAGGATCTTTGACTCGCCAGGAACTCTCAGTGATGATATTCAAGTTATCGCAGTTGTTTAGTTGATCTGTGTCTAAGAACAATTGCGAGGAGCAACCAGATAAGTATTTATTTTCTTCAGCTATGCATTAAATTTTGGAAATGTAGATGTCATTATCTGATCTACAAACAGCCATGAAAATATCAAGGGAGTATTGAGTCATGTCGCTGCAGGTGAAATCAGGCAGGGCTTTGGTGTTGAGATCGATTGTTCCCAATTCTTTAAAGGGGGAATTGAATTGTTGATTATCCTTAAAGAGGATGGTAATTCTACCATTCTTTTCCAGGATGAGTATGGTGTTCTAATCATTTGGGTAGTAGAGGATCTAAGGGATAATAAATGACGTAGTACTTGTTCAATTTCATTTTTTTATAGTTATTGAATTTACTCATTAACTTTATGTTCCTGGATGTAAATGGAATTCTCATCGCAATCTGTGTTAAAATCATGCTTGTTTATATCGCAGATCTCATGATAATGATCTCCTTTTGTGAGCAATATTAATTCGCCAAAAATTGAATATATTATCAAAGAGCCGATTATAAAAAGATAATTCATATATTTTAATTATATTTATGTATTTTATGCAAATTTAATCAATCGAACAACTTCTCCAAGAATGACTTTTCTTTATTTGATTTCTAAGCAGTGTTAGCCTATTGTGGTTAGGATGGTTATTGAGGCAATGGAGCTTATTGATAGGGTCTAGTTCTTCCCATATCTTGAGGGATCGATTGTTATTACTATTGTTAAGGAACAGATTAAGCGAACTGATGAATAATGTAGAAGTCATACTTAAGATGGTGCCACAGTTTGTTACAATTAAGGATTGTATTGTGTAGTTTGAGTTAGAGGCTATTGAGGCTTAGCCTATTGAGGACCAAGGGATTGTTGTCCATAGACTGTCTATTGAGGGGCTGGAATGGAATATCCCTAATTAACTTGAGTGGCTGGAATGGAATATCCTTAATTAATTTAAGTAGTTGCTGGATTGACAACAGGTTGTTGGGTTTAAATAGATGGACCATAATTCAAGGGGACAGTCTATGATTTTGGATGAAGTTTTACTTAGGCAATTTATAATTAAGGTTGAATAGTTTGAGTGTTTTGGATGGTTTGATATTGCTATTGTGGAACATATTGTGTGGTTGGCAGAGTTGGTTGCAATGCTACTGATTGTTGGATTTGTTGTTGTGGAACTATTTCTCTTTATTGGACATAGGATTATTGGACTATTGGTTGTTGGATGACTTCTCTGGTTTGATATTGTTGTTGCACTTAGACTGGCTATTGGTATGCTAGGGTTTGTTGAGGCTGAACATATTGTGCATATTGTTGACTCAAGAGTTGGGTTTGGACTGGAGTATAGGTGGCTGAAGTTTGGACCTATTATGATTAATATCCGATTGGCTAAGTTTATATGATTCAATCTTACTTGTTGTATCACGTTCTGCCTTTCCACAGTGTAATATTCGGTTCTCTCTGCTACTCTCTCAACTGGGACGTATTCTATCTGTTTCTCTTGAATTACTTGGGGAATGTATTCGATGTCATATTGGACTGCATAATAGTCAGTGACTTATTTGGTTATGGGTACTTGCACTTGTCTCCTCACTTCTTCGTATTCGGTTATCGTTCTCTCATATGGGATGTACTCGATTCTTGACTATCCCTTCACCACTTGTCCTTATTGGGTTTCAACTGTTTGTTGGAGAGGTTATTAAATTTAAGATTGCCCAAATACTGGTTATTGAGTGATCGGCTATCCGATAAGTCCAACTTGTGGTTGCCCATACAGTTGTTATTGTTATGGTTATACATTTTATGGCAATGCACCTACTTGTTAAGGCAGATATTGCAATCCTTTCTCCCCAGATTGTTGAGGTTGATAGTTGCTCTAAGGAATTTGTTATTATCCTAGTGTAGGTTATTGGTAAGTGGGTTGATCTCTGTTGTACGAAGGCAAATTTGAAGGCGTTGAATATTGTTGTTGTGGTAAGTTAGCCATAAAAAGATTTTTAATTATTAAATTTTATTTGTTTATTCATATATAAATCCAAACTATGTTAAAAATATTAAATAACAATAAGCATTAATTACATCTCATTTTATGAGCAATTACCAATCTCCTCATTTAAATTTCAACTATTCATCATTACACCCTTATTGATAGTTGTTGCAAATCCTAACTCATCTAAAATGTCTTTGTCTGCAGAGTAACCACAAACGTCAACATCTCCACTTGATCACTGATAAATTCTCCATGAATTCTTAATAAACAACTGAATTTCAAACCTTTTTCTTAAATTATGCCTAACAAATCTACTTGCATATCACTAATCCAATGAGTCTAATTGTAGGAACACTACACAATTAATTAACAGATTGATATTGATTGTTTTTCTTTAATTTTATAATCTTACTCTTCCAAAACATAATTAATTAAATAAAATGTCCTTTCGCAATCGATAGAAATAGAAACATGGATCTGGAATGATGAAAGAAGATTTAGATCTCAAAGATATCAATGAACCAGAAGAACTGGGTCTAGATCAAAAGATGGATTGGTTATCCAGCAAACAAAAATACCACTTTAAACGAGAGATTTCTTACAAAAGACAGCATATTCTGAATCTTATCACTGAACAACAAGCATCAAACACTAAACCTGCTCAACCATCACAATAGTAATCCACCATTTCCAATAACACCTCCTCATTATAGGATGCCATTCCAAAAATACAATTAGATTAAGGAGACACCAAAAATGAGCACCTATATGCGCAATCCAAGTTCTCTTAATTGAACAAGGAAGCTCTTTCCCCTTCTGTACCCAATAGATTCACCTCGAAAAAAAGATCTTAGTTTTCATATTATTCCAATGATTCCTACAATTCTAATCTAGAATTGCATCTTGGCCAAAAACAAGAGTCGAACAATCACCTCTCAGAAACCAGAAAGGAAAGGTCAAAATTAGTGAGCAATACTATGAATCAATATAATCAGCAATATTTATTAAGATAATCGAGAAACTAAATCATTAATAAGGTTAAAAGAAACAATCCTCAGTCCTCCTTGCTACAACTTGAACTATCAGACAAATCAAATTCACAAAGCTCAATCAGCACTCCAAAAAGCATACTGAAAAATCCATCATCTCTCAATTCAAGTAGACTCAGTTTTTGCAGTTTGCAACTAGGCAGTTAACTAAATACGCAATCCCCCTCCAAAAAACGCAAAGTTAAGTTCTGCTTGACCAAACAATAGGCAAGAAGAGAAAATATTCCATGTTGAAAATACTAATTATTAATAATTATACTCATTTTCATTGTTTCAAATTTTAGCTTATTTACTTTGTTTTATCAAAGATTTTCCTCATTTTCTGATGTTTCTTGATCAACTGAGAACAATACAGAGTGATTATCTCCTTCTTGTCAATTACTGTAAATGGACTAGAATCTATGTCATTCCATAACTCCATCTCCACATTACTCAGAATATTCTTGGTCTCCCTTATTGTTGATATCAAAATATTATAAATGTAATGGTTTTACATCTCCTCCTTGCATATTTCCTTCCAATTCTTCTCCATATCCTATTGCGATACATCCTCCTACTTCTACTTCTACTTCTACATCATCGCCAATTTCGTTATTGACTTCAAAGATATTTGTTTGTTCATCTACTACTACTAATTGCTCCCTGATTAGGATTGAAATATTGAACTGAAATCATCCTTCATCACACTCCTATTCATGGTTGTGGTTTGCTTCATCTTCTATGACAAGTACATTTGATACTGATAGTTATTACTTAGATCCAACTGATTCATCAACTCCTTCTCCTGAAATATCAAATCCCTACGAATCTCCAACTACTCCTTAATCAAAGCCACCATGATATTGTGCACTGCAAATAAGAATAATAAAATATATGTAACTATGTAAATCAACGACAATTCTAAACTGACTCCTCTTGAACTATCCCGAGCCACATCAGATATTGAGTCTCCATAAATTAATGAGAACAGAGCATTTATAGAAGACGACAAACTCACAAACTAATGAGAATCACTAAATAAGCACATCCCCAATAATGCATATCCTAAAAACACTGGCAAGAAATTCAAAATAGCCATACAAACTGGAATTATTGAGGATTCCAACACTGAGGCAATCAAATGCAATTCTTCATAATAATCCAAGTATTTCACTATTGAAAACCATGCAAAAAAGCACCCTAACCCAGCCATCAACTCATCATATTATGATAGCCCATCTACTCTTATGAAAGTCTCAGATACTAGTATACCAGCTGATATCAGTTAAATGATATTTCCTAATATTCTTATTGGCAAAAATAAATCAAAAAATAACAATTTCTCCTTTATTGTTAACTACTCCCAAGGCTTTTATTCAGTCAAGATGATCTTTAAAGTTGTGAGATTCTAATTTTTATATAATTTATATTCTGGGACCTTTAACTTCCTTTGCTTCTTCAATTTTGAGATATTGTTTGTATACATCTCAATGACTTCATAGATGTACTTGACTCCCAAACAAACATCAACAAATGCCAATAAAATGATACTCAATTACAATAACAAATTATCTATTTTAAGTGCAGTACTATTAAATGCAGATCCATGTGCTTCTTCCCTGTTCTCTGCACAAATTCCACCTATAGAAGAAATGATGGCATCAATATATCCATAATTTATAAACTAATATGTAATTTATATATCCCAACAAGCAGATTGTTATTATGATTCCACTTTGACCTCATTGACTGTTAGTGTCAATTCATAAGCATTGGTCCAAAAATCACGAATTTAATCATCATCCTCCAAGTCAAATGGGTCGAGCAAAGGTTCTCCCAAAGTGACATTTCGGACGAAAGGGTAATCAATTCTATATGCTTAATAGGGATAGTTGTAATTAATCTAAAAGAACGTTTCACCTATAATAGTAGTTTTCTAAACTGTGATATCATCAATATTAGCGAGATTGTTAAGTGTGTTATTCAGAGAATCCTAAAAGTCATCGATTGTAAGTAATGTAATTTTATTATTCATAGGTTCATCTGGATTCAATAGTAATGCCACTAGTAATCGATTTAGATGCAATACCAAATTATATTATTTGTCCTGAATTATTATATGTGTAATGTTCAGAAATCAATATTACTTAAAATGTTGTCATGAACACTAAAGCACAAGATATGAGAAACTTGAAAGGAAATCTGCCATATTTACTGTACTTTTCAAAAGGAGAGAGAGTGAATTTATCCTTCAAAGTTTCTGTATAAATGCCTTCTGACATAATATTCTATATTGTAATTATATTATAATTTTTATTTTATTTCAAGTGAAATTGTCAACTGTCTTAACCTCTAATATAGATAATATTTCACCGTGTTTAGTAATACATACAATCCAGTTGAACTTCCGAAATGCATAGTCCTATAGAAACAATATTTTGGATCTCAACATCTATATTCATTAAAGCTATAAAATTATTAACCAATCACTACTTGAAATTCTTGTTGGACCAAATTCAATTAAAGATCTATAAAATGAGATAGAAAAGGCAGAAGTGAAACAGTCTAGAAAAGAATTTTATATTCTTGATATAGTCATACTATCATTCAAACCTAACTTTAATTGAACAATTTAATCTGGATAACGAGTGAAAACTTTTCAAGAATGGTTTTGATAAGAAACCTGATAAATATCTTTATTGATATTTATACTCTTTAACATTTGAATCTGCTTACGCTTACATATTGATAACTCTCACAAGATACGCTTTAATTCTGTTTTATTCCGGCTTACAATAGTCAAATTTTGAAGAAAATCACTTTTTAATCTGTTAGCTTTTCCTCCAAAATCCAATATTGTAATCTTATCATTTTAATTTATCTAAGAATTAGCATAATAAGTCTTTATATATATTTAGCAGCCAAGATATTAATTGATTGTGGTATTTTCATCTATTACAATAGATATGATTATTCTTTTGCTTAATAGTATTCCTATGTTAAACATAATATATTTCATAATAATCTAATCGTCTTGAAACTATAATGATTAAATTTTCCCCTTTTTTATTTAAAAGATTTTAGCCTATCCTGTTTATTCATCTACTTTTCTTAATGCAGTTAAATTAATTCCTTCTTGCTTAATATCCATGACTAACAATGTAACCTAATTCACCCAATTTGACCTGCAAAATTAATTTTGGATTTGGCTATCTTGCCTCCTTTTTTAACTTAGGATTTCTAATAGGATTGAATTGTGGGGTGCCTTTGAAGCAATAGTCTCTCCTTATTTAGGAAAGACTTTGACTTCAAGGAGATGATCAGAATTTGAACAACCTAATACGCAGATCTAGTATTGAGATTATTGCATATATAAAATAAATCACTTTTATTATCTTAATTACGCACTTTCATCATGCTAACTACATACTTTTTATAATTTTTTTAATTATTCCACTGGTTCAACATTCTTAATTGGTTAATTGGTTATTTATTTAACTTTCTACCCATATTACAATGAACTTAATGACTCATCCAAGTTAATAAAGGAAGGCGAAATGTTTATAATCATGATTGTTTTTGACTACAATGATAAATGAAAAATACATTTCCTCCTAAGCAATCCCTCATTAAGTATGTGAGTTTGCTATTCCTGTATGGGATGAAACTGCTCTTTGTTGATAGAGCAATCATCACATCATTAAGAGCAGAGAGACTTTTATTGATGAATTTAGCTTCTTCCAATTGATTTGGTTTAAGTCTTGATTTATTGCACCTTTCTGAACCAGCCAAATCGATTAAATTAACTCTACTAATGAATTTCTAAAATCAACATAATAACATACTTATTGAGTAATTTTATTAAAAGTTTCAACAGTAAGTTAAGTGCACATATGAGATCTTGAACTGGAGTCATTCATTTCTGTTAAACCTTATTTTCTTCTGGAGGATGCAAACTCAATCAAGTTCATTAGTTCGTGCATATTTTAAACTTTAATATTGGTTAGATTTTGAACAAAGACCTATCCATTAAGATTCTCCTTAAGTTCCAAACTCTGAGAACCTTATTAGTCATTCAGTAAGTCGATAATATTCTCCTTGTATATCTCAAGAGAATTGACTATAATTGAACACTCTAGATTGCTTCTTTTGATGTAAGCATAGATTTCTTCTATTAAATTGGGAATAACTCCTGGCTATTATTTTGTTCCAAACATAGTGTAAGTCTTACCACTCCCAGTTTAACCATAAGCAAAAATACACAAATTATAACCATGGAATATGGCCTGAAGAGATTACTAGATTTCCTCATACATGTCTTTCTATGTAGACAATTGATTAAAGCAGATGTCAAAATTGAACATTTTCTATTTTAGTGATATATGCTACTCGTCTATGAATTAGACTTCACAATCTAATTTGTATTTACAATTAATACCTTTTAATTTATCAGAACTGTTTGAAGGCCTTACTCTACAGTAGACCTTCACCTTCCCCTTCAAGTCTTCTAATTAAAAACTCAATCTTCTGATCTCGTAAGTTTTCTGTCTCAATAGTTCTTGCATTTAAATGATCTACGATGCATCTATCAAATTGCATTGAAGTCCAACATTCTTGCAATCTGTGCTATCTTAAATGATAGTGCTGCGATCATTCAACTGTTTCTTCAAAATAGTATATTGATAAAACTTGGTACTAATCGATTATTTATCATTAAAGGATGGTGGTCTACCTTCTTTCTTTAGAAATTCATCTTACCATTAAGTAATTTCCCGCTTAATTAATTCCTTCTATTTCTTTATGTTACTTATGGGATCTTGCATTATCTTCAACATCATCCTCTATCCTTTGTTTTTATTTGACATTATGCTCTAGTCTCCTTCAGTCTGTCCGACACTCTCTAATGTGTGACTGTCCTAAATTTATTTAAATAATCGTACTTTGAACAGACTATCCTACTTCTAATTAAAGGATGTTTATAAAAATGAAGTAGCCACAGTAGTTGAGTAGCCTTGTTGAGTGCTTTTCAATTTATCACTCAGATCAACGATCTCCTATTTCTACTGACTCAATTCTATTTAGAAAAGCATTTAATTTAATTTCAACTCTGCTTCTAACCGATTAACTTGTTCTTCATAATTCGACCTGCATGACTCTAACTACAATAACCTATACAAATGCTACCTATAGTTCGCACTCCTGGATTATCATCTCCTACTGCTATAACTAGTCGCTCTTCCTTTGTAATTGGCATTGTAGTTCTTAAATCAAAAATTTGTATTCCTCTTTTTCTCGAATCAGCTGTTTGATTTGCGAAATAAATTGCTTATTCATCATTTTCATTTGCTTCACGAATTCAAGCACTTCCTCCTGATCTATCAATATCTAAGTATCATCTATGTTCTCCTTATTCGAATAACTCATCGCTTAATTTAAAAAACAAAAAATGTTATAGTTAATTAATTATTTATGTTAAAAGCACTCTCTACATTCTATCTAAATCGACAGACACCGATTGCCCAATTCGCTAAGTAAATCACATTTGAAAAATGGAATGTGATCAAAGGCGACAAAGTTGTTGTTGTCTCAGGAAAGGATTCTGGAAAAACAGGAACAGTTTTGAGAGTTTATCGTAAATCAAATGAAGTGCTCGTCCAAGGAATCAACCAGAAATTCAAAAGAAAGGCCTAATTAGACGATCCCTCAGGATCTGGTGTTCAATAAATCACTAGACCCATTCATCTAAGTAAAATAGCACTCATTGATCCTGAAAAAGGCAAACCAACCAAAGTATAAATCCACTATAGGATTAGGTTCAAAGAGGGTTTTTAGAGGATGGCACACCTGTGAGAGTCTCAAAATTGAGCGGAGCCATTATCCCAAAAGCTGTGGATCCTGCCAAATCACCTGCACATAGACATAGGAATAAAGTGGATGGCATCAAAGATACATCTCCTGCTCTTGCCTTGTAGGTCACTTATAAAGGCGAAGACTTTTCTGCAATTAAAGCCGAATTCGATTCATTCATAGCTGAGAAAGAGAGAAAGGAATAATTGTTATGGTTTGATAAGTGAATTATAAATATATAATGAAAAATAATAAAACGATCCTGAAAGTGATAAACAATGGAGAATTCCTAATAAATATCAAATTTTGGGAATGAATATTAATTCCATTGATATTTTACAAATATCGTGATCTCAAATAAACTCAGAATTTATAAGGCAATCTTAATCTTTGTATTTTCCTTGTTTGCTTATTTAGAAATACTTAAAACTGTGCCTGTTACATTTGAGATCAATACCATATTCCACCTAGATCTAAGCAATTAAAAGATTCAGAAAATTGATTTTTTAGCATAATGCATTCAATTAGTTTCATTCAAATCTTCACACTAATTCAATAGGTACTTTATATCATCATAAATTCCAAGTGACATTTCACCATAGAACACTCTGAAATATCTGTGATAATCAAATCGCTTAATTAGATTAAGGTGGGTTATATTAACTTAAAAATTTGGAAGCTTAAGGCAAATTTATTTAAAGTGTTGAGGCCATAAAAGATTTCGATAATATTGAAACCTTTAAGACACTCTATTTATAATTACCATCAGATGATCTAAAAATCCTAAATGTGATCTTAATAACTATAGGAAAGAGATATTCAATTCTATCAAACCTCGTAAAACGTAAAAGGCTCGATGACTATACTAGAGAATAAAAATGCTTTGATTCTGAGGTTTAGTTCGTTGAATAGATAAACATAAAATAGAGATCCAAAAACTGCTCCTTGGTATGCTTAACAATTTCCCAAAGTTTAAAAACCTACATCAGTTTAACTTGATGATTAGTAAACTTACCTAATCAATAGATGAATCCAAAAGGAGTCTTAGCAATCTTGAATAGAAATTTGGCTTTATTAAAATGAATTAATTAATATATATATAATAATGTGGCTTAGATTATCGTATTTATCATTTAGGTCATGCTTTAATAAGAAAATGGTGAATGGAAGATTTTTTGGTCCAGATATTTCTGGTAGATATAAGGGCCTTTTGAGGAAATAATTTTATTTTCATGGACTCCCCTGGATTTATGATTAACCCAAAAATAGAGAATTAAGTCCTTATCATAGAAAACCTAAAGGACATAAACGAGAGAGAACACGAGAATAGAGGTATAGTAGTTTGATGAATTAGAATTGAAAAAATAAAAAAGAATTTAATGAATTATGCTGAAGAAGAATTTAAATTCAGATAAGAAAGATTAAATAAAAGACCTCCAGGTGGTTTGGATATGTAATGGATATTGTTTACAATAGGATTGTATAGAAAATGATTCCATCTTGGATACATCCTAAAACAGCTGCCTAATTGTAAAGTACTAAACAATTGCTGTTGATGAAAAGAGGCAGATAGCCCAAATAAGAAGAGGAATACAAAACTGATCAATATGAATTTTGATATATACGGACAAAAATAAATATAATAAATAATAATTATGGATATTGAGATAATCAAAAATAATATTATACCTAGAATTAATTACTTCCTCTTATTTTAAGTTCTCATTAGAAAATTTTGAAAAAGTTAGGAATGATTATTTTCTAATGTTTTATTCATAATATGCAAACATGAAATACGATTCTATGGATAAAAAGATGGAGAATGCTTAATAAATTCAAATATTAATTTTATTGAAATAAACAACTATTTATAAGTATAGAGAAGAAGGAATACTATTTAAACTTTGAACTTATAATGTATAATATATCATAAACAACTTAATGTCAATGTATAATTTTTATCTACATAAATATCGACAAATGGACTTGAGCCATTTGCGATAAGAACATTACTATTCTAATAAGAAATGGTGCTAAACTATAATATAACATCTGAGGATGTCTATAGTGTTATTTTTGAATTCATTTATTCAATTTGTCTGTTTCCTTTTGTTAAATAAATCTAAATTGATGAAGAATTTACATTATTTTGGAAACTGCACATTTTGTAATAATCCGAAATGGGTCTAATTTCATCGTCATTTCTTAAAATTGAATTCCAAATGACTAAGTAATTCTTATGCAAACTAATTATTTATTGCTCATCCTCCATATACAAAATCTAAATTGAATTTATCAAAAATCTCATACATCATTAACATACGATAATTCTTAATTTGCAGCTTTGAAACTGAGCACAGACTGGAATGAATATGTTGAAATAGCTATCATTGATTTATATCGATATCTTACACCAAATTCCTATTATTCCAATATCTGATCCGATAGCCAGAAAATTCTGCCCAATCACTGCCAAACTAGTTATTTTCACATCTTTAATTGGTACTAAGGTATATATATTATCATTGATTGATTAAGTGATGTCGATTTCCCTTTAGTAATAGTAAATTCATAATTACTCAATTATATTGTTCTCATGTTATAAATCGATAAAGTATAATCTAGATCCCACAGCAACAATGAGTATTTCATTATTGTATTTAATAAATTCAATCTCTTCTTAAAAAGATTACTAAAGAAGTAGTATTTAGAATTACAATCATGATGGAGGAATTTAAATCTGTGTCGATAATTTGATTTGGAGATATCAATGATGACATTTAGACCTGATACAATTTATTAGCAACTACGCAATACAAACTCTCTTGAATAAGTAATATTTATTAAATTGAGTCTTTGAAAAGAGGAAATTTATATGATGCTTTGTATATTAGAGTATTTTGTCTAATTATTTATGGATGATTATACGTCTTTTCTTGTGTACGACTGCTATTTTCGAGGAGAATGTTTTCAAAGTCCCAAAAATAGAGTGCTCCAGTGTTAGTTGCACCGATAACATATTTTTGATCATTGGTAATTGCAATTGAGTTAATAATAAACATTTTTATTTATATAATTTTAAGTTGTATCGTAATTATTCTGTTTATATAAAAATTTTAAAAGTATGTCATCACAGTTAGGTGTTTTAACTTCTATATACTTTTTAAGCTTCACAATGTGTTGAACAATAATTTAAATGTTACATTTCTTGAATATTTAAATTTGGGACTTTTAAAGGGGGGAAATTTATTAAGAAAAAAGTATTTTTAATTATAGATATGGACTTTCATTAGTAGGACAGCGATTTATAAACATCTAAACCTACCAATCATTTGACATCAAAATTGGTTTCTTAAGGTTTAGGTGTATAAGAACAAAGTGATTATAGCTATTCATCCCAACAATTGTGTTCTGTAATTTATTCATAGCAAATAATGATAGAGTGAGCAAAACAGTGACAGGAACATCCATTTAAATATGAGTTCATTTAAAAAAGTTAGTAAAAGCTCTGTTGATCTCTAGAACTTGACTCTAAAACATGCATATATTTGTGCACATTATAATTTCTTAGGTAATTGCCCCTAAGAACATTGCAAGTAACCTTTTAAAAAAACTTTAGGAAGAGGCATATCTTTATTTCCAAAGAAGATGGATTGAGCGATCTCATATCAGACAATATTGACCTAATAGATAATCTGACTAGAAGCGGAAAGAAACTCAGATTGCATCAATCTACCTATAAAACTTAACTAACATAATATAGAAAATGCAGATCTAATAACAATGAAATTTCTGACAAATTTGAATCTAAATTCTCAGATTAAGAATAATTAATGTTCAGAGATTTTCCAATAGAAAGTTTGTGGAAGATGAATGATCTATCATTTTTAGCAACTCAAATCAAATCTCAGCCAGATCTCAACACTGATTCCAAGAGTAAATCAAACAATCATTTGATAAAACCTAAACCAAGAGTTGATTATAAATAAGTTGCTGAAATAATAGAGAATTCTATATCTCCTGTCTCAATTTCCTCGGAAATTAAGAAGAATCTCATGTCTAAACTCAAATCAGACATCGAGCGAATGCAAGAAAAGATTAAAATTATCACAATGTTAAAAAAGTGGATGAATGATAAATAAGTTGATTTCGAAGAATACATAACTTTAAACTCTTCCCTCTCCTAAATACAATAGATACATTATTCTAATTTCCTAAGACTAACAAATATGTCAGTTCCAAGTAAAAATCTCATATATATCTTATAGATTAAGTAAGTATCACCTAATAGTTTCAAAATATCTAAAACATTTGTTAATGAGTTATTTATTATCACGAGTTATGTGAATAAAAAATTCAATAGTTTATAAATTAATCTTAAATTCTTTGTTTTAGAGTGTTCGATCTTGTTTAGATTTTGGAATTACCAACTTGACAATTGTTCAGAAATGTTTTTGCTTCCTCATTTTTATAATATTATTAAAACAATTTTATATAATAAATAAAGAACATTAATCTTATCTACAATCTTTAGAAGATTATATAATATTATAATTGCACTAATATGTTTAAATGATCATATTTTTTCTTAAAATGTGCTGTCTGATTTAGTTACTTTTTTATAGTCTGCTTACTGGTAGATATTATATGATGTTCCTTTAGGATACCAATTTTCATCTAAAAAATGGATTAAACTGAGTTTTACCTTCCATTTCTAATTATTCTTGGATATCATCCTGAGATTTCCAGAGTTCTCTTCTGCAATTAGGATTTCTTGGAGATGGGAATACTCTATCACTTTCTGGGATGTTGAATTAATCTTCAATTCCAACCATTTCACCTCCCCCTATAGAAAATGCAAAAGGATATAATTACATTCGCATTCGTATTCAAACCAGGTATTAGGAACACCAAGATCTAAATCACCTGTTGGTTTGATCATTGGATCTGACCAAAGAAAGATTTCCCAATGATAATCAATTAGTTCCCTCACAGGAGCAAATCCTACAGGTAATTTGGCTAGATCTTCAAGAACTTAGACATTCCATAAGATTTCAACTTTTTCTCCTTTTGAATTGGTAACGACCTATCTTGCAACATAAACGCTGTTTGGAACATAATCCACATCGAAACCACAGTTATAAACCAAATATGCAAAATCAACTTATTCTTATGGTGTCAATCCCATATTTAAGATCTTTTCAACTTCTCTTCTAGTGATTCCTACAAAATAGAATAAGTAAGACACCTGGGACTCTTCTCATGATTTCATCGGGATCCATCTAACAACTCCATGTTCCTTATCTACCGATGGAAGTATTCTACCAAACAGCTCTTACGTCTTCCATTCTAATTTTGATTATGAAGGATAAAAATACGTATAGGGTCCATCATATGGAGGAAGAGGACCAGATTATCTGACTGGGTTGACATGTCTGACATTTCGAACTGAAGTAGTAATGAATTCAGATTACCTGGAAGTGGGACTTGTTATGATTTGGCGATATCAGCAATCTCTTTGTTGGATTAGAAGAAGTTTGGGTTCAAATAATGTCTGTATCTGTTTGGGTTGTATGGGCCATCTAGAGGGGCTTAAGTAGGATTGCTTACTTCTTGATGAGAATGTGAATGATGGCAATGCTTTACGAAACCCTGTGTTAATAGCACGATTAAGCATATCTATATATAAATTATTTATAAAATATATATATATATATTTAAAATGAATTATATATATGTACGGCTTTTTTGAAGGCTTGGAGTCGCAATACTATTATCATCAATTTTATAGTCTAAATTAATCAAAACGATATTATTATATATTAATTTTAATGAATTAGAAGAACAATAATTGCCATTATACTTCAAGAGATAACCATCCCAGCAATCCACCTACTAGAAGAGGAATTTCGAGTTTTCTCTTAAAAACTTACTCGATGGTTATGGTATTTTATACAACTCATTTTCTTGTAATCCAGACCCTTAATTTGCGAATCAAATATAATGATTTGAGAATTAAATTCTGGAAAATTACAATATGAACCAATATATTAATAAATTTATTTTAAACTAAATAATTAGAATCCAGAATTTGAGGATATCATCTCATTTAATAGTGCAGGAAATGCTTTTATAGTCAAGGATCAAAATGGATTTAGTGATTTCATTTTACCAAAATAATTTAAACATCAGAACTTTAGTTCCTTCATTAGACAATTGAACATGTATGGCTTCAAGAAGATAAGAAATGTCAACAATCAGTATTAGTTCAGTCATCATTACTTCTTAAAAGGAAGAGAGTAATCTAATTGATTAGAATAGAGATCTTCTTTACAAAATCATGAGGAAAAATGGAGTTATGCAGAGATGCCATTATCTCAAATTGCAGAATAAAGCAAAGCAAGAAGTTACTCAATTATATTCCAACTATTCAGAATTGAAGACAGATATCGAATAAATATAAAAAGAACTCATCTACTTCTATTAATAATTTGATTAAGTTACAATTATTGATATGCTCCCTAGTTTTAAAGTACCCTAACAACTTTGATTGATTCCTCTAGACAATAGATTAGAGAATTAAGTATTATAAAGAATTAAAATTCCATTTGTAATGACTTACTTTTCTAGGTATTGGCTAATGTATCTAAATCACAACCTGAATAAAAATACCATTGTAAATATTTCCACAATATTCCCAATAGTCCAATATCCCTTTACTAACTCAACTCAATAAACTTAAACTACTAAAAGTAATGGAAGTGATAAAGATGAATTGAATAATGATAATGAAAATAACAACAATTCAAGCAAAGAGGGTAAAATTTATATTATTGTTATTATTTTAAGACACCAATCAAAGTTTTTAGAGTAATTCCTTTAGAGAACCCCAATAATAATTGAAATCAGATTGAGCCAAATTTGGAATTATATATTTCAAAAATGCAACTAAATTATTAATTAATCATTATTCTTCCCAAACTTAGTTTTGTCACATTTTCATTGTAATCTGACAATTTAGGTGGAATCGGTGGAATCATTTTATTATTTTTAAAATGAATTGTAATCTGAAACTTCTAAATAACTAGTACAATCTTATTCCAACTTAAAGGCTCTAAATGTTAAATGAATTTACTTTGATTATGTTTACATTGAATAAATTAATAGTATTAATGTTTTTATAGTTCTAATATTAAATTAAGAAATTGTATTAATTTAGAGAGACATTCCAGTCTCTCTAAATTGACTTCAAAAGATGCAATAATTTTGATTAACAATAAATAATCTATGTTAAGCTTCCTATTCTAAAATATTAAAAAAAATTAAAGTTTTAAAATAAGAAATTTTTAGATAGAAGATGATACATTTAAAAATAATGTAGATTTAAATGAACTAGAATTAATTGACTCTTTTTGTTGAAAGTAAGTTTTAATCAAATACTTTTAGCTATGATCAAGAATTAATTCAAATTAAAAAATAAATAATATGTAGTTTTAAATTTATAAGCTAACGATAATTCATAAGTCTATTTACAAAACTAATTAAAATATTATAAACATAAGAGATAATCACAGATTAGCTTTTTCTACATTATATGCTAAACCATCTCCTATATAATAATCTAACCAGGCCTTAAGCTCTGAAATTACAAGATTTGAGCTTTTCAAATATTCTTTGGTATCCTTTTTATCTGCTGCTAAGTATAACATCAATTTTGGAACTGAGTCTACTGTTATTGTAGGGTGTTCATTATTTGCAAGATCAATATGGCAAATTTTAATTTTATCCTTATTCTAAATTAATGAAAAGTCATCAAGAAGCTTGAAATAATCTTTAAACAACTCTTAATTCTTTGAATCCCAAAATAATAATAAAACATTCTTTCCATTTTTGAGAACTTCTTATGAAAATGTTTGTCCTACTATTTTATATGTAAGTTGATTTTCTGTGTATTCAGGGATAGGCTCAGATTTATAAAATTCGTTTAAATTTTTATTTCTAAAGTCATTGATAAATTATTGAATGGTCTCTTGATTTAGAGTTTCAGATTAGCAAATGTATTTTTAAAGTTGATATTTTCTAAAGTTGGTTTCTGTAATAACAAGTTTGGGTGTGTCTGTAGATTAATCAAAATCAAATAAGGACCATAAGCTTGGATTTTCATCAAAGGTTGAATAAGTAAAGATCAAGCGATGGTATTTTAAATCATTAAGTTTATTATTTTCAGCAACCTAGTAGTAAGCATTATATAGGTCTTGACTCATACCTCCTTTAATCAAGAGATGAACTTGAGTTTGAATTGGTCCTCCAAAGACTCTTGCATAATTATCTTCATTCAATCTATTTACTAAATCCAAGCTTTCTAAGTAAAAGAAATCTAAAATTTAGTCAGTGTAAGTCAAATTATATTCATATTATTCAAAATTGTTATTTCCTTTGTGCAATATGAGTGTAGGAGCAGTAAAATTCTTATAATTAGAATTGAACGCTTTCAATCCATTAATTCTGGCTTCTTTTAGATCTCCATTTCTAATTATTGCCTCTAGATCTTCTATAATTTAACTTCTAAATGTGTAATTATCAGGTAATAGAACTAATGAATTTAGTGTGTTTTTTGGTTAAAGTATTCATTTACTTCATCTTCTGTTTTTAAGAATTCTAATTTAGGACTAATTATATCTAGTATAGAATTTAAATGATTACCGAAGATCTAAGATTATAGATTGTCGAAATTCTGAATCCAAATCATTTTATCAAAGTTTTTGATCACAATGCCTTTTTGTTATTCAATTAATCCAATTGGACTCTTGACAAATATTACATCTATTTTTGTAAAATCAACATTCTCTATAATTGAATTTAGTACTTTAACTTATGTTTCTTCTTCGTTTCTATAGAATAGGATTAATGAATAATACTTTTCAAATATAAGGTGTACAACATTCTTAAATGTATTTTTCATTTCCTTATACACTTCTTTATCAATTTCAAATAACTTATTAGTTTTGGTTCCATCATCTTGGACATCAAATGTCTCTTATGAATTTAGATTAATCTTGATCTCTTCTTGAGTTTAGATTGGCTAGATATAAAGATAAAATATTTACTGTGAGTTAGGCAGATGCAAGTATAAGCAAAAGCGTCACTAAAATTAGGTGTTATGGTTTCATTTAAATTTATTATTGATATTTAAGTAAAAGACACAACTTATCAGATTCTGAAAATTGACACGATTTATAAATTTAATTATTTCAAAATATTTCGAGAATATTTCTATTTTAATCGAATATATAGAATTGGTACATTGGGATTATTAAATAATTAACAATTTATTCCAAAACAAAGCAAATACATGTGGAATCAAATAATATTAATGTTTATTGATATAATATGATCATAACAACTAATGTGATCAATTTGTTATAATTTTCTCTGCATTTGATTTTCTGTTTGATTAGTTAGAACTATTCACTTCTATATAGGAATCATAAGAGCATTGAGACACCTCACTAATCTTTTCATCCTAAACCTTTCTTAGACTCAACTATTGAGATGGATCAAATTTGATGAATCGCATACAATTACTAATAAGGACGACAATAATAGATGACAGGGACATAGCAGTAGAAGAGATCATTGGAGATATTGTGAATCCTTGTCCATAAAACACTCCTGCAGCAATAGCTATTAATTACATATCATATCATACGAGCCATGAAAATATTATAAGCAAATGCCCATAATAAATTGATGTAGACAACTTTGAGAGCAATATTCATTAGATTGAATAATGAGGCTACTTTCCATAGATTCTCATTCAACATAATTACATCAGATGCCATCAAATTCAATTCAGATTTGGCATTAATTGCTACTCCCACACAGGCTTACTATAATGATAAGATATCATTCAGCCCATCTCCTATCATCATCACTTCTTGATTGTTCTCTCTAAGTTCTTTCAAAATCCTCTGCTTTCCTTCTGCATCTATTTCAGAAAATTAATTTATTGATGGTATGCCTAAATACTTACCAACTGAAGTGACTGTTTTCTAAGAATCGCCAGATAAAATATACACTTGTTTCTTTAATTTTTCTCTCAAATATTGAATGACTGCTTTGGCTTCAGGTCTTAGATTAGTTTTATTATCTAAACAAACAACCACTTCTGGAATATTATCAATAGCCATTATTATCACTGTTTTTCCTCTGCCTTCCAAAAATCTACATTTATTTAATAAATAATCTTCTAAAATTGCATTATTATTTTCTAAATGTTTTAAATTTCCTATCAAGCATTTAAATTAAGTTTTATCAGTAGTTCTTGTTACATTTCCTATAATTCCATTCTTCTCTAATTTTGGCTGATCTGTCAATACAAAAGTACTCTATTTACCGATCTATCTAGATATAGACTCTTTAAATAACAATGTTGCAATTGGATGAGTGAACTCCTTCTCTAATATACTTATAATAGCCCATAAATCTTGAACAGACAAAGTCTGATTGTATTTTAGTTTTGATTAAAGAGTACCTTCACAACATTATTGTTCTCTCTTGGTCTCAATTGGATCAGACATCACTAAGGATCTCTAGAATTGTTTAACCTTCATGATTGTTTTATCTTAATTCTTTGAACAAATCTCTGTCTAATTCTTTGATAACAAAGTAAATGAATCTATATGATCTACCTTGGTAAACAAAGTTCCAGTCTTATCAAATATTACACATTTGACTTTGCTGATTTATTCAAAAATAGTATTCTAATCAATATTCAATAATTCATACCTTTTTTACTAATATTCCACACTTCAAGGCTAAATTAAGAGTAATTATGACAACTGATGGTACTGCTAGACCTAAGGCACAAGGACATGAAGCAACCAATATTGATATGGCTCTTTCGAATGGGAAACACCACACACAATATTCATCAATCTCTACTATGTCTAAACCGATCAAAAACACCCAAACAAATAACACCAATAGAGCTGCACAAATAACACCGAGTACAAACTTTTAAGATAAAGATTGCAACATTGCTGAAATTCCAAAGGTCTTGTCTTCTCTTTCTGATTATGCTAAATTTAATTATTCGGCTATTTAAAATAACATTGAACCCTCTATCACCTACTCTACTTAGAATATGCATGAACCATCCAAAATATCAGCACCTGATTTAAGTCGCATCCCTATAGAGGCTTCGAATTTATCATCCCAACCATAACATATTGAATCTACGACTGTTACTGAACCTTTTACTATGACGCCATCAACTAATAATTTCATATTCTTCTAAAGAATGATCAAGTCTCCTTTCTCTAATAAAGATACTTCACATGGGTGCTATGTATCTATGTCATAATCCTAGTTTTTCACTTACACCCTTGTTACAATTGGAGTTTTGAGTAATTATTCTTATGGGAATATCTAATTCTGCATATCCATAATTTTTTATTTAGCTTTACCTTCAAAATACTTTCCTATAGTTATCACTGTCAATATTAAGCCAGCTGACTCTAAGTCATGAATAACATTCATGATTCTTTCTAATTAATCATATTTATCTGTCGATTAGTTTTCACTCTCGATTGTATACACAATTAGCATAAAAATACTCATTATATAAGCAGCTAATGAGCCTAAAGTCAACAATGTATCCATATTAAACATTCTAATATCTATGAAAATGTATACTTGTATTTTACAAACAATTAATAGGCATTTTTATATGTTTATGTACCAAATTTCATTAGAGTCAAAGTTGTCATAATAAAAATGAAAACCAAATATACACTAAAGATAGACTTCTCATTAGGGTAGGTCAAAACAGGTGAATAGAATTCAAAATGAGGCATAATTGAACATAATAACAAAAACAATGCACTTAAAGTTATTGCCAAAATTAATTTTTTTTAAGTGACACTTTCCACAAGTCGTTCTTTTTTCCTAAATTTTTCCAATAATTAATTATGAATAATTAGACTCAAATCAGCGTCCAAGTTTTCTTTCTCGTCATTTTTTATTATCTTATCTTTCACAAATGTTTCAATGAATTGCTTCAATTAATGTCCAGATATGGAAAGTGGTTAATAATTAATTGACATTAGTTATCCAGACTATAAAAATGTAATCTAAAATATACCTATTTATTGTATTTAAAAGGTTATTCTTGTATCCCGCTCAATCCCCCTTAATATTCTTTATTAAGATTGTTCTTTATATCAACAAGCTCTTCAGGGTCGTACTCAGCATTTGGGAAGAAGAGTTGGCATGTTCTTTGTTAATTAGAATCATTATTAATTAATCTTGGTTATCCAACTATGAAGAAGTTGTTTTTCTCAAATATTTCTTTGATTTAATTCATAGTGCTTCAGCATAGATTGATATCTTTACATAATATTTTAATCAAATGAAATTATGACTCTTTCAGCCATAACATTTACTTACACATATTGGATCCCTAATATTCAGTATTATTACTCCATACCTGGTTGGCCTTCAAAACTTGATTTGATTTTGTTAGCACACATTGTACACCATATCTTTGACACTGTTAGATCGTATACGACTATTTTTGATTCCATAAATAAATTACGAAAAATTTTATAATTTAAAAAGCCATTTATTATGCCTTTTTATTTATTTAAACTTTGGATCCTTCAATTAATAAAAACTGGGAATTACTCTGGATTTAAATTTGAAATTCAAACGAAAGGATAAATATTAATATAAACAGTGCATTATGTATTTATAAATACAAAATATTTCTGCTTCATAATTATATAAAAATGAAACAATTGAGAAAAAATAATTTAAATTAACATTTTTTTGTAAATGACTCTTATTTGTATTATCTTAGAGTTCTTAAGTCTGAGGAGAGAAGTGTGAGAGTAATACATTAGATTTGAATTAATTTGATTGGAATTTCTGTAAGGAAAATACAAGATAATATTTAAATTAAAGTATAAAACTTATATATGACTAAAATTTGGTAAATAATGATACAATAATTCAGCATTTACTGCACATTGGAGTTTCGATTACTTTCAATTATGCATTCAATTCTTATTATTATTATTGCGTTACTAATAAATTCTTCTTTTTATACATTTCTAATGTAATATTAATTGATGAAATACCTTCGATTAGTTTTTCAAAACATTGTGCAATATTGGTTCCTCTGTAAGCAGATGTCTCTTCAAAGAATAATCCATTTTCGCCAGCGAATTATTAACCTTCTTCCTTTGTGACTTTCCTTGAATTGTTTTATCTCTCAACCAAATCAGTTTTATTACCAACCAGATACATGACGACATCTTTATTGGCTGCTGTTTTAAGTTCTTCCATCCATTTTGTTAAATTTTCAAATGTTTTTTCTTTAGTAATATCATAAACCAACAAAGCACCTCCTGCACCTCGAAAATGATTTTTTGTAATAGCTCGGTATCTCTCTTATCCAGCTGTATCCCAAATTTAAACCTAAATCTTTCCTCCGTCCTGCAACGTCACAGTTTTCGTTGCGAATTCGATACCTACCTTATTTTAATATAATTTGTTACCAATTGTGGGCAAATTGTTTCTAGGTTGCTGTCCTCTCACGTACTAATTCAATATGTAGGTTTTTCCGACTCCTGCATCCCCCAATAATACAACTTAAAGTTAGATATAGCTATTACTTTTATAATTAATGTCTTCCATTTTGAAATTTGTAATAAATAGTAATATAAATTATACAATAGTCATAATTTCTTCATCAACTAATCCAAACGCTTTTGTACTTTTTCATCGATCTCCAAATTTTAAACCTGTCTCTTCTTTTTTCTTTTTTCATTCGTTTCTTCCTCATCATCAGTCGTCAGATCCAACTCATCATTCAATTGATTCTAAGTAAAAACAAGTATTTGTTATTATGTCCTCTGTAACCAAGGTGCCTCAGGCTTGTTTTCTATAAGGTTAGGCTAAGTTTGAATCAGATGCAATTACTTTGATCATGAACAGAAATTCCTTCTTGAATTCTGGACAGATATTTGGTGGTTGTATATCTGGGAAATTAAGCGAAAGTTTGCATTCTAAAATTCCTTAACCATGCAAATGTATCCTAATTGTTGGAAATCCATTAAAGAGACTTTTCTCATTCATCAAAAAAGTTAAGATAGCCTTCCCGAAAGCAGGAGTAGATTTCTTATCTATTTAGTTTTGGATCATCAATTTTAAATAATCCAATTCATCTGATACCACGTTCCCAACTTAATCCCTTATATCCTCAACCTTCATCTTCGCATTGGCATATTGAGACAACTATTCCACATAATTATAACATATTACCAATAAATAGATGACAGTCATATTGTATTTTATACCTATGATATGCTACACTATTCTCTCTGATTTCAACACCATCTCATTCGATAGATCTTCACTCTTCTCTGAATCAGCATCTTGATGACTTGAAATACTGTTCAATCTTTCTTTTTGCAATTTCATCCAATAAGTTTCCAGTTGCTGAAGAATCATTAATGCTTCACTGTATTTGTGCTAAAAAACCATACTTGACGATTTGAATAACAGAATATCTTAAACCTAAAATATTAACCCTATTTCATGTTAATCAATATTAGGAAACTGTACAGAATCACATTATTTTTTACTTTATTAAGTATCCAAAATTTATTTGATGAATGCTAACATTTAAGTATCTATTTTAAATTTAGATTCCCTAACATTTTATTGTGTTAATTAATTCGAAATTATACACGCTTTGTCTATTTGTTGCAACTTAATTTCACACTTCAATTTCAAAATTAGAATTTAACTAGTTTATTTGGCATCATTAAATGCTTTTAAAGCTTCTTCATAGGCATTATTATGAAATAACAAACTTCCACTCCAATAATTAATCTCATCTGAATTATTGTACTTAACATATTTATTCATATCACTAAAACTCTAGGCTGTACTAATAATTATATTTTTAATTACTCTCCCTTTATCTGATAACACTTGGCTCTTTCTAAATAAGATTCTGAATGCTCCTTATTAAAGTGAATTGCTGTTGTAAAATCCTTTATAGCTTCCTTCAATCTCATACTTTAAGCATGTAAGATACCTCTGATGTAAAAGTGATCACTAATGCTGTCCTCGCTTTTATCAATTGCCTTTTCCAAATCTTTCATAGCTGATGTATATCTTCTTTTATAAGATTTCATTAAAGCCCTAGCAAAAAATAAGTTGGGTTGTTTTCCTTATTTATTGAATGCCAATTCTAACAACTATTCACACTCCTATGCTCCATTGTATAATTTATCAAGCAAACAAATTGAGCCCTTATAATAAAATGGTTCTAATTTATTGGGAAATATTTCAATTGCTTTGTCGAGCAATTTATTAGATGGCTCATACTAACCTGATTATTTTCATATAATTTACATTTTGATACTAGAATTAGAGCTTCAGACACATATTTATTATAGAGCTATCCTCTTTCAATTTGATTGATCATTTCATACGATTTCAGTGCTGACACATAATCAGATGTACAAAACTAGGCATAAGCGAGAAATTTATAGTAAATGGGCTAAAGGAATTTACTTATTGGTTTTAAATCTCTTATTAATTGAAGTCCTAGTGCAAATTATCTTTTCATTAGTTTGACAGTTCCATTTACAAAAGGTTTTAACTTAGATATACATTTAAAACTCTTTTTTAATTGATCTGCTCTGGATAGATGTAGCTAAGCCTCGTAAAAGTCCATTAGACATATTTTGGCCTTAATAATGTAGGAAATAGCTTTGGCACTTAATTAATGCGATGTTGACATCTGAATTGCTTATTCAATATAAATCTAAGACTCCATGAAATTTTCTATGGATTGTAATATTATTTACTTTTCTTAAAGTAAATTATTCCTTTGAGTAACAAGGCTTCGGCGTTTTCACTGTCTTGCTACAGAATTGTGTCGATTTTAATAAGTGCTTAGTCAACGTGATTACATTTGATTAACGATAGACAATGACGTGATCGACCTATAAAGTCTAAATTGTTAATTTTCTCGTAAATTTCTAAGGCTTTCTGATGTTGCTTTAAGGCTGAATGGCATCTTGCTTTATATTGGAGAGCCTGTTTATCATTTGGACTATGAAGTAAGGCTTGTTCAATGAGTTTGAGAGACTCATAGTATTTTTAGGCCTTAAATTCCAAAACTGCCGATTGAATGTAGCCATCCAAATAGTTGGGGTACTCGGACAGGCATTTATTGAACTTTTGATAAGATTGTCAGATACCCAACTTCTTGCTTTATCGAATTGATTCAATTGTTTGTATGCTATGCCTAAAATCAAATAGGTTTTTTTGTTGAACGGGCCCTATTCCAACTTCGTTATAACCTGTATTGAGTTTCCAACTTATATCTCCTTAATCATGGTTTGAAATTAATCTGTAGGGATGGCTTTATTTTGAATGGTGTCTTTGAAAAAGCTCCTTTGGGTTTCTCTTGATATTGACAAAGATAATCCTCTTGGTTCAACAGTATTTTGAGTTTGTCTTCTTCTGCTAAATTTGCTTTAAATAAGTACTACTTAATAGTGAGGGACCTGGACATGGGGGAGGGTTTCTCAATTTTATCTGAGGAGACTGGCATTTACAATTTGTTTCGTTGTTGCTAGTTATTGAATATGAATTTCTGAAACACAGGGGACTATATGTATATTTTCATAAATAAATTAATTATATTGTTATGAGTAGTTAAGATCTTGAATTCGTGTAAGAGAATTTGTAAATTCTTATCAAGACTGTGCAGGAGCTTTAAAGTTAGTTTTAGGGGAAGGGTATTGATTGATATTCATATTTAGAAAACCAAGAACAAATTCAACTAGTAAATATTGATGCATATACAAAATATAGAATAAATAAAAATGCCAAAAGTAAATCGATGCCTTAACAATCAAATTTAAATAAGGCAAATTCAACAAATCTGAAAACATGACTGTTTAAATGCTTAAAAAAGAATTTACCAAGGTACATTAAATAACTCATATCAGCAATAAAATATTTTTATTGATATCACAAAGTCAATCAGAAATCCCAAATAGGTCAACTACAACGATCCAAGAGAAGTTGAAATGTAAAATGCAAGTAAAATTAATACCTTAATAAAGAGAAAATAAACGGAAAATCCACATATGTTCATGATGAAGATACAAACTATGACGAGGAGGATTCAGGAGAGAAAGGACCAAATATGGATTAATTATCAGAAATGGAAGTTCATCCAGATATATAACATAAGGCCATGTTAATTTAAGAACAACAAGAAGAAATTGATTGTACTGTTTATTGTCTAAATAAGAAATTCAAAAGGATGCCTTAGAAGTACTCAAAATTCAAACTGAAGTAGCAAAAGTAGTCGTTGATCAAGGCAAGATGTTAGATGTAGCTGAAAACAACATCAATAAATCGAACACAAATGTTAAAGAGGCAGTTGTTGAATTAGAAGGAGTAAATATCATTGGTTTATTTAATTTAGGCTAAAGTAGAGCATAAGTAATACATGAAAAAGGTTGCTGGTGCTGTATGCATTATTCTTATTGTTGTGGCAGTTATTGTAGTTTGTGTTAAGTTTATTTGAAAAAGTTATTTATTACAAACAATTAAATTAGACATTATCAGATGTTTTCATTTGATAAAACAGTATTACATTTTTAATTAAAACAAGGTCCTTACTTTTCTCAATATTAGTAAAGCTGACAATGTTAATGTTTAATATATATTTTATACTTTGTTGTGAGGATTATCATGAATTAAAATAAATCTCAAAATTCTTCTTATAATTATTTACACAATTCTGGATGCATTCCACATCTACATTATTTGACTTGATCACATTACATCTAATTCCGCAATACTTTGTTATTCTAACAGCTTATTTAAATTTTGATATTCTCTCTATTACATCTTACTCTTATTTGTTTTACATATAATTTAAAATATAAATATTATATAAAATAAACAAAATAAAACAATAAATGCTTAATAAAAGAAGATTTTAAATCTGTCATTATATTTTAAGGGTGTGGGTTTTAGTAAATCCTTTTTGATTGTTGATTAATGGGAACAAAGTAATTTTATAATATGATAAAATTTTGTAAAATAGAAATAAAGGATTTTAAATATATTGACCTATATAATAGAGTGAAAATTTATAGAATCGAATAAAGAGCTCCCACTCCAAACCCTGCTGATACGACTGTATTACTCGATGTTGTTTGGTTATTTTTAATAAACTTACAGAAGACGAATAGATTTATATCCAATTTAATCAATTTATTTATGAAATACCCATACATAATATTTTCTTGCATTTTTTACTCTTGTCTATCAATCATAATTAGTTGAAATTGTATATTAATCATTAAAGGATAAATTTTGTGGAGATGATATTTTTTTTAGAGGCAACATTTATTAAATATTATACTAACTTGTTATTTTTAAAGAAAGGACCTTGTGAAATCAGGAAATAAATTAGAGAATTATCAAGAACATTTCATCCAAATAAAATGAAGGAAATTAAATTTTATATGTGAATATAGTTTAAGTCTATGAAGTTTTAAAAACTGCTTACGACGAGTATCTTGAAAATCCAAAATGAGGTGAATTTAATCATCGCTATCGATATTAACAACATGTATATCATCCTCAAACAAATCCATATATTGTTGTTTCTGTTGCAGCCTTGCTCTTATCCATCAGTTAATATAGGGCTAAAATTATTATGAACAAAAATGCAATTGCAAGAATGATGGAATCAACGCATTTCAAGAAGGTTGTAAATGAAAGGTAGAAGGAATCTAATTTGAGTAAGAAATAAGTGATCCAAGAGACATTGAAAGAAGTTTAGATAACAGGAGCATAGGTCTTATTCAAAAAATGAAGAAATTTGGATTATGGCCATATTACATATTTTTTACTCCATTTTTTATAGATTAAACTTTACAATTAAATGGAAATATTATTACAAGGACAGAAAAGTTCCCAGGAAAATAAGTGAAAAGGATTAGGAATATAAAACATAATTGATATTAGGAATCAGTAAGACTAGATGGAAGACTGTGTATTAGTCAATCGATAGCTTTGGATACCTGAAAATAGGAAGCATTTGAAGAGGAATTGCCTTTGAGATAGGAGGAATACATTCAGTAACATAGTAATTAGTTCAAAAAATTGCAATGAACTATTTAAACTTGTAAAAGTATCTCAACATATATAAATTTGTGTTATTTTCATATGAAATCAACCATCAATATTAACATGGGCTAAGGTATTTTTGATAATTGCTCTCGCTGTATTTGAAAATGGACTCGGTATAATAGGAGAATTTATCATTTATATAATTTATGGTGTGCTAAATTCTTGACCATCAGCTAGTCTAGTGGGTTTCTTACTTTTTATTGCAGTTATTTCCGTTTCCAATCTTTCAATTTCTTTATTCTTAGTTATAAACCAAACACATATTCCCATTAATAAAACTGATATACAAATGGGAATTCCTATATACAAAACCAATTTTTAATATGAAGGTTCATCATCATCATAAGCCAAAATAGTGAAATTTGTGTATCTCTAAAATATGAAGTTGTTCTGAATATTGTTTAGCAAGGCTGAAGTTTCATTTTAGATTATTTGATAATGTTATAGAGTATTTTTTTGATTTTGTGGAGGATAGCAGATAATATAAGGATCTTGAAATTTAAATTTAGTAAAAAATAATCCAGATTTGGAAGTTCCAAAAAAGAAGTTTTCCATTGAGAAGTTATTTTAATCAGTCAAATGACTCATAGTGAGGTCTATATTTGTCAAATAAAAGAAGTCTATATCAATTGCTCCCAATAAAGTATATTAAGGAACATGACTAATTTGAAGTCCATCAAATTTAGTCACAAACATGATATGGTGTTTATTTTATCCTTGCAGTATAGCAAACTATTCGGAAACATCGACATCTTTGATTTTACTATATGTTTCAAAGGTTTTAAGTTCAACTAATTCCTTTTCAGTAAAATAATATTCGACACAAATATATTTATGATGGTACTAATAGACAACAAATATATTGTTTTTGTAGTTATCAATTGCAACAAATTCCTTTTAAATTGTTGGAAATTTGTATTATAATTAAAGGGAAATCTTAATGATGACCACGTCCATTTAATAGACAGAGATGCATGATTGATCTTCATCTAAAAGGATCAGATAGATTAAATGATCAATTTTCAGAATAGCCAAATCTTTAAATCTAGTGTTTGATATTTAATCAACATAGTGTAATTCGTTGCCAATTATTTTATAAACATCCAAACCATTATCACCAACACACGAAAAGATATAATTATCGTATTCCTTTGTGACTCCTCTCTCATTTCTTTATTTTATATCTAACAAATCCCTTATTTAAAGTTTGGCTACCTTCTATTCCATTTACTAAACACTAAACAGCACTGCCCCTCTGGTTTGAAAGAGTATACCTAAATTACTCATACTGCAATAAAGTAATTGAGGCATCTCCGCCATAGTATCCAACCCTAATTCTTTGAAATCTGCCTTCCAAATAGTTTTAGCAAACTCACTGCTGAAGTTCTAATAATTGAATTTGATCAAATATAAAAAATAATCTGAGGTTATGAATATTACGCCATCTCTAACATGCACCATAGTTACAATGTTCTCAAAATGTTATCTTCTGGTGTCAAAAATTAGATTTAATTCTCTCAAATGACAAAATGGTACTGTTTCATTTGTAATTAGTTTTGAATCTTTTGCTTAAAAAAGAGAAAGCAAAAGTGTCTCTTCTTATGTTGGAATCTAAAATTCAAGTGTTTCATTTATTATTTGTCGGATTCTATAAGATTAAACATTAATGATTAAGTAAAAAAAAATAAACATTTATCATTAATTTCAAACTCTTAAGGTCATTCTAATTTTTAAGATATGAAATATTTGAATTAAAACAGGTTTTTAATAAATTATAAGTCATGACTATTATTAGATATTATTGATAATTAAATGTTGATTGCTAGGTGAAAATGGCCTAGAACTCTGTTGTGTGTTTGTTCTCCCACTAGTTGGTATCGACAGACTATACCCTTTTATGCTCTTTGCAATTTTCCTCTCTTCCTTTCTAAGACTGTAATACCATTTGAAAATCATTATAACTAAAATTGAAATGAACAACTCATACTTATCAATGTAAAAATACAAAGCAATAATGTAATCAAAATAATTACTAGATACGATTAATGTCTGTATAAATAAGTTGAAACCAAATTCAATTAAAAATTTAGATGGTGTCTCTCTATGGTAGTACCATTATATGAGACATTATAGACTAAGGAATAATGTTCAGAATAGTCTTGGTAAATTTGGCAATCGATTTTTAATGGTATCAATTGTAATTGACTACGAAAGAGTTGAGTCACTGTGATACCTATTAATTCATTATTTCTTAATTCGAAATCTCTTAAATTATATTTGATGATATTATTCGATAAAGTAGTTCCAAAATTAAAGGCTACCATATGTCTACTATTGCCTTAAATAATTGCATATTCATTATTAACATCTACATCTTTTATTTTGTTAGTGTAAATTAGATTTTGTATTCTCCAATCTGTATCATCTACAACATATTCAACTATAGCATATCTTAGTTTCCATTTATATCCAACGAAGATATTGACTCCATTTTTTGTGTCAACTGCAATACCACCTTCCTGAACATCAATTTTTCTGACTTTAAAATCGATTACATTCTCATAACTATTCATCTTGGCAATAATCAAACCAGAATAACAATCTAGAATGTATAATGTAGTTTTATATATGGTAAAATCTTTGACACATAATTAACTTTATCCAATATCAACATGATTTATAGATCTAAAATAAGTGAGATTATATAAATGGTAAATATCTATGCCATTTAAACCTACTGCTGTATAGATAAAAGCACCATAAATATTAGTAAGCCAACGTTCTTGTCTAGGAATCCATTCTGCGAATTCAACGATGCTTATTGGCAATAAATATACAACATAAGCTGTTGTGTCTGTGATCACTAATACAATGTTATCATTTAGGATGATTTAATGAATAGAATCGATCTCATATTTGGAGAGATCGTAAGAGGATTTTTGAGTGAGGTTATTTTTATGGATTATTATTAATCTCATATTTGATGTCATTATGGCAATGCGATGTTCATCTTGACTCACAAGAGTGAGCTCTTCCATATCCTCTTCTGAGAATTCAATTATCTAATATTAACTAATGCTTTCTTATATTGATTTTTATCTCAATTCGCATCCTGTTCCATTCAATTATCCATCCCATGCGTGGGGTAATTGCAATATAGTACTTCTCACTCCTTCATGAACATTAAAATAAGCGTTGCTATCGTTGATTTCGACTATTACTTATCCAAAAATGCCATATATTAAAAACAAAAACATTTATATGCTTAAAATATTTAAGAACGCATTTTCAAAAAATAAGAAATCTCTTACTTAATCATTTTAGTCAGAACAACCAGAACTTCCTCCTATTCACAAAGCTACAACCTAAGACTTTTAAATTATAGATGAAAAATGTATGGAAACAATTGAAGAAACATAAAAATAAAAATAAAGAAGCCAATCTTTTGAGGCTAAAGAAGAACCAATCAAATAACAGGAGGAATTTATGGATTATGTAGTATAAGAAGATGATTCATTTTTTGGAATTGCCCTTAAGTTTAGTGTCAATGAGGGATACTTGATGAGGATCAATAATCTATCTAGTGACATGATTTTTAAAAATTAGATTTTAAAAGTGCCAATAACAAATCAACCTCGTTTCTCCATAGTAAAGATTCCTGATTCGGATAAACAACAAGAAAATATCTGGGAACAAGAAAATTTAAGTTAGAAATGTAATTTTGTTTAATATCTATTATCTAGTTGAAGTTATTTATTGCAATAATAAATAAAATTCTAATGGAACTTTAACCTTAACAGGTGACATTGTACTGTTCGATCCATGCCAATAAGAGCAGATTTAAGATAAATAAAACAAAGTTCGAATGAATGCTTGCATTTCAATGATTGATATCAATGAAGCTGTTACTTATGTTCTATAAAATCAAAACGGATGTTTAGATTATATTGTCCAAATCCTATTGTCAGGAATAGGCAAACCCCAATTTGAAAAAATGTATTCCAAATAATTAAAGAAATATAAGAAATAGAAAAAGAGCATTGCAACTGTATTCTTTAGAGTATGATAATTCAATAAATATGTAAAGCATGCGGAAAGGGACATAGATGGGAAATTGTACTCAGAGGAAATCAAAAAGGCCAATTGCGCATTTATTGCGAAATTCATAAATGAATCTTGTACAGGATACACTGAACAATCGAAATTAACAAAATTACCATACATAGATTTAATAGAGGATTCTTAACAGAAAAAATAGCTATAGACAGATGAAATTTAGGATGTCATTGGAGAAAGAATGGGAAGTATGCAATATCTAAATCATCTTAGAACTATGGGCTTGTTTAGAGTATGTTCCTGTTCTAAAAGAACCCTCTTTTTGTTTTACCAATACCACTTACAAGCAAATAATTGAATAAATTCCAGCTGTCTATCGTTTAGCTGAATGGGTTAAATTGTATAACATCGATGATGATGGATCTAGTTATTTAAATATGCTCTACGAAATCAAGAATAAATCTCCAATAATAATTATTATTAAGGATTTCGATAACTTAATATTTGGAACCTACGTTTCAACAGAAGTGCAAAAATATAGTTGTGGATTTAAAGGGAATGGAGAAACCTTTTTATTTAATTATGATTAGGAGGTATAAGATATTGATAATTTATTTTAGAAAAATGAAATCAAACCATATTTTTGGACAGAAAAAAATAGAGACTTCATTTATTGTGATGAAACAGGAATAGGAATCGGTTGTGGAGATAAATTTGGCTTATTCATAGATTAAAGCTTAACATTTGGATATTCAAATCCATGTGAGACTTTTGAAAACATAAGGTTTACTAAATCTGAAAAGTTTAAAATTATGCATCTTGAAGTTTGGGCCATTTTGCAATAATGAATATAAAATTCTCTTGTTATATTTTTATATCAACTAAATTATTTAATAATATAATATAATAACTTATTTATTTTTAATATATTTATATTGTCTAATGTTATCACTAATCCCAAAAATAATACCAATTGTCGAATTACAAAAATCTAATTGACCCCCAGCAATTCATAAGAAAGTGAGCTTTTAGAATCTATATCTACCAAGAGACACAAAATTTATGAATCTAGAAGAAGAAATTTATTTAAAAAAGAATCAAAAATAAAAATGGTTATTTTTTCAATTCCAATTAGAGTAGCTAATAATGACAATTTACAATTAAATTTAAATATTATTCTTTTCACACAACTCCCTTCTACTATTTAATTCCCTTTTTTCAAGTAATCTAGAAATTCTAAATAAAACAGTATCATAAAATATTAATTATGATCTAATCTTTTAAAATAACGAGAAAACTCTAAATTAACATAGATTCATCACAACAAAATGATGAATAGACTCCAGCATTTCAATCTGAAAGAAATCTACTCATCTCAACACCATCTCTTTTTTAGAAACTTAAATTAAAGCCTATTTAAGAATTCTCAATTATTACTCAGACAAATAACCATATTTAAATGAAGTCCTCGATAAAGACAAACCCTTCTTTCTAAATAAAGGATAGCATAGATTAGATGAAATAAACATGTTCAAGTCAAAATTAGAAAAAAGTGAGTTTTTGTGATAAAGTCCTTATCATTGAAACTTAAAAAGGAGTTATAAAGAGGGAAAGGATATCCACTAAAGATTAATAATAAATTTTTTCAAGAACACCAAAAAGAAAAAATTGTATATTAATTCCCTCTTAGCACAGGATCTTGAAGACCTGCCAGTCTATTGTCATAGATCAGCTTTGAATCTGCTAAAAATTTGAATAAATATTAGTTTATAATTTATTTTATTTAAAAAAGATGGCCTTTGATTAGCGATCTCCTTTCGAATTAAGGATCTGGCACTTTTATACTGAAGAAGAGAAATCAATCACTCTTTTAAATGCTTATAAATAGAGAGTTTTGTTTTCTGAGGATATCAAGTCTTTCCTTCTAAAGGATAGATTGAATACTTGGTCCTATTGGGGATTTCCAGCTGCATGTTATGCTCTATTTCACTATACTGGTGCATTGTAGCCATACATAGCTACAAAATATTCAGTGTCTGCATAAAGATTGATTCCTGCAGCAATATCTGGCATTCTTTGGCTTGGATGGCTACACTTTAATCCATTTTACAATGCCTTATAAAAGTATTGAGTATTCTTAAATTATTATAGAGAGAAGTTGCATTTGCTTAATTTAGTAGAAAGAAGAGTTGGATTAAATATGAAAGCACTCAATGAGTAAGTACCTCGTACTTGGACAACTTAGGAGATTCATAGATAAATAAGAGAGTCTTACAATAATAGACATGGTTTCTTCACAAACATACTTTATCCAAGTGAGGAAAGAGCATCCCCTTTATAAGATATTTCAAGTTATCCATTCAAATACAGAAGAGATAAGATTGTAAAATGATTAACCACGCATACCACACAAAATAATTATCATATAGCATAAAGCCTATTATACCACAATCATGAGCAGCTATGATTTGGTCATTCTTATGTCTAATATCGCTGATTCTCCTGGGTTGTATGTGTTTTTGAGAGTAGATTAAGATTAGCACCCCAAAATCAAATTTTTCTGTCTTTAAAACAGCTAACAAAAGACCTAAATCTTGAATTTTCATGCTTTCTAGTTGATTTTGCAGATATCCATATACTTCATACTTATGACGTCTGAATTGCTGAATTATTTCAAATTTCTCTAGATTGATGAGTTAAATTAATCCATAATCTGATCCTTTCAGTATCTATTGTTATTCCTATACAAGAATTGTCTTTTATTTTTATTGGTTTTGAATGAGGTTTGATCTGCATATTTAGGAAATTAATTGATCAAAAAAAGAGAACCTCCTTCATTAACAACTGCTAATTATTAATCATGAATCTAGAGTGAACATGAACAATAAACTAGATCTGTTTCTATTTTTGAATCCTCAAATTCATGAAATGGTTAAGAAATGGGATATACATTTATTAGGCAAAGTACTAAGATCCGAAATTCTTTTGAAATAAAATAGAAAAAATTGGAATCTTTTAGATCATATTAAATATATTTATTTATCATGCATATTCATTTTTAAGTTTTAATTTCTATTCAGTTTAGGATAGTAAATTAAACTCTTTTTAATTATTCCTCAAAGTTTACAATTTACGAGCCTTTTCCCTTTCCTATACAATTAGTTACTTTCGATTATGCTAGAAGGGGTAGAAATATAGATATACCTCATTGTATTGTGCCCACATCTTTTCATCCTCCTTCTCCTGTTGCCTTTTCTGTTCATTTTCTTATCTTTATTTAGCCTAATCATTTCTGATTTGTTATCTCTATTCTTCTGACATTCCTTTGTAATGATAAGGTATGACTCTATGAGGAGCCAAAGCACTTTAACAGGTTGCCGTACTTTATGTATAATAAAGGAGGATTGTACTTTTCAGTCCAGACATCATTATTCAATATTTCTTGCTGATGCTATTTCTTTTCCTACTAAGCCAAAGCTGCCATGTATTGTTCCCTATCCTGTTTTTCTTTAGCCATTTAGTTATTGATTTGCTGATTTGCTATTTCCATCTCAACTCTTCTCCTCTGTTGTTCTTGATCTAATTCCTTCAAGTTCTGGTTGATTTGTAAAGTCTATTAATCATATTATTGTTGGATCTGTTTATTCAATTGTTTTTTGGCTTAGTTCTCTTGTGTTTGTTATTAAACCCAATCTCTCATCTACAGTTACTACATTTTTCTTCTGTCTCCAGCAGCTAAAATAGAGAATGAAATTGGATGACTTACTCAAGTCTTCCCCATCTAGCATTTTCAAATTGGAAACTCCAACCTATTATTTCATTTGAGCATGATTGTAAGAGGGGTTTTAATAATGACTCATTAAATATTTATATTTTAATTTTCAAGCATTATACACTCCAATAACAATAGCATGATCTCTTTCATAAGGTTCTAAGGTCAATTATTCTTGAGGTGTAAGGCCTTCATCCTGAGAAAATAATAAGCATAATAGTATACTTTCAATCTTTGCACTTCATGTTAAAAGACTACTTCAGCTCTGTTCGTGGAATCTATGCAATTAGCTTTGATGGAGATCATGAAATGACCACCTTTCTTCAAGAAATATTGTGAATTCAATCCCACAATTCTGGCTTGATCTGGTTATGCCACATCGGCAAATACAACATCAACCATACCAACAAGCATCCTGTACTCTAAAGGCTTTCTGGCATCGGCAATGATGGGAACTATATTTGTTCGTTTCTTGGCCATATTGACCAAATCCCTGCCTGATCTATGAGAAAACTCAACAGCATATACAACACCTTAAATAATCTTCAAAGGCATACCTTCAGATCCTACAATGTCTGAAACATGAGAAACTGTGGTTCCAGATGCAGCTCCCAAATATAACACTTTAGCTCCTGGCTTAATGAAAATATCACTCACTCCTCCAATCACTCCAGCTGCTATCTTTGATCTGAATGGATTCCAAACTCTATATTCTACTTTCTCTCCTGTTTGTTTATCTTCAACAGAAATTCTTTTCTCGTTATAAACTGATTCTCCTGGCACCATATTCTTAGTAACCAAAGCCTCTTATTATCCCTTGGCCACAAAAACTCCTGCCAATCTTGGATGAGGAACTACAAAGGCTTTTGGAGCTCCTCCTTAACGACCACCTCTTCCACCTCTTGGGGCTCCTCTGCCTCTTGGAGCTCCTCTTCCTCGGTCTCCTCCTCTACCTCCTCGTGTATCTCCTCTACCACCTCCGAATTCTCTGCCCATAAATTATAATTTAAAATTAAATTTTTATTCATTCCAATATATATTCAATTTATTTATTCAACTCTATTTTTTATCATCACTCTATTTCTAGACAAATATCAGTATTTGAAACCTTGTTTGTCTTATTGAATGGCCCTGTGAACATTTTCTTCTCCACCTTCCCTTCCTTCAACTTCCCCAAAGTGTACAAAGAGATTACACACCATCTCACCTCCACATTCTCCTAACTTATATAAATTCCCAACTAACTATTCTTAGGGACATCTCCTTTGTTTAAATTAAAATTAAAGCTCAAATCTTTAATATACCCATTTACAATATTCATATTCTACTTTGTCTAACACAATTTCAATAATTTATCCTGAATCACTTTGCCATCATTAATCAGTTGAATCATTATTTGATTGTCTCCATTGTTCGGCAAATTTGAGATTGAATGTATATGTATATCTAAGCCAGTTCTTTGTTTTTGATTTAGTTTCCTAATATCTGTTCGTACATCTCCTTAATGAATTTGGAATTCTATCTTCTCTTTCATCTTCTTGACCAGCTTATAATCCAAAGGGGTATGTAATTTTGGACTCTTGTATAATTCTGTAAATAATTTGGTTGTGTATAGTTTCTTATTAAAAACCATATTCATAGCAAACCATGCTATTAAAACATCGTCATAAACTTCTATCAACACAAAATAACCTTCCTTACACTTTAACATATCGTCAATATCAATAATAAATACAGCTGAATTTGGAACTATCAATTCTTGAATACAATCATCCTCATTCTATTACTTTACTATTTCGTTATTCTTCAAAATCTTCAAAACAACCTTCCTATTCTTTAACTATACTTCTTAAATCTATATTGTAATTGGTAAGTATCGAGATATACTGGAAGGTTTCTTTGAATCCTTCTCCTTTACTTCATCATCTTCATCCTATTATGTATAACCACCTTTAGATTTACTCATTCGATAAGATGGTGTCCTTTCATAAATATCTAGTTACAAAGGTACTTCTTTAATTAGTAATTTAATCTCAAAGCTCAACTTTTTATTATTTATTGTATATAAGTTTAATCTAAATTCACCAGTCTACATTGATGTTTTCTTAAAAACGTTCAGCTAGGCCATTCCCAAAAATTAATTATGTTGATGGATTATGATCACATAATTTAAAAGATTGAATTTAGAAAATGTATCTTATAAGTACTTCTTCCCAACTCTAAATGTAGTATAGTAGTGGGAATTGTAAATATTTTTTGAATCAGTCGAAAATATATCCAAGTCATCCTTTATCTGGCATTGTCTTTACAGAACATCATCTATTGTCTTTTGCTCAGATTGAATAGATATGCTGATCTATAGCTCATCTTTGGATACGAAATTGTATGCCTGAAGCAATTAAACCATAATTTAAGTATTCCATTCTGGATTTTCCACATTCTTAACCTTCTCTTCCTCTTGGATCGTGTACTTATTTATTGTAGGTAGACTCTTAAGTTACTCCTTCTTGCTCATCAAAACAAAATCCAATTAAATATTACTTTTAACCATGTCTTTTTGATGAAATGGGGCCTATTGACCAGGGGGTTTAATTAAATTAACTTAGTATAAGCCTGAATCTACTTATAGATTACTTAGATCATCTGTCTCTTTGAATAATTATGCCACATACCATCCCAATAATGCATTATTCTAATAAATTGCAATATAAACATAAGCATCCTTTGTAGAAAATCCCTCTTGCTCAAAGATGGATAATATATTAGCATAATCTAAGGAGAATTCTGCATGAAGATTATATCTTTACTACTTATCGGTGACTTCATTGGGAATCAAGTTTTAAGTCATGACACAATCTGTTTCATTTTCATCCTTCAATATGATATCATTAATAAAAAAACCAATTTTCAACTTTAATTCATTATATTTTTTGGTATCCAAATTACTTAATTTTAAAATATCCATTGCTACAACTCCTGCTCCAGGGATTACCACCTTATTCCTTGTACTACCTAAATCTGGTTCTGTTGGTATTTCTATATTTTTTTAAGATCTGACTGTTTAATCTCCCCCTTGATTGGCTTTTAATTTGCGTTTCAATTTATTAAAGTACTTAACATTAGTTATTTAATTAGATAGCCCATCTTATTATTATAATTGGATGAGATGTCTGCTTGTCTAGCCTCCTTTATTTGTTTTGTCCCCTCTAACAGTTCTATCTCCCCTGATAGTTCTATCTCCTCTAATTGTATTATCTCCATTTGCCCTCCTAGTTGCCTCCTTCACTTCTATGCTTCGCTTGCTGCTGTCTACCTATTCTTCTTGAATTAATTAAATTCTAATATTTTTTGTGGATCCTCTTTAGGAATCTTTATCAAAATGCCGAATAGACTCTAACTTAATAATGGCATCACTGGATTATTGACTATTTTTCTCTTGAGTAGGTAAATGTTCAAGACTATCGATTTTCTTACTGAACCGACTTTTAACCTAATATTTTTATTAAATGCTTGTTGTTGGAGATTCCTTTTATTTTTCTTCTCCAAAATATTCGTCATCAGTTATTTGATATTGAGGTCTGAGAGTTCTTTATTTTTTGGTAGGTGACAATGGTAGGTCTCCAAATAATTGAGGTTCTCTTTCTCTTAAAGGCTTATCATAAGCAAAGGCCTTGGCAAAATCTTTTGGGAGTTAGGCCTGATCTTTGATTTCTGACCTGATAATTTTACATTCCCTATGAATATGATAATGTGGAATGTGATAATCACTTTCTACGAAGATAATTTCATCGAGATATTAAGGTTATTGCATAATTCTAAAGTACATACATAAATTTCCATGATAAGGGTACTCTTTACTATATACTAAAAGGTCCCTAGGTTTGTATTGTTATTGATAGAAAGGCAGCTTGTATTTACCTATGTATAGTGATCCGGTACGATCAAATAATTTAAAGACACTCCAACCAAGCATGGATAGAGATCCATCACTTTCAAAGACCCAAATTTCAATGTACAGTATTGTTTTGTCATCTGCTTGAACATCTCTCATTTATTCTATTGAATTGAAGATGCATTTATTTGTTCTATAGGTTTCTGCTTGAGTTAGACAATCACTAGTTAATTTATATGCATGATATTCTTCGGTTTATTTAAATACACCAAACGAAATTCTGGCTTTAGTGTATTAAATAGGCAATTTTGATATCATGTCCCATTGGATGGTGAATCCTTCTAGATGACTATAGGGAACAGTCGAATCTTCATTAGATTCGAAACCTCGTTTTCTTTTCATGGTCATTTCCTAAGCCATCTTGTTGATTCTTTCTTTGACTACCTCATTCTCTATTGAAGTTTTAATCATCTAAATGTTAGTCAATCTATCCATCGACGATTGTCTAACTGCCTCATTCTCCTCGTTTCTCATATAACTCAACATTTAATCATTTATGCTTCCAGAGAAGTCCGTTTTCTGTCTATTGTGTTGTAATACTGGTAATGAATGTTATTGGTTCAATTCTCTCTTAAAGCTTGTGGGTAAATGCTCATAGATCGGGTGTTTGGTATAAGATGGCGTGTGTCCTTATTGTACAGGTGGACGAACATAATAGCCAATGGGTTATGCTTATTTTAGAAAATCATGTCTTAATTTTTGGAGAGAGTTCAAATAAATTGGATCTCGCATACCAGAATTTAGATAATCATTATGTAATCTATCAATTTCATTCAAAGTAGTCTAAGTAGGATCGATATGTAGAGGTTGTTTTTTGTATTTGAAATCCATCTCCTCAATGACTTGTTCAAAAGGCTTTTTGCGATTGCCTTCATTGTAGTATTCAAGTTTCTCTCTAATGCGAGTGAGTTCTTGTACCTATTAATCTTACTGAAAGCTTTTCACTGGAGAGATCAAATGAATGGGTTGAGAATCGAACCTTTTGTGTTAGGTTAATTAGGCAGGTTTTGGATACTTGTCCTAATATCCGTACAACTAACTAAGTTGTAACATTAAATTGAGTTATTGTTTAATGATAATATAAAATATAAGCGTATTTACATTCTGAATTGTTTTCATATATATATAATATATATATTTCTAACAAATTA